GGTGCTGCCCTCTGGGACCAGGCGGGGCAGCGGCTTCCACAGGACCAGGTTGATTGGACAGAGCCCAAAGGGCCCGGGAACCAGGAGGACAGAGACCTACGAGGAGTCAGCTGGGGGCAGCTCCAGCTGCTCGTCTTCCTGACGATGGAGCAGCAACTGGCCAAGCCAGGGCCAGGCTGGGCTCGGACCTGGTGGCGGGAGCCTCTGGGCAGGCTGGCGGTAGAAGCAGACCGCGGCCGCAGACTGCGCCCCACCCGACCTGTCTGGGCACTCACATCCCGAGTTGCACTCGCCCGAAACACCGGGATGAGGCCTAGGCTCTGCGGCCTGCCACGGCGTCTGCTTGGACCCGGCGCCACGGCCACTGGCCCTGTGATGGTGGGCAGTTTGCTCTGGGCCCGTCCTCCACCTGAAACAAGCAGCATCTCCCCTGCAGGGCTGTCATGACTGCATGTGACATTCCAGGCGGCCAACTCAGAGACAAGCCTTCCCTGTTGGCGTGACTGTTCTCCCCGCTGGTCTGAACTCTTCCAGGAGGCGAGACGCTCTAGGGACGGTTGGTGCATAGATGTATGAGCTGCTCTGAGGCTGGCAGCTGGGCTGGGTGGTGAGCAAACCGCACAGGGCCTGCCAGCTACTGACCGGATAAGGTATAACCAAAATCACACGTGCACAATCCAGTCACAACGGTGGCCAAGTGCCAGTGAGGGGGACGTCATGTTGTGAGAGTGTAAGAGGGGCTCTTGACCTGGAAGACTTCTCTGAGGCATAAACAAGAGCCAACTAGCAAGAGACACCAGGGAAGTGGATGGGAAGATGCAAGGCAGAGAAGCATGTGCAAAGGCCCTGTGGCCAGAAAGGAAAGCCCTATGAGGCTGGAGAGGGCAGGCAGCTGGAGGAAAGGAAGGAATGGGCAGGACTTGGCATACTACATGTAGGCTGTGCTAAGTGCAGTGGGAACCAGTCAACATTTTAAACCAAGGAGATATGATCAGCTTTGTGTTTTAAAGAATCACTCTAGCTGTGGTATGAGGACACTGGAGAGGGTAGGGATGGATGTGGAGAGGCCAGCTAGCAAGCCATTATAGTGCGTGGTCCAGTGAGAGACCTGGTCCAGGTGGCGATGAAGATAAACGAAGCAATGACCTTGGGAGACAGTGGACAGACTGGCCATGATCGTGGACGGGATCCAGAGGGAGAAGAACATGTCAGGATTGACTCCGGTATAAGCTGCTGGCCGGAGGCAGAACCGTCACTGAGATGAATGAACAAGCAGGGCGCGGGGATTTGGCCCATGTCTGGGCCTCACAGTCAGCCATTTCTTTCTCTCCACATCACAGTCTTGCAGAGGAAATGAGACTAGGTTCTGTCAGGAGCCCTGAGAGCCAGAGAAAGTCCCTGGGTCTCAGGACCCGCCCCGGCCCACCCCACCTGATGTCCAGCAGAGTTGGGAAGGCCCCAGCCATGGCAAGAGGTCCACACATCTGGCCCCGAAGGCAGAGTCCTGGGCTTCTCAGGAGACTGGATGAGTAATTTTGATAATTGAATTTTTGAGTTAGACTTAAAATATGGCCAAGATTGAAGAGGCAATTTGGCAGGGTCAGGAGCCCCCGGGCAGGTTTCTCTGCCTCCACAGGCTGAGAACTCATTAACAAGATCACCCTCACTCCCGTCCACAGCCCCATTTACACGGCTCTCAGGCCTGCCGTGCCCAGGAATTCAATTGTGGGTCTCTGGGCCCCTGCTCCGGTCACCCAGAGCCATTCTGTGGAAAGGGGTAGTGAGAATACTTTGGTTTGTAATATAGGGAAGGCCTGCTGTTTGGGAATAGACAGCGTTTCAGGCAGACAGAATAATCCAGAAGACAGGATAATTTAGAGAACAGGTTTTGACAGACCCAGGTTCAAATCCTAACTCCAGCACTTACTGTGACTCTCCAGCCGTTTTCTCGTTTGTAAAATGAAAAGGACGGTGCAAATTAATGGATGAGACGAGGCGGCGTGGCTGCTGCCGAGCAGGTAGGTGCCAGCCTGGAGGGGCGAGGATTTTACCCTTGGACTCAGGCCCAGGAATGAGCAGGTGGGCCCAAGATGGGGTGAATGAGGCCCTGTGCCCCCCCCTCTAAATTTAGCCCTTGCAGCTGTCCCTCAGGTGCAGCTCCAGCCCTGGACCCGGCTGGTGATTAATTTCAACATCTCGAAACTGATGCATTTTCTGATTAGAGATTCAGAGCCTCCAGAATTCAGCTGCTGGTAAAATTAACTCGCCAGGGACAATGGAGCCTTTCCCAAAGTTCAAATTGTCCTTATTTGTGGAGTTTGTTCTTGGCCCTGATCCAGCCCAAGCCGGCCGCTCCTCCACCTCCCAGAGGGAGGGCCTTCACTAGCCCAAGGTAGGGAGTATTTTACACAACTCTAAACTGGGGGATAAAAATATACCTTGCTTTGGATTACTGTTTCTGAAAAGCTGCGGGTGACTGGGGCAAGTGGCCGGTTGGGCTCCCAGAGGCCCCTCCTCCCCAGGCCCTGCTCTCAGGCAACCACATGGGCCTGGGACGTAACATCACGTGTACCTCGCCCTTGCGACCCTTCCAGCTCACGCCCTCGCCAATGACCACGCTCGGCTCCCAGGGGCTGTGCACACACATGCCAGGCCACACACTCACCACTGCCAGTGAAGTGGGCAGTGCCGAGCTCCTGCAGACACATCTGGACCCGGGCTGAGCTCCAACCGCCGTCCTGTATGACCTCCCCACCCCCACACTCTTACACACTCGCGTGTGTAAACATCAACCACAGGAACTTAACATAGTGCTTTGGCCCTGGCCGGTTTGGCTCAGCGCTAGAGCGTCAGCCTGCAGACCAATGAGTCACGGGTTCGATTCTGGCCAAGGGCAGGTACCTCGGTTTCTGTTTGTCCTGGCCCTGATCCGGGTCATGTGAGAGGCAACCAGTCAATGTGTCCCTCTCACGTCAATGTTTCTCTCTCTCTCCCTTTCTCTCCCTCTCTCCCCCTCACACACTATCTGAGAATAAATGGGAAAATATCCTTGGGTGAGGATTAAAAAAAAAAATAGTGCTTTGAAAACTTCCTTAAGACCAGCCACTGAGAGATACTAAATGAGACATTACTTTTTGGAAAGGGTTTTGTTTGGCTACTTTCAAATTTTGAGACTCACACTGTGATCAGGGCTGGGCAGAAGGCTGCCGAGAGCAAGTGACTAGCACGAGAAGCCAGGCCCCGCTCCCTGCCCGGAACAGGGGGCCATCCCGGCACAGATCAGAGCTTCGCTACGGAACCCAGTTGAGTGGCTTCTCGACAAAGGAGCTGCCACCTTGCTCTATGCCTGCATGTCGGTGTATCTGTGCAAACACTCCGCTGAGAGCTCAGACACCAGGACCCCAAGCAGAGGGCCCTTCCTGACCCCCGCCCCGCCCCTCACCTGATGGGAAACAGGCGGAAAGGTGGGGCCCAGGACCAGGCCGGCTCCCTGACTCCCAGCCTGGCTCCTGCCCTCCACTCCCTACGTCACACCTCAAGTCACCGTCGTGCTTGGGGAGCTGCAGGGGCACAGCGGAGAGCAGTCTGGGGTTTGGAAGGGCAGGAGGGATCAAGTCCCCGCGCACCCTCTCACAGGCAAGGGCCTGTGTGCTGCAGATGCAGGCCTGGCCCTGACCCCCCATCCTGCCTCCATGAGGTTGCGGACTGAGGACGGTCTGCGGTGAGCAGTGGTGTCTGCACATCGCTCAGCCACCCACCGGGGAGGCTTCTGAAGGACCCCCCACAACTGGCCAGAAGAGAGGAGCATCCTGGGCGGGCTGGGAAGGGCACCCTGACACTCAGCATGCTTGGGTGGAGCCAGCACGGGCTCAGAGCAGGAGGCACGGCCAGGTGTGCTGTGTGACTCACGGGAGGGAGGCCTGAGGGAAATGTGTGGAAAAGGAACAGGACAAGGGAGGAGCCTGTACAGGACGAGGTACAGGGACCAGGGGGCGGAATGTCAGAACGAGTGACTGCAGAGGGAAAGCCAATGGGGGGGGGGGCATCCAAAAGGGTGTTGGGGTCCCCAGGATGGTGGCAGAAATGGGGACACAGAGAGAGACTGGGTCAGGATTCCAAGGGCCGCACCAAGGTGGGGGTGCGGAGCGAGCAGGGGCAGGTCAGAGCGCCACCTGGCCGGTCTGGAGCCTCATCTGCAAATGGGGCCGAGCCCCACCCTCTGTACTCTTCAGGGACATCACGAAGCTCGGGGCACAGATAGAGGACAACGTAACAGGAAGGTCACGCAGGCTGTAGCAAACGCAGCCGGCAGCGGGGTGGACAGTGGAGTGGGAAGATCAGGATCATCGTGGGACACTCACTGCCACATCCTCACCACGGCCTCCCCGGTCTTTCCCTGGTGGGAGCGGCACCCCTCAGGGCTGCTCTAGGACGGCCTTGTGCTGAGTCCCTGCCAGATGCAGGCCCAGCACCCGAATGCCCAGCTCCAGGACTGCCCGGCGCCCGCAGGCCCAGCACCCGGACGCCCAGCTCCAGGACTGCCCGGCGCCCGCAGGCCCAGCGCCCGGACGCCCAGCTCCAGGGCTGCCCGGCGCCCGCAGGCCCAGCGCCCGGACGCCCAGCTCCAGGACTGCCCGGCGCCCGCAGGCCCAGCGCCCGGACGCCCAGCTCCAGGACAGCCCGGCGCCCGCAGGCCCAGCGCCCGGACGCCCAGCTCCAGGACTGCCCGGCGCCCGCAGGCCCAGCGCCCGGACGCCCAGCTCCAGGACTGCCCGGCGCCCGCAGGCCCAGCGCCCGGACGCCCAGCTCCAGGACAGCCCGGCGCCCGCAGGCCCAGCGCCCGGACGCCCAGGCCTATTCAACACCCGCCTGCAGAGCACGCGAACCCTGTCAGGCAACAGCCCTTGAAGCAACCCTAGGCCAGAACACAGTAAGAGGAAAGCAGACGTCCTCTGACCAGACAGCCCCTCCCCTTGGTAAGCAGGAACCACGCTGTGACAGGGAGGCAGTGGGGGTTGCAGCTTTATTGTCTGGGGCTCTCAGGAGCCTGGTCTGCTGGGGCTGCACGCTCCCAGGTGGGCACCCCCGGGCCTCAGCTGGAAGAGAGGAAAACAGGAGAATTTTAGGACCAACAGAGGGTGACTGAGGTAAGATCCCTGACAGTTAAAGGTGATATTGTTATTCTGAAACTACTTTCAAAGACACTGTTTGGTGGGCAAACACCTGCAGAACCAAGCGACAATGCGACCACACTGTACCCATTCATTCAAAACGATTTACCAAACGCCCACTACGTCCAGGCACACTCACTGCAGGTCTCACTGCCAGAACCGCATACGAGGGAACACTTAGAACCACGGAAGCCATGGCATGATAAAATGAATGGTTTCGTGTGCTGCTGGCAGAAAAACACACGTGTATGTGGAGGGCATGTACCCTGGCTTCACCTTCATTGTTCAAAAGAGGTCATTTCCGGCCCCGCACCCTCCCCCTGCCCCAAATGGCTTCCAGTGAAAGAAACTGGGAGGGGCATTACCTCCAGGTTCCCTCTAGCCTTCCGAAGGATCTTGTGGGTTACGACCACTGAGGAGAGAACAGAGAGCGGAGGGTTAGACACAGATGCCCAAGAAGTCAGGCTACAAGCCAGGTGCAGGGAGGAGGCCCTGAACCCAGGACGGTCACACAAGCCTGAGCCCCAGGCCAGAGAGGTGTGAAGGCCACACCCCAGGACCAAACAATCCATCAGAGGGTGGACCAGACACCTCTTCAAGGTGCCAAGCCGAGCAAACCTCACAGCGATCCCGAGGTGGAGCAGAGGCCCTGCCACGTGCTGGACAAACCAAGGCTCTGAAGGCCTCCAGATGCTCAGGTGTGCCCAGGGCTCCCCTCCACAGCCTAGGAGGGCAACAACGCAGGGCAGGGCAGGGCCTACACCTGACCGGCATCGTGCACACCCACGTGTGAAGGCCAAGGTCGAGGGCAGGTCTGTAAAGGCAAACTCGTGCCCAGCAGCACCTCGGGCAGGCTCCTGATGACCAAGGAGCTGGCATTTTCCCCCTTAGCTGCCCGTTAGCTGGCAGAGGACCCCAACACAGTTCCCTGGGCAAGTCACGCTTTTCCAAGGACAGGAGGGGCTGGGAGGGATGGCTGCTGAGGTGCCCCACACCTGGCAGTGAGCTGTGCACAGGCAGACGGCCAGCATGGGGACCCGCGGGAGGCACCGGAGGGCCCATCTTTTAGGGCAGAAACTGCAATATCAGATGGCTTTTCCCTCGGCCTTTCTCCTACCAACACAAACTCCAGCAGCAGGCACGCCGCCACGGAAGAGGTGTCTGGGCCTGATCAGGGATCCGTTCTAAATGGGGTTTGGTGAGGGCCAGGGAATCGGTCTGCTCCCGGGGCAGACAGTCACAGGCTTCTGGAACTGGCCGCTGGCCACGATGCCAAGGCTGACACAGACTCCCCAGCACCTCGTCCCGCGTAGGTGCCACGTGGCGGCCTTGAGAAAGGGTTTACTTCTCACCTCACGAAACACCCACCTGGAAGTAACGGAAGTTCCCAGCTGTGGCGGCAGGGGAAGGACACAGTGGGCAGATGAATTTCAGAGGTGCCCCCCCAATCCCATGCTGCAGGGCAGGAGTCCTACCCTGGGTTCAGGGGCATGCTTTGGGGTGTCCCAAATCTCCGGAACTAAATGCAACCCCGTGTGTGTGGACGTGTGCACTTTTCTGGAGAGAGGCCGCACCTCCCCCGTCGCCGAGGCCTGTGTCACGGCTGTGCTCTTCTCTCGAGTGACACGGCCCCGGCTGGAACCTGCCTCGCAGACTCCCACCACTCCGCCAGCGAGCAGCCTGGCGTCTCTCAAAGCCATCCCTCCCCTCCACGGCCTTGTGTGGGCCCATCGGGCCTGCCTGGGGGACTGCCGCACCCGCAGAGGTCTCCCCAGCCCTCCACGCTCAGCCACGGACCCTCCCACACAGTGAACCAGTCAGTCCCTGCTGCTCGTTCCTGGGCCCAGCCCACAAGGCCCTTTGTGAGCTGCTCCCTACGAATCCCTCCCACTTCCTCTCTCACAGCAGAAGCCCCAGGGCCCTGAGCGTGTCCCTAAACACTCAGTTCTCGCAATCGGGCTGCCTGCCAGCACCCTATTCCGCCCCTCTGCACTCCTACTCACCCCTCGAACCTAACTGGTCCACAGCCTTGAAGCACCTCTCAGGCTGCCTGGGACGCAGGCCCCTCATTCTGCAGCTCACTATCTGTCTCCCCATTAATGCAAAGCTCCACCTGGCAGAACTTCTCATTCATGCTGGCCTGCAGCCTGCCAGCAGCCCCTCGCCCCGCAGTTCACTGTGCCCGGCCGTCTGTTCTCAGAAGGCCCCCGTGAGGCCGAGCGCTCCTCCTCGACACTGATCTGGTCTGTGCTTCTGGGAAATGCTGGGCTCTGATAAGGGAGCACAAGGCAGCAAGGAAGGAAAGCTCCATGCTCAGCAGTTCCGCTCAGACAGGCAGGTGACAGGCAGGTGACAGGCAGGTGACAGGCAGCAGCCTGGGGCACCCGAGACACTCAGCCCGCTCCTCTAAACACGCAGTGGAAGGAGTGCTGAGGGTCCAGAGATGGGGACTCAGCTGCTCCCAACAATCTCCGAAGCTCCTAGGTCGGGTCTGGGGCTGACCTCACGAAGTTCTTGTACCTCTCCGACCTTGAGTCTTGTATCTGCCTTGAAAATTGTTTCTCAGACCCGTCCCCTCCTCTGGATGCCCACTGGCCAGCCCGCGAGTCCTTCTTGTCTGCCTGGCCAATGAATCGGCTCCTCCTCACCAGCCTTTCCTGCACACAGATGTGAGTGTCCACGCTCTGCTCTGAGGGTGAGACACCTGAGCCCGCCACCTCAACTCACCTCCAGTTCCCTCCTGCCTCAACTGGCCACTTGCAGCTCTTAGTCCAGCAACATGAAGTGCGACTGGTTTTGGCCATGCAAAACCCGATTTCTTTCCCTCTGCCTTTGTCTACGCTGTTCCATTCCTGCGTGACCAATGCCTACTCCTTGCAGAATCAGCTCCCAGGACACAGTGACTCCACCCCATTCCCACCTCAGTGTTCCCTGAGACCCTGCACACGTCCCCATCACTGTACACATCCCCATAACAGCACACGTTCCCATCACTGCACACGTCCCCATCACTGTACACATCCCCATCACAGCACACGTTCCCATCACTGCACATGTCCCCATCACTGCACATGGTCCCATCACTGACTGCACACATCCCCATCACTGCACACATTCCCATCACTGACTGCACACGTCCCCATCACTGCACATGTTCCTATCACTGCACATGCCACGCAATGTCTCCAATGAGATGACAGTCCTTGGCACAGAGCAGCCCCTCCACAAGTCTATTGGGTGAATTCGTTTGTGTGGGTCAGGAAAGATGAAATGTGAAAGGAAACCCACACATCTGAGGCGTGATAAAGAATGGTCTGGGTTCCAAGGTGGGTGGTCCAGGGCTGGCCTTTCTGTCCCCAGAGGCAGGAAGTGGCCAGACACGGTGACCACACTCAGCCGCTCACTTACATTGATCAAAGATGACTTTCTCCTGGTGCTTGCTCAGCTGCAAAAGCTTCATGGTGTGTTGCAACTTCTTTTCTTGTTCAAATAATTTTTTATGTAGTTTGGTGATCTCTGCCTTCATTTCTACAGTCTAAATGGAAGAGAAATTAGAAAAATGAACGAAGAATATACAACATCCTGTCACATAGGCAGAATTTCAAAAGCATATATATATACAAAGATGTTCAACCCTACTAACAAAGATATTAAAAAACAAAACAAAAAAAACCCTGGAAACCCTTTGCTGCTGGTCAGATTGGCAACAGCAGGCCGAACCAGCGATGGTGAGTGTGGGAACACACTCCCAGGTGCTGGGGCCCCGGGGGAACAACGGCCTGGCAAGATCTGCCAAACTGTAAGATGTGCTGCCCTTTGGCCCAGCAAGTCTACCGTCTACCCTTTGGCATTTACCCCCGAGGAATATTATAAGCTCAAGAAGATGCCTGTGTTCAAGAATGCTCATCTCAGCATTGTCCGCAGCAGGAAAAACAGACAACCTGATTTTAGTACGGGTCTGGATAATGAGTTACGGTGCTCGTACACAGTGGGATAATCCTGCAGCTATTAAAAATGATGTTGTAGCCCTGGCCGGTTTGGCTCAGCGGCTGGAGCATTGGCCTGCGGTCTGGAGAGACCCGGGTTCGGTTCCCGCTAAGGGCATGTACCTCGGTTGCAGTTTGTCCCCGGCCCTGGTTGGGTCGTGCGGGTGGCAACCACTCAATGTATCGATGTTTCTCTCTCTTTCTCTCCCTCCCACTCTATCTGAACAAAATATCAAAAAATGTCCTCGGGTGAGGATAAATAAAAAAATTTAAAAAATGATGTTGCAGAACTGTACTTATTGACATTGAAAGATGATAGTAATTAGTGACGAAGAGACCAGAACAGCTATTGTATCTTAGGCATTCCGGTGTCACAGAATCATATACATATACATCTATATTCACACATGGGTATATCAAGATGTCTACAAAAAACTAGAGACACAGAAATGTCATCAAAATGTTAATAATGTCCTGGACAGTTTGGCTCATATAAGAACAATGGCCCGTGGACCAAAAACAGTCGTGGGTTCAATTCCCGGTCAAGGGCACATATCTTGGTTGCAGGTTCGACCCCTGGCCCCAATCAGGGTCATGCGGGAGGCAACCAATTGATGTGTCTCTCTCACATCGATGTTTCTCTTGCTCTCTCTCCCTCTTTCCCTTCCACTCTATCTAAAAAAAAAATCAATAGAAAAATATCCTCAGGTGAGGATAAAAAAAAAATTTAATACTTAAATCTTAAAAAGAGATATAGAAGTATTGTTAGGCGAGTACGACCCATTAGGGGAACCTGTCTTGTCTTCCAGAGACCGAGGAGAGCATGGCTGGGCCGCGAAACCAGCCCCCAGTCCTCTGGGGCGGTATGTGCACACCACAGGGGCCCTTGGAACTGTCCACACTAACGCATCCAGAGGGCTGGCGACAGCCCTTCTCCTCAAACACCCAACTGGAAGGCACCTGGCCCAGACCACGCCCTGCTGCACAGACACGCCCCTGCCCCGGGAGGGAAACGCAGGGCAATCGCTCACAATCACTTTAGTTTGTCCCAAACCTCTTCATGGCAGTTTTACGTGTAACCAGGTCCTTGAATAATGTCGTTTAGTTTAACACCATTTCGTTGTAACGTTGATGAGATGCCTCGGGCACTTAACTCTTGTTTATATTAATTAGTCTGTGTTAACATGGGCTTCCTTATATGTCATTTCGCTTAGAAGTCGCAAAACCTATTGACGATGCTGAGCAAGGACTCACTGTATGTGACTTAATGAAGTATTAAGTAAACCTGTGAAATATGTGTATGAAAAGAGAGAACTAGTTGTATGAAAACTAACATATGCTTCAGGAAAGACTTGATAAAGGCAAGTCACTGAAAAACACATTTCTGGCAAATTAGGTGTGGGTGAATCAACTATAAAAGTTGTGGGAGGAACATTGTCTAGAGAAATTCTGTATTCAAATTGCTTTTCATGTGTCTAAGTTTTTTCTTCATCTTACAGTAGCAGAAATTGGAAGCGACAGACATACATTATGGATGCAATTTATTAAAGAAAGAATGTAGAACTCCGAACAGCAGACCTATATCCAAAGAGAAGGCTCTGGCCCTACATCAAAAGAATGGCAAATGAATGTACACTGAACTGTTTTCAGTTAAACTACAATGTTTAAGGTATGTATCATTTTTTGATTCCCTGCTTTAACCTACTTTTCAGATTAAACAGTTGTGTCAGCTACAAGGACTTCAACTGCTCTTCCGAACATTCCAGTTTAAACGTTAGGTTTTCTTTGCTTCTCCCCCTCATGCCAAGAGCCCACAAAGATGTGTCTGGTCACGGCTTCAAGGGCCACACACTCTGAGACAGTCGTCACTCTATCTATACTCAGAGCCTCAGTTCCTTCCACATCTGTGAAACAGGGACAGTCCTGCCCCATCTATCAAACTGCAACAGAGACTAAGACGAGGTGATGCCTGAAAATGGGGAATTATTCTTTCACCCCTGCCTGGCCAGCCTCTATGCCGCCTGGCTGGCAACTCTTCCTCTTTCTAAAGTCAACGCAGGCACCACCTCCTCCAGGAAGCTTTCCCTGAGACTTCCCCCCGGAGTCTAGGTTGGTTTCTGCTCTTTTGGGTGCCATTTGTGCAGGGTGCTTCCCCTTCACTGCCTAGCTCACCCTGGTCAGTAACTGGTCATTTACTTGTTTGCTTCCCCTCCGGGACTACCAGCTCCCTGAGGGCAGAACTCTACTCTTCCTTCTGACCACCAGCGCCTGGCACAGAGTAGGTGTTGTGAGACGGTCAGCCAACTGGGGGATCATTTCACCTGCACTCTCAAAACACTGTACATATTCTATCCAGCGCTCAAAAGAAGGAACTTAGATCATTTGTGTCTGCTGTTCCTCTGAACTAAAATCTCCATTTTTACAGCAGGGCCCCAAAGTCCCGCTCAGTCACCTCCCACTGTTACGATGATGGAGCAAGGGAGTTCCAGTCCTTACTTCCAGGAAAATGGGAATAACAACCCCTGACTCTGGAGGTACTGGAAGGAATAAAGTGAGACGCTGAGAGTAGAGCAGAGAGCCCGACACCCAGGAGAAGTCAACAGAGCAAGCCTTCCCGAGGCCACAGGGCTGAGCTGGGAGCCGGACCCCACGCCCTCCCCGGAGGTTCCCCTTACTCAGGAGCCCAGGCCTGACTGCTGACGCTGGGAGGTTTCTGTTGTTGTCGTGTCTGTCTCCTCTTTCACAATGAAAACTCTCAAACATTGACAAAAGTAGAGAACAGGAGAGCGAACCACCAAGGTATCCATCCATCTTCAGCAATTACCAAATTGTGGCCCAAACAGTTTCAGCAACATCCCTGCCCATCCTCACCCTAAAATTATTTTTAAAATCAATCTCCCAGAAGCCAATCATATTTCATTGATAAAATATTTTAGTATATAACTCTAGAAGAAAAAGATTCTTTAAAATGACGATATAGTTACCACATCTAAAACAATGACAATAATGGCCTCCAATCACTAAATACGTCAGTAGACATATTTCCCTGATTGCATCATAATTTTACTTTTTGAACAATTGATTTGATTCTAATAAATATGGACTGTAAATAAACACCATGTTTTGCATTTGATTGATGTTGTTCTTAAATTCCTTTTAATCCAGTGGTTCTCAGAGCAAGTGACAGAACCTATAAAACCAGAACGCTGGGCCCACTCCTAGATCCGATGTAAAACCAGAACGCTGGGCCCACTCCTGGATTCGAAGTAAAACCAGAACGCTGGGCCCACTCCTCGATTCGAAGTAAAACCAGAACGCTGGGCCCACTCCTCGATTCGATGTAAAACCAGAACGCTGGGCCCACTCCTAGACAGTCTGATTCAATGGGTCTGGGATGAGCTCCCAAAATTTGCCTTCCCAACTAGTTTCCAGATGTGCCGATGCTGCTGGTTGAGGAACCACAATTTGAGAACTAGTGCAAATCTGCAAGTTTACTCCCCTTTTCCCCCTTTTCCCTCAGATGAAGAGATGTTCTAACTCACACTGCCCCAGACAAGAACCAAGCCATTTCTCCAAGCACTCCCAGTTCCCTTTAGTGGGAAAAGGTATTTAGAAACCACAATTTGTAGGGAGGAGGGAAGAGGTAAACCACAGAACCTATATGCATATAAGCATAACCAATGGACACAGACAACAATGCTGGGGGCGGGTGGGGATTGGGAGGAAGGTGTCAATGGGGGAAAAAAGAGAAACATCTGTAACAAAAATTAATTAATTAAAAAGCCTTCTAAGTAGAGAGAATTAGTAAACTTTTAAAATAGTAATAATGCATCATGAGTTCATACTGATATTTCCAATTTAAATTAAAGATTACAAAATTTTACTTCTTTGATTTTTAATTTATTTAATCTCTTCCCTGACTAAAAACCTCAACATAGTTACCTGTTTTACTCTCTAATAGAAATATAAGTCTTAGAATATCAGTACCGACATTATTACTAACAGTTCCATCCCTGGAACAGTTCAACATGCCACAGACCTGTGCACCCTCAGTGTCCCACGAGGGTAACAGACAGCCTAGTGCTGCAGTGGTTCCTCTCCACGTGGCTACGCCTTCAACACTAGATACACTAGTTTGTTCGTTTCATCTTGCTGTAAAGTTTTAGAGACTGCTTTTGTCTCATTTCGACTTATTTTTATTTATAAGTATGTAAAACATTTATAGTTTCAAAGTCAAATTTACAAAACCAGTCTGTTCAGAGGCAGCACCTTCCACCCTCCTCCCCACCCCACAAGCAGCTTGCTTTCACCATTATTTATTCTGCCACTTAAAACATTCCTAGAAGTGGCCCTGGCCGGTCTGGCTCGGCGGTTAGAGCGTCAGCCCGCAGACCAAGGGTCACAAGTTCCATTCCTGGTCAAGGGCATGTACCTGGGTTGTAGGCTTAATCCTTGGCCCGTCAGGATTGTTGGGAAGGCAATCAATTGATGTGTCTCTCTCACATCAACGTTTCTCTCTCTTCGTCCCTCCTTTCCACTCTATCTAAAAAATCAATGGAAAAGTATCCTCGGATGAGGATTAACAACAATACAAATATTTTATAAATGAATGTGTATATGTTTGTACCCCTCCCAACAACCTTCTTACATAAACTGAGGTATATGATCACACTTTCCAGAGTAGTCCTGGGTCTGCAGGGGATGGTGTACTAAATGCAAAAGGCAAATTAATGACACTCAAAGAAAACACTAGGTAGTAAAACGCCATTGGGGCTGCAGGTGAAAACTTGGGAATTGGATTTACACACATTTCACACAAAGAAAAGGCCCTGTATGAAACACAGGCTGGAGGCAATTTAACACCACACAGGGGGTCTGTGTACACCAGCAACCATATGGGAGCATCTCTAAGGCCCTTTCTGTGGCTCTAAAATCTATGATACTAACGTGAGCATAATCAATTCCCAAAAAAAGCCTCGGAAAGACAGGGTGAACCATCACAAGGACTGACCACAGTCCCTGGACCAATTTGCTGGTGGGGGAGATCAATGTGAGTATAATTTACACACACACACACACACACACACACGGAATAAGAACTGCATTCTATTTAACAGACATGAGTGTGTACTGAGGACAAGAATATTGCATTGAGAATACATTGTTTAGTTCAGACATGCTGTGCTCTAAATATCATATGGGCAAATACTAGTTTGAGAGTATGACAGAAAATTACTCGTTCATTTAAAAATATGAACAAATTAGACTTGGCCCCTCCTGGAAAACAGAGGCAGGCAGACATTAAACAAATGAATATGTAATTATAATATGGGATAAGCGGTCTGATGAAACAGAAGCTATGCGAGTGAACAGGGAGCCCTTTCTGACCTTGAAGTAACATTTCAGCTGAGATCTGAAAGGCGAGGAGCCAGCCACCTGGGAGGGAGGCAGGGGACAGGCAGTGGGAGCAGCTGTGTCATCTGAGCCTCAGGCGGAAGAGACCGCGGTGGGTTAGAAGAGGAAAGGCCGAGGTGGGCTGGAACCCGGTGGCCCCCTTCTCTCCAGCATTCACCTCGCACTCGGGGCCCAGCAGCGGAAAGTGGGCAAAGCATGCTTTCCCTGCGCCAGGGCTGGTTGTGTTCTTCTCAAGCTTAGGGCACCCGATCTTCACCCCAGGACCCCCAGAGGGGAATCTCAGGACAGGCTCCTAGACCCTTCCAAGCAGAGAGCTGCTTCCCTGCTACCTCTGCCGCGCCGACAGACCTGAGCGCTACCAGGGCTTCGATCAGGTGAGCACTGACACGGGACGCCCTGCCCTGCCCGGCGCTGCCCGACGCGGCCCTGCCCTGCCCTGCCCTGCCTGCCCTGCCCGCCCTGCCCTATGCGGCCCTGCCCTGCCTGCCCTGCCCGCCCTGCCCTATGCGGCCCTGCCCTGCCTGCCCTGCCCGCCCTGCCCTATGCTGCCCTGCCTTACGCTGCCCTGCCCGCCCTGCCCTATGCTGCCCTGCCCTGCCCGCCCTGCCCTGCCTGCCCTGCCTGCCCTGCCCGCCCTGCCCTGCCTGCCCTGCCCGCCCTGCCCTATGCTGCCCTGCCTTACGCTGCCCTGCCCGCCCTGCCCTATGCTGCCCTGCCCTGCCCGCCCTGCCCTGCCTGCCCTGCCTGCCCTGCCCGCCCTGCCCTGCCTGCCCTATGCTGCCCTGCCCGCCCTGCCCTATGCTGCCCTGCCCGCCCTGCCCTGCCTGCCCTGCCCGCCCTGCCCTGCCTGCCCTATGCTGCCCTGCCCGCCCTGCCCTGCCTGCCCTGCCCTATGCTGCCCTGCCCGCCCTGCCCTATGCTGCCCTGCCCAGCGCTGCCCTGCCCGCCCTGCCCTGCCCACCCTGCCCTATGCTGCCCTGCCTGCCCTGCCCGCCCTGCCCTATGCTGCCCTGCCCTGCCTGCCCTGCCCGCCCTGCCCTATGCTGCCCTGCCCAGCGCTGCCCTATGCTGCCCTGCCCTATGCTGCCCTGCCCTATGCTGCCCTGCCCAGTGCTGCCCTGCCCGCCCTGCCCTGCCCTGCCTGCCCTGCCCGCCCTGCCCTACGCTGCCCTGCCCTGCCCGCCCTGCCCTACACTGCCCTGCCCTGCCTTGCCCTACGCTGCCCTGCCCACCCTGCCCTACGCTGCCCTGCCCGCCCTGCCCTACGCTGCCCTGCCCTACGCTGCCCTGCCCTGCCCGCCCTGCCCTATGCTGCCCTGCCCGCCCTGCCCGCCCTGCCCTACGCTGCCCTGCCCTGCCCGCCCTGCCCTATGCTGCCCTGCCCTACGCTGCCCTGCCCTGCCCGCCTTGCCCTACGCTGCCCTGCCCTGCCCGCGCTGCCCTATGCTGCCCTGCCCGCCCTGCCCTATGCTGCCCTGCCCGCCCTGCCCTACGCTGCCCTGCCCTGCCCTATGCTGCCCTGCCTACGCTGCCCTGCCCTGCCCGCCCTGCCCTATGCTGCCCTGCCCTGCCCTATGCTGCCCTGCCTACGCTGCCCTGCCCTGCCCGCCCTGCCCTATGCTGCCCTGCCCTGCCCTATGCTGCCCTGCCTACGCTGCCCTGCCCTGCCCGCCCTGCCCTATGCTGCCCTGCCCTGCCTGCCCTGCCCGCCCTGCCCTACACTGCCCTGCCCTGCCCGCCCTGCCCTACACTGCCCTGCCTGCCCTGCCCTGCGCCACCCTGCCGCCTCTGGGCAAAGGCTCTGTAGGTTCGAGAAATGACGTGGGGACAGCCACCAGGTCACCAAGCAGAGTCTGAGGTCTCCTTAAGCTGTGTGCTTCTCCCAGGCAGCGTCTCTGGTCAGCAGAGCGGGCGCTCACCTGCCGCAGCCCCTGTTCCCCGCAGACAGAAGCTGACCACTTTCACTCTGCCCGGCTGCTGACTGTGCCTCGAGACGGCGTGAGGAGGCGCAGAGCAACTGTTCTCAAGTCAGTCACGTTCAAGTGACAATAAAGTCGAGCTTTTAAAGGAAGTGTTAATGGTCTTATAATACATAATTTTCACTGATTTAAAAGAAGTAGTTCCTAAGGAGTTAAAACAGATCTGAACAAGGTCCACTAACTATAACGCTGAAAGCTAAGAAAGGGTCAGAGGGTCCGGAGAACGGCACCTGAACTGAAAGACCCAGTAGCAGGAGTGAGCTGGTCCACAGGATAAGCTGGGCCCTAAAGCCCATAGAGTGAAATGATCCTTTGGCTTCAGACACCTGCGCTTTCAAACCAGCTCTGTGACCCTGAGTCTGGGCCTCGCTCCTTAAGCCTGTTTCCTCGTGTGCACGACACAAACAGGCTCCCCCTCAACAAAATCGTCCTGGGAGTGGCGACAGGGCCAGGTTAGGGCAGCAGGGCTGCGGGGAGATGAGGAAGAACACGCAGGGGGCAGCCAGCTCAGTGCCTGGCACGCTCCCTTAACAGACACGGTGCCACCCCCCACCCCGACACATTCCCCAAACTGAGTGCCCGACTGCGGTGACGGTGAGCCAGGTCCTGGGCTGGACGTAAAGGAGACTGAGATGTGAGTCGCAGTGGCGTCCCTGAGCCTCTGCATCGTGTCACGACCCACCTGTTCGCAGTGAAGTGTGCAAGGGCCCTCCGTGGGGAGTGAGACCCTCCAGAGGAGTGTCAGTAACCTCGCGGCCTCTTCCAGGGTCAGCTTGGCTCTGCTCAGGCTGGTGACAAACCTACTCGGGGGTGCCGGGTGCAGACCCTGCATGGGGATGAGAAGGTTGTTACATGCAGTCTCGAAAGACTATGGACAAGCCCGCTTTAATGGCTGACATAAATCTCCGGACCACAGGGCTCACGCTCCACATGCTGGGCATGAGCCTGGTGCCAGACAGCAATTTATTGTTCTTCAAGATTGGTAAATTATAGATTACGAGAGAATTTCGGCAGTGATTTTAGCCCAATCAATAAGCATGATTAATAACCACCTGCATTAACTATATTTACTCTGCCAAGAAGAGGGTGTGCTAGGACCGCTCTCACTGCCTCTCGGGAAGGCCCAGTACTGCACCCTGAACGCTGTCTCGGCCGCCCGCTACGTACAAGCGCACAGCGGGCCTTGCACAGTCTCTCACCCTCTCTGCTGCCAGAAGCTAACTCACACTGGGGGGTGTCCAGGGCATAAGAAAGCAAAGAAAGAATCAGGAAGGGGAAAACACAAAATACATTTCTTCTTCTTTTTTTAATCCTCACCCGAGGACATTTTTGTATTCATCTTCAGATAGAGCAGGAGGGAGAGAGGGAGGAAGAGAGAGAGAGAGAAACATCAATGTGAGAGAGACACATCGAGTGGTCGCCACCCACACGACCCCAACCGGGGCTGGGGACAAACTGCGACCAAGGTATGGGCCCTTAGTGGCAACCGAACCCCGGACTCTCTGGTCTGCGGGTCAACGCTCTAACCGCTGAGGCAAACTGACCAGGGCCACAAAATACATTTTTTAAGAAAAAGAGCATTGTCTTCACAATAAAATACAAAATCAAATAACACCCCCACCCCTTTTAGCTATCAATTGGTAAAAAAACACTTATAAATAAAAATACAGGGTGAAGACAAAGGTGTGGTACGATCACGGTATTTTTGGAAAATGATGGAGCAAAAGTTATCCCAAGAGACCTGAGTGGAAAAAAAAAAAAGAGACCTGAATGAAGAGTCCACGGTCTTGAGAGTGTGATCCCACTTTTGGGAGCTCACCCCTAATGAACTAACCGAAGACACAACTGAAGACCTATTTATAAAGACCATCACAGCTTAGACATCCAACAGCTGATGGTGGTACATCCACATATTAGCTTATTTTCAGCCATTAAAAGTCAAGTTCTAGAAATACACTGAATGAGAAAGGAAAAGTGTTAGTATAATGTGAACTAGAAGTCAAAATATGAAATTCATATATGTTGGAGTCAGTTTAAGCTTTGTGAATGAGCCCTGGCTGGTTTGGCTCAGCGGTTAGAGCGTCGACCTGCAGTCCGGAGTGACCCGGGTTCAGTTCCCGCTAAGGGCACGTACCTCGGTCGCAGTTTGTCCCCAGCCCTGGTTGGGTCGTGTGAGTAGCAACCACTCGATGTGTCCCTTTCACGTTGATGTTTCTCTCTCTCTCTCTCTCTCTCTCCCCCTCCCACTCTATCTGAACAAAATATCCTCGGGTGAGGATAAAACAAACAAACAAAAAAATGCTTTATGAATGAGCTAAAAGTATATTTATCAAAAGTTTAAGTGTTGAATACTATGGGGTATTTCTATAGATGTTTTATTGTTATGCTTTTCTACAGTTTCTAAGTTTTTACAATAAAGATCATAATCAGAAAAGAAATAATCTTATTAATGTTGACTCATTCGTTCAGCGAGTGTCCGCCATGCAGCTACTCCACACCAGGCCCTGAACTCGGTGGGGACACATAACACTGAGCACAGCAGACACCACCCCCCTGCTCTCCTGGAGCTTATTACCTAGTGCACCATGAAACGCAAAACTGACTTTTACAATATAGCAGTAAAACAAAATAAAAAGGCAAAACAGGTATCAGGAAGCTCAAGTATCCTCAGTAAGAACCTGAGAAGAGGAACCAGAAAATGTGACCCTCAGAAGCTTGGAGGTTGGGTCCAGTCTGGGAGGAGGAAGGAAATTTGATGCCGAGCTCCTGGCACATGAGTCCTCAAAAAAAGGTAACTGTAAGGTGAGGGAAATTTCAGTAGGATGAAGCAGGAAGGGGCCCCTCACAGAGGCTGAGGGGTCTCCTAAGCCAGGAGGCACAGGGAGCCAGGGCTGGAGGCAGGAAGTGGCCGGCAAGCAGGACACCGGGACGCAGCCCAGCCGGACGGGAGCAAGGCACCCACGGAGAACCTGGAGATGGCGGTGCAGGAGGCAGCAGACCTGGAAATCAGAACCCTGGCATCTGGACTGCACCGGGGCAAGCGGAGGTTTCTGCAAAGCAAGTGAGCTGACAAAAGGTGTCCTTCGGAAGCAGTGTCGTGACAGAGAAGCGCGCCTTGGAGGACAGACTGCGTGCCAACCCCGACGGCTCCACGTCACTTCACCTCCGCACTGTAAAGCAGGAGGGATGTCATCGCCCCGAGGCTGCTCTGGGACAGGCAACACCAGCCCAGTGCCAGGGGGATGCAGCCGCCAACAACCGTGAGGGGGAGGGCATCTCACACCGGCAGGCGCACCCAAGCAGCTGAGGAATGACTGTAGGGCTGACCATCGCTATGTGAGGACCAGGACCTGTAGCTACCTTGTCACCACAGCAGCTCCAGCCTGAGCACAGAGGCCTGGACAGGTGACGGTTAGGTGACTGGGTAGGGGACACACAGAGGACTGAAGGACAGGACAGATGGATCACCGGACAGACAGAGGCAGTCATAAGGAGATTCCAGTAAGGGATGGCAGTAATGTAGGGTACCAACTGTGACAAGTGTCTCTCCTACAGAAAATAACAGAAGTCCCCCAACTGGACCTGACCTCTCAGCGCTCATAGGCTACATCGCAGGCTCCTCATCCCAGGGCCACACTGAGGACACCGGCGCCCCTTGCCTCCCAGCACCCTCATCCGTTCCGCCCTCAGTGAGCATGTCTCCCCCCAGCTCCATCGGTCAGGTTACCTTTGTTCCCGGCTCTCGACTGGAGGGGCTGGGAGCCTCGCGGATGTGAATGTCCATCTCGGCAAGGAGCTCCTGGCCCTGGCCAATCTGCTTACACAGGGCATCGTAGTCCTCAAGCAGACCCAGGACATGGCAGCCACTCTCACTGGCCCACAAGTGGTGGCCAGGGACCAGGCGAGACACGCACGGGGCGCTGGTGGCCGAGCTGCCACTGTCACAGGAGGGGGAGTCCGTGTCATCTTTAGAGAGTGGAGGAGTCTCTGAAGCTACAGAATGAGAGGGAAGATGTCAGCTCTACTGTGTTCAATGCGCTGCGTGCAACCTTGCCGAACCAGCTGCGAGGGCTAAGGGCAGCCCTCGGTCTGTATGTGACCCAACGTGGGGCTTATTCATCTTGTGGGAGAAGCTCAATTCAATTCAACCAACACCTATCAGGTCGGGCACCCACTCTGCAGAAGACCACTTTATGCAGATGAACGGAGCCAGTGCCTGCTCTCCAGGAGCCCACGGTCCACCAGAATACAGGCACCCATGGGAGGCGGACCAGCACAGGCAAGAGCCAGGGTTCAGTCAGAGATAACCAATCCTCTGTGCAGGAAGGGAGATCCGAGAAGGCTTCCTAGAAGAAGCAACCGCTGAACTGGGTCGAACAGGTAGTAAGAATTATGCTAAAAAGAGGTAAAAAAGCCTGTTGCTTTTACTTTGGGGTCAACAGAAGTCTGGATAAAGAATTCTGACAGGGGACACCAGTGAGGTTTGCATTCACGAGGAGTGGCAGAGAATGGACATGGGCGTCTGGAGAAGGGGAGGTGGGAGTCTGCAGGAACGTGGCCCTCTGCACGGGAACACGAGGGCCCAGGGATAAAGGCAGACAGGCCCCACTGAGGCCATGGAAGTGTCACGCTTGAATCAACAGAGACCCAGTGATGTCCCTGAGGAAAAGCTAACTGGCTTGGAGAAGGAGATCTCAGCCAGAGATGCTGAGAACATGAAACCCCAAATCCTGCCAAACACCCTCTTATAAGCTGAGACCAGCGACTCCTTTTCTTTCATTTAAAAAGTCCTGCTGACAAACCCGACCCTGCTGTCGTCAACCCAGACATCAGCTTTGTACCTGATCTTGGTGGCTCTGCCAGGGCGGAGCCACACAGAGCATGTGAACTATCAACTACCACGGGACATCTGTCACCATCTACAAAATGCAGAATAAGAGAAGGAAAACGAATGGTTACGTTTTCATTCCACACAGAGCACTGAAGAATGCAGCAGTGTCCGACACACAAGCACTGGTTCACACCCTCACTAGGCCTGTCCTGCCAGGCCCCGTGCAGGCCCCGGGGTAAGAATGAGCAGGCCCACTCTGGCCAGGTGGCTCAGCGCGTGGGAGCGCCATCCCATACACCAAAAGGTTGTGGTTTCGATACCTGGTCAGGGCACATACGGGAGCAGCCAATCGATGTTTCTCTCTTTCTCTCTCTCTCCTCTCTTTACAATCAATGGAAAAAATCATATCCTTGAATGAAGTGTTAAAAAATAAAAATAATTTTTAAAAGAGTGAGCAGGCTCAGTCCCCTCCCTGGAAGGACCCTCTTGTCCAGACACGTAAACAGGCAGACTCCGTCTGGGGTGGTCAGGGCTGAGGGAGAGAAGCTCAGGGGAGGGGTGCTAACCCAAGGACAGAAAGAAGCTCAGCAGAGGAACGAGCAGAGGCAAAGGCAGGGAGAAGTGAGCAGTCACAACACGCCCGGGGAGAATGAAGCACTTCAAGGGCTGAGCCCAGGGAGCTGAGTGCCAGGCCAGCACTGGGAGGACTGTGGGACCCACTCAAGGCAGTGGGCAGGGCAGTGTCCAGCTGAGATCTGCGTTTTGGGCTACAGGAGTGAGTCTGGAGGCTGCTGCAGTAGCTCAAGCAAGACAGAAGTGTGACCGGAAGAAGGGCTTGGGAGGTGATGTCTTTGAAACAATGGAAGGAGGCGAAACCAATTAGATGCTATACAAAATGATCTGCGACACAAGCAAATGCAAAACAGCCAGCTTTCAAACCTACCAGGATGCCTTTCAGATCCCGAAAAACCCTGCCAGCCAGGATAAGACATTTGAAATCTCTTTAAAGGCAGTAAGAGGGACTAACAATGATTCTCAGCAGTGGAGGGATGTGGGCAGGACTAGATGGATAGCAGGGAACAAGACCGAGGCAATGAGGGCAGCTGCAGGCCCAAACTCCACTTCCCTGAGAACCGGGGGGCCCCAGACAGAGATGACACCATTCTGCCAAAGGTGACAGCTAATTAGTGGTCAGGTCGCCTGGCGCCCAGGGTACAGCATGTCTGCTGTCAATGGGCAGCATCCAGGCACTCGCGACACACAGGGCCGCCTCCCCTGACGGGGAGGCCGGCAGGAGCAGTACCGTGTCTGGCCACCGGAAGGGGCTGCTCAGGCGTGGATAGGGTCTGGAGAGCCGATGTGAGTGCTGCCTCCGGAGCCTTCCTCCCGCCCGCTGCCAGCTGCTCCTCCAGCCTGCCCTGCAGTGTGCTGTTGGTATCGATGCTCCTTTCCAGCTGTGCCCGCAGAGCCTGGATCTCGGTCAGGAGGTCATGCAGGTCACCAGGAGGGCCCTGCCCCTTCCAGCCTTCTCCCGACGCCTCTGCTCTGGACTCTGCGAACACGTGCAAAGGGAAGCTGACATCTTCCACCAGAGGGTCAGCCGTCAAAGGAGCTCGACAGTTTCAAACCCACCGCTGCCATCACCCTCCCCTTCCTAAGAACCAGGTACAATTTAAAATAACAACTTGACTTTAAAAACAAAAATATTGGCAGGCTTAATTGCTGCTATTGCACAGACTAAATAAGAGCTGGAAATTAATTTTCGCTTTTGGCCATAAAAGCCGAGCAAATTGCACACCAAACCCCGAAATTATGTCTAGTAGTAATAAAATCTATTTGGGTGGAATTATAGAATGAAAGGGGCTGATTTTAAAAGCCACAGTATATTAAAAAAGCACAACAGTTAGAATAAGAAAAGCAACTTGAAGAGAAATAAGAGCTGTGAGGTGACCCTTTTCTAGATAAACTTTCAATAGGGAGAAACCATCTGGAAAATTAGCTTTAAAAAAAAAACAACCCACCACACCTCAAAATTGATTCTAAAACCTCTGAGTGTACAGTCGCGGGGCTCTGACCTGGCACCTCTCTCGGCATGCAGAGGGGACCCAGGCGAACAACCGTCTCCAGAGCAGCGCCCCGGGTGGAGCAGGGCTCCATAAATACGTACTGAATGACTGGGCAGAGAGCAGCCCATACTAGCAAGAAAATGACAATAGAAGTCATACCTTCAGTGCTTACTATGTGCTAGGTACTGTGCTAGGATGTGTTTAAATGATCTCATTTAATTCTCAACAACTCCACCGAACAGGTATCCATGGGCACATTTCGAGAGGAAGAGAGGGGCCCAAAGGGGTGAGCGGGCCTGCCAGAAGCCACAGAGGCGGAAGCAAGGCAGTGGAAATTCAGCCCTCAGCTGGCTGACTCCTGAGCCCGCGTCCTTCCATGTTTCCTGCGGCCTCCCGTGAAGAGTGGGCCAGAGGGCTGGCTTCGCAGTACCCCTCCTCCACCCAGGCAAGCGTGGGGAGTGGCGGCAGCATCTCAGGAAAGAGTGCTGGACCCCATCTGGCTGAGAAAGGCCTCGGCTCGGGCACAAGTAGTACCTCTGGGGACCCGGAGTTCCACATCCAGCTTCTCGTACACCTTCAGCTCCACGCGCAGGGACTGCAGTAGCTTGTTGTTCTGGGAGAGCAGCTGCTGCCTCCGTTTCGACTCCTCCTGTACCCTGCGAAGGCCCCAGCACCACGGGGAGGGAGAGGTTAATCTAAATCAGAGTGACTTCGTCCAACCCACGGGCCAGCCGATTCACCCTCAGCTAGGAGAGTGCAGACCAGAGTGACAAGCATCGCTAAGAAGGCCAGTCACAGCCACTTCCGAGTGCCTGAGCCCAGCCCTCTACATACGTTCTCTCACGTGATCTTCACAGACACCCAGAAAGGAGCGTGCTACCTGATCCTCGACCAGGATACAAGGACGTGAAGCTCCCAAGGTTGTGTCTCACCCAGGGCACAGCCCAGGACAGGGGCCCGGACTATGTGATGGCCCACACAATCACCACCCGTGGCCGAGGGTGATGTCGGCCTCTACAAGAGCAGGACACTCACGAGAGCCCACAGGAAAGCCAAGAAATATGGGCCAAGGCTGAGTCGAAGGGGAAACTGCGAAGAGCAGTTAGTACAATCCCTTTAAAATCTGTCAGACTCATGCTCTGCCTCCACTCGGAATCCTCCCCAACCTTCCTGTCACTCAGCGTAAAAACCGTCCTGGCCACGCGACAAGGCCCTATGTGATCCGGCACCCAGCCCCTCTCTGCCCTCACCCCTACCACAGCCTCTCTCCAGCTACACGGGCCTCCCTGCCTGCCCGGCAGAGGCCAAGGACACCCTGCCTCAGGGCCTGTACCCTTTCCTTCGACAATGGTCTTCCGCCAGAGATCCTCAGAGCTCATGCCCTTCCTGCCTTCCCTGATCCGCCCTGGATAAAAACGCGCAGTCTGCCCCAGACCCCATGCTCCTTACTGCAGTGCCCTCTCCCCATGTACTTTATTCCCACGTGACATATTATGTGTTTGGATGCTTCCTGCTCGTCCCTGTGCACCGAGGGAGGGGCTGGCATGCCCCACTCCATGGTCCCAGCCCAGCGCCCAGACTCCGCCCAGCCACCGGCCAGGGCTGCGCCGCCAGCACCTGCTGAGCTCGCTGCGGCCCTCCCGGAGCTCCCGGAGCAGCTGCTGGCTGTGCCGCTCCCTCTGGGCCGCCTCCTGCTGCAGCCTTTCCTTCTCCCCCTCCACACAGGCCAGCTCTCGCTGGAGCCGCTCAAGGTCCGCAGTCTTCCTGGAGAGGGCCTCTCGTAATTTTTCATTCTCCTTCTGTTTATCTGCAAACACAAAACGCGCCACTGAGAAGAGACACCATTTGTTTTTTCCGACCTTATTACGCAAATACAGCACTTCAGCTCGAGCACTCCAAGAATACAAAAGAGAATGAGATTTAATCCGGCATTTATGATTCTGGCACTCCAATTATCTTATGCATTCTGGGCAGATAAATCTGTCAACATCAAGGCTGCAGATTAAACGTCACTGGGATGAAATGGGCCTGTTTAATTTTCTATTAAATAATGGGCTGTGCAAACCTAGTTACTTTGCCTTCACAGAGCAAACAGTGAGTAGAAATCATAGACAGAGGCAAGAAACAGGCCCCAAATCTCGGCACTGGGTGCTGGAAAGGTCCGCGAGCCTCCCACAAGGCCAGCGGCTGTGCAGAGGGCAGCGCGGCCCCTTCGCCCTGGGCCCCGAGGACAGCACCTCTCCTGGAGAGCAGAGCACACCCGGCCCGAAGGCAGTGCTCTCCTGCTTCCTGGCTCCGTGACCTCGAGTGCGTGTCTGCACCGCTCTGTGCCTCGGCCTCCCCCTGCGCACCAGTGTGAGGACCAGCAGGTGACCGCACAGGCCTTCAGAGGCACCAGAGGCTGTGAGCACCGCAGCGGGAGCACCTCCGGCAGATCTCCACCTGCCATCTTACTCTCTTCACAGCACACCTCCAAGGCAGGTACTAGGACTCTCCCGTTTTCCAGACAGGAAAATAAGCAGCGAAGAGGTTAAGACTTTCCCTGAGATCACACAGCCAGTGAGTAGCAGAGCCAGGACTCACACCCAGGTTTTCTGATTCCACTTAACCATGACACATTCATTTCCGAGCAAATTTTCTCCTCCCCGCTCTGACCCCAGCCACGCTTAGCTTCCTGTCACTTCTGACGGCCTACACTCACCCCATCTCTAACCCTAGGCCTTACCTGCTCTCTTTCTTCCACGGAAAAGGCCCTGCTCTTCTCCACTTCAGGCACCGTGGTAACCCCTAGTATCCTTCTAGACTCCGCTTCTGAAGACCAGCCTTCCTGGGTCAGGATGCCGTCTCCAGGCCCTGCGGCCCCAGCCTGCCACACTGTGGCTCGTCCTCAGACTGGCCTGCACGGCCGCCTGGCTGTGTCTCCCATCAGACCACGAGGGAAAGGGACCAGTTCCCACTTATTCCTGCATCAGCATCCAGAGCATCCGCAGGACCGGAGCCAGGAATGTTCGCTGAGTGAGTGAATGATGTGCAGAAGCCTGAATTTCATCTCTTACACCAAAATCTGCACAACTAAACTCTGGGGAAAGGGAGATAAGCTGGCCCAAGGTCCAGCTCCACCCCTTCTAGCTCTGTGTCCACAGCCCAGTCAACCCCTTAGGCCTCAGTCTCCTACCTGTGAACTAGGACTCATCATATCATTCCAGGAACCTTCGAGGATTGAGAAGTAATGTCAGCAAAAGCTCTTAAGGGACTAAGCTCCAAACAGAAGGAATTAAGAGAAGGGGCCTTTATAGAAATAGTGGAAAAATTCTCTTAACATAGAAACCTCTGACCGAGATGTGGCAGTAATCTATCTCCTGGCCTTCTCTCTTCCACTGTGCACTCCGACAAATGAGAGGTGGCTGTGCCGAGGGGATGGGTAACAAGTAGAGACAGCAACACTGAGCTGAGGGTGTTAACGTGTTTCATTGTCGTAATAGCCCTACGAGGTGCTCCTGCTTTACAGCTAAGAATGCCGAGGTTCAGAGGCTAAGTGACCTGCCCAAAGTCAGGGCGACGGGATGGGAACCCAGGCTGGTCAGACCGCAGTGCCTGCGTGCTTCCGCGCCAGGGAAGGCTGTGGCGCTCCAGGGCGCAGGAGGCCCCTGTAAGCCTTACCTCTGGGTCCTTTCGCGAGCAGTGTATTGAGGGCCTGGTTCTGCTTCCTCAGGAAATGAATTTCCGACATCAGAGAATTATGCAGCTCTGAACCACAAGCAAAAATGTTTGAAGACCCTATAAGAACACACACAAACAGTGATTTATGCACGGTCCACAGGTCAGTAAAGAAGTTTCTAGAAAACAGCTTTAAATAATGAGGAAACACAAGAAAATCACTCCTGTGAACTATGTGTGGTGTTACCAGAGCCTGAAGGAAGATAACAGTGAGCGTGACAGAGGAGACAAGAGGGGCTCCCATACTTTACCTGTCCTAGGGGTGAATGAGGCGGTGGCCTAGGCTGGGGTGGGATGAGTGGGCAACAGTCTTAACCTCCACAGACATCTCTCCAGAGGTTCGAGCCCTCTGTCCAGCTGCCTGCTGGCCCTCTCCGTCCCCCTTCACTCTTCCTAACCTGCTCTCTCTTGTCTCCTGCCTCTGCAGACGTATCACCACTCTCCCTAGCCCCAGCCAGACACCTGGAACACCCTAGACACCTTCTCTTCCGCTGCCCGACCAGACAACCGTGACTGCTGACTTCCTGCAAACGCCTCGGACACGGGTCTACCCTCTTCTGTCCCGCAGTCCAGGCCTTCCCACCTTGCCGCCCAGCTACTCTGCCGATGGGTCAGCATCCTAAACACAGTCCACTCATGCCATTCTCTGCTCAAACGCACTTGACGGCCCAGCACTGGAAAAGACAGACAGACCAGACACCAGGCCCAAACTTCAGATCTCCATCACTTTGCTCGGACCCCCTGGCATTCCCCACCCTCTCCACCCGGTGCCCTCAAGTGCAGGCGAACTGGGCCACTTCTGTGCCGAACGTACTATGTGGCCACACATCTCCCTGACTCTGTGGAATGAGGTATTCCCTTTGCCTGGAATGCCTACCCCTTCCTCCCCTGTCAAAATCATACTCGTCTTTCAACTTTCAGCTTAAATTCACTGCCTCCAAGTGTACATTAACAAGATCAGGGTCTGAAGCTAGACAGACTGGGTCTGAGGTCACTTACCAGCTCCGACTGGTTTCCTCATCTGCAAATACTTCCCTGGGCTGTGGTCTACCTCCTGAAACCCCGACCCTTCCTCTGGCCGGATGCCTCCTCTGACACCTCATCCCAGCACTCCTATCCTCTGAGCCTTCCAAGTCTGAAGCACATACAGAGTTCACGTCCACAGCCCCCTGCAGAGGACCCCTGGTGTGCAAGGTGCTCTCTCCATGTTGTGGGCAGATGCCTCCCTCCAGTCTTCCTTACTGCGTCCAGTGTACCACCGAGCCAAGTGCCAGCCTCCTGCCTTCCAGCCGCTGGTGTAGCTAGACCATGGTCATGTGCTGCTTCCGTCAGGGAGACTTGATGGGAAGCCTGCTGGGGACTTCTGGGGAAGACTTCCCACCCAGGAGAAAAGGAAAGGGCAGGGAGAAGGCCCGCCCTCTCCCTTCCGTGCTCTGGACACTGTCCTGAAAGGCTGTGATGCTCATAGTGCAGTCACCACGGGCACTAACCCCAAGCCTGCTACCAGAGCCACTGACCCTGCCTTGGAACTGCCTGCCTCTGGATCTGAGTTGTAAGAAAACATACATCCCCCTTGTTTACACCAGTTGTACTCATATTCCATCACCTGCAGCTGAAAGCCCCCTGGTACACAACTGAGACCTGTAGCAGTCCAGCTGCCCAGAAGGAAGGCACGAGCAGGTCCCCCAGAGCCAACGCCCATCCTCTCTCCACGCGACAGCACTCCTTCTCTCGGGCTCATGGTCCACCACCACCATGGCTTCCGGCTGTAATTCACACACGTCTCCCCTCGTCTTCCTCCACCTCCTCCATGAATTCTGGTGTCTTTTCAGAGATACCTGGGTTTGAACCATGGATCTGGCTACTTAATAGCTGCCTAACTTCCCTAAGTTTCCATGAGCTCAATAAAAATGATAGATACTATTATTAGTGTAATTACTATTTATATAAATATCAAGACTAATGACAGGATGGGGCCAAAATAGAACCGAAGAGCAATCTGGATGAACAGGAAAAACTCTAGAGAAGTCTACATGACCACAGCTAAGGCTGTCACTTTGCAAAGGGGTAACCAGGCCAAAGAACAGTCCCTGATGAAGCCTGAGCTGGCGGGGCCCACGTATGATGCGGGGAGGCTAGTCTTCCCCGAGGCCATCACTGTAAGCTCATATAACTGGTGACGAGCTGCAAGATCTGACATGTGAGGTGACAGTTTAAACAGTATTCCACCTCGACATTACAAGGAGCCACACCCTCCTCACACCTGCTCCCAAGGTGAGCAGCTCACAGCAGGGGGAGGTGCAGCCACGTTTATTTCTTGTCTCCTCAGAGGCTGCAACACCAGGGTGAAGACAGCGTGTCTTTCCACCAGTGGGAATACTTTATGAATGCCTTTTTGTAAACCTTCCCGTCAAAGGGAATTACTCTCCAGAGCAATTGTCTGCTCCATTATAGCTGGTGGCCATTTGAGCCCCCAACTAATTCTATAATTGGATTTGCCAGAGAAAATGTAAAACAGAATGAAGCTAATTCAGGCATTACCAAGAGTGAATGTGAAGGGCCCAGGCGTGTATTTCTTTTCTGTATTTGATATGACTAACAAGTCAGATTAATAAATTTTCCTGGGGGGCGGGGGGAGGATGCCAGATGGGAGGTGGGGAGGGAGAGAGAGAGAGGTGGAACCATTCTGAACCAAATGGCAGCATGTGCCGTACTCTGAGGAGCTGTCCTTTTCTAGGACGATGGCTGGGACGGGCTGGAGGGGAATGAGAACTGGACTAGGACCCAAAGACTCAGCACTGCCACTGAGTACACCTCGCAGAGCTCAGTTTCCTCATGTCCAAAAATGGGAGTGACATTAGCAACCCACCCTTTGCAGAGCTTCACAATGTTAAACCAGTAGTATAGCATACAATAAAAGAGCAAAATAAAATGGATAATGACGCTGAAAACCACCATTTATTGAGTGGAGTACTGAGCAAGGCCCCATTCATAACACTGCCCCCATTTAATCTCAGTGACCCTTACAAGATAATTAAGATTGGGAGAGGTGAGGAGACGTGCCCAAAGTCACAAAGCTGATCAACAAGCACTGGGGTCCACACCAGGCCGCCCATCCCAGGTGATCTCAGGCTCTGCCTCCCACACAACCTGCTCTCAAGGCACATGCTTCACAGAGTGAGGACACTGTCTTCGGAGCAAGAAGAAGATGTCCGAAATGTATTGTTCAAAGAAAAAGAGGGGACAGAAGAGTGATATAAAGTATTCTACACCTTTAGCCCAGCTGGTGTGGCTCAGTGGTTGAGCATCGACCCATGCACCAAAAGGTCGCCAGTTCGATTCCCAGTCAGGGCACATGCCTGGTTTGTGGGTGAAATCCCCAGTGGGGGATGTGCAGGAGGCGGCCAATCAATGTTCTCTCTCATCAATGTTTCTATCTCTCTCTCCCTCTCCCTTCCTCTCTCTCTAAAAATCAGTAAAAAGAAAAATATACATGTATTTTAAAATATTCTACACCTTTGAGATAAGTGAGAAAGGGTGTAAGAATATATATATTTGTATTTACATTTAAAAAACACTGTTTAAGCCCTGGCCAGTTTAGTTGAGTGGTTAAGAGCACTGGCCTGAGGACCAAGGGTCATGGGTTCTATTCCTAGTCAAGGGACCATACTTGGGTTGCAGGTTCGATTCCCAGCCCTGGTTGGGGTCGTGCAGAAGGCAACCAATCGATGTGTCTCTCTCATATCAATGTTTCTCTGTCTCTGTCTCTCTGTCTCTCTCTTCCCTCCCTCCCTTTCACTCTCTCTAAAAAAACCACTGGAAAAATATCCTCGGGTTAGAATTAACAAAATAATAATAATAAAATAAAAAACAGTTTAAGAATACAGAAAAAAACCGAAGTGGAGGAGAGATGGGATAATAAACTGATGGACACAGAATAGAGGTATTAATTTTTGAATCGTGAATATCTTACCTATAGAAAAACTATATATTTTAAAATTCTTCATGGAAGAATACCCATTGGGAGCTGTGGCTATGCAGCACTATTGGGGACCTTTTGATTGGCAAGCGAGATTTACCAAACTGCTAAAATGCTGATATTCCTATAATCCATTATTAACAAAAAGACAAACTACTGCTTCATTTGTTTTAAAATACCTATCTATTTCTCTACAGCTTGCAGGGCGAATGAGGAGCCAACCACAGCCGGGCGTCAGAGGCTGGCAGACTTCTCCAATGACCAGAAATGAACACTGATCAGGTGACTGCTCTGTGTGAGGGCTGTGGGAGCTACAGAGTTAGCTCACGTGAGTCCCGTCACAACAGGATGAAACAGAAGTTATTATCCCTGTCTTAAAATTACTAAAAATTACTAAAACGGAGAGTCAGCAGGTTAAGTGAGGGCACCCTGGAGGTAAGCAGCAAAGTCAGGTCTGAACTGAAACCCCTCTGGCCGCAAGTCCCACACTCTTCCCCACACACAGAACGTGCACCCAGGCAAACGCATCACAAATGAAGCCCTCGCAAGCTCGTGCTGACGCTGGGAAGGTCTTTCTTACCTTGATCAAATTCAGACCCTTGCCGTTCCAGCTGTCTCCGTAGCTTCTCATTTGTCTTAATAGATTCCTCTAAACGTTTTCTCAAACTTCGAATTTCTTGGATATGTTCCATTAGTAGGTCTACAGGAAGGACATTTTTAATTTAAAATCTGAAGCCCCTAACAAAGTGAATTACTTCAAGATTTTGCAGTGATCTTGAAATTCCAAGGGCACTGGATGTACTAAGACAGTCAGAACGGGCAGTTCTTTCCTGGGCAGGGGGAGGCTGAGCCGCTGCCCACAGCCCACTGCCCACTGCCCACAGCCCACTGCCCACAGCCCACTGCCCACAGCCCACAGCCCACTGCCCAGAGTCCACAGCCCACAGCCATAGTTCTAGAATGATTCTCTACAGCCTCCACAAGGAAGATGTTTTACATCACGTGGAAAAATTATATTCCACACAACTTTAATGCTAACTCTGATGTAACCCTTTATTCTTCTAAATATCAAATATTAACTTAAAATCTTCCTTGTGGTGAAACTAACAGATCACTCTGAAGTCTGCTTGAATTAACTGAGAGTTGGTAAAACTACCTCCATTATGAATCCTGATAGTTCCTGGACTAATTCTTTGAAAGGTACATACTCTCCATTTATCACTTACTAATTTCAGACTTAAAAACAAAACAAAAATCTCAATGTTAGTGAGACGGTGAGAAGGGTACTCTCAAGAATACATCTTGTGCCCTGGCCAGTTTGGCTCAGCGGTTAGAGCATTGGCCCGCAGACCAGAGAATCCCGGGTTCGGTTCCCACTATGGGCATGTACCTAGGTTGCAGTTTGTCCCCGGCCCCAGTTGCGGTCGTGTAGGTGGCAGCCAGTCGATGTCTCTCTCTGACATTGATGCTTCTCTCTCTCTCTTCCTCCCTCTCTCCCACCTGCTCTACCTGAAGATAAGTGCAAAAAAAAAAAAAAAAAAAAAAAATGTCATTGGGTGAGGATAAAAAAAAAAATTAAAAAGAATACATCTTGTCAATGTGAGTATAAATGTATATAACTTTTTGAGACTATTTTTATCATTAGCCTTAGAAAGAAAGGTTCTTTCCAATGTCTTTTACCAAATAATTCTACTTCTAGGAATTTATTTGAGAGGTCACCAGAGCTGCTGACAACCATTGCCAGAATGCATGAAATATTCTTTATGGCTCTGGTTTGTTAAAAGCAAGATCTGAAAATAACTCAAATGATTAAATGAACTGTATTGCATCTATTACAATGTAATATATTATGAAGACCCTATAATATAGAAAAACACAGATACAAAATGGCTTATCAGGACAATCACAACTCTATTTAAAAATTTGTAGACAGGAAAGACACATAGATACAAAAGAAGAAAATACACCTAAATATTAACAGAGGTTGCCTTTGGGTAGTAGATTTTAGGTTTTTCAAACTTCTATATTACGTCTTAATATTATATTTAATGATATATAAAAATTTTAATTTTCCACATTTTCTAAAACATGCATTTGTCTTTTTTTTTTTTTTAATCCTCACCCAAGGACATTTTTCCATTTTTTGTTCAGATAGAGTGGGAGGGGGAGAGAGGAAGAAAGAGAGAGAGAGAGAGAAACATCGACATGAAAGGGACACATCGAGTGGCTGCCACCTACACAACCAACCAGGGCCGGGGACAAACTGCAACCAAGGTACGTGCCCTCACCAGGAACTGAACCCGGGTCTCTCAGGACCACAGGACGATGCTCTAACTGCTGAGCCAAACCGGCCAGGGCCATTTGTCTTTTTTTTTTTAGCCTCTGCCACACCTTTCTTTAACAAACTTTAACAAACTGACCTCCAACTTAGAGGTCAGTTTCTAGAATCAGAGTTTAAAGCATAATCACATTAAGTATCCAAAGGAAAAACTAAAGTCTTTAATTCACCCATTAGGGTACATTCAGTATGTCTTAGTAATGTTTATTTTAAAACATTACACTAATGTTATGACCCAGTTTTAATTCCTCCAAAACGAATTTCATTTAAAAGTAGGACAATGTTACAGATATTTTCTTAATTAAACAGTAATTCTGCCATGAAACTGAATGTTTATGAGATGACTTCATTTCCAAACCTTCAGCTAGCTCCCGTTAATGCCACAAGTGTGGCAAGTCATTTGCTGGACTGTCTGGGACCCTCGCTGCCCAGCACTGAGGACCGTCTGCAACAGACACCCAGCACGCCACAGCAAGTCACGTCGCTGCACCGCACCTGCTGCTCCCGCCCTGCTGCCCTGCAAGCCTTCCCGCGGCCCGTCGGGTTGGAGTGAGCCAGGAACCCGTCTGCTCTGGCTGTGGCCTCCCTTGCTGGTCTCTCCACATTGCACACTGCTGGCCAAAAGAACACTCAGCAGCAGTCAGTACCAGTCATCTTCTACTGAGTCTGCCGGGAGCTGGAATCAGCACTTGGGCATAAGGAGACATTCCCAGTCGAATTGGACACCACTTATCAATTATGCAGCCCTCACCAAGGAGAAGGAAACAGTATACTTGCCTTTACAAGTGGGAGAAAAATATCCATCCCTCTTAAAATAACACCCTCTGACAAATGCTAACTCTTTAAAACCATACATCCTGTTAAGAAGCAACCACTAAGCCCTGGCTGGTTTGGCTCAGCAGTTGGAGCATTGGCCTGTGGACCAGAGAGTCCCAGGTTCGGTTCCCACTAGGGGTACGTACCAAAAAAAAAAAAAAAGAAGCAACCACCAAAAACACTGTGTACATCTTTTACCTAGTAGTTCCAATATACAGACTCTAGGTGGTTAAGAAATATCTCCCAATAAGGGGAAAACTCCATGTTCAAAGATATTCCCTACAGCACTGTTCAAAATTGTGAAATTTTAGCAATGACTTAAATGTTCAGCAACAGGGGAACATAGAAACCTCCAGTTCAGCCATTCAACAGACTAAGCTAAAGTCACTAAGAATGATGTTCTGTAACATGTCAGAAAGCTTGATATAATGCTCAGTGAAAAGAAAAACACAAAATTATCTCTGTATGCAGATTATGAATATGACAAAAGGAAAAGAGATGCAAAGACTAAAAGTCTAAAGACAAACTGAGGAAACTAATAGTGGGTCTATTAGGTGGTTCCAGTGAGTGCTGCCCCCTTCAGGAAAGTGCCTGCAATCCCCCAGAAGGGCATGATAAGCCCAAGGTCATGGTCCTCAGAGGAATCAGAAATAAAAAATGCCTGAATGGTTATACACCGAAAATAAATAGAGGCTGGGCAGCAGACGGGGCGAAGACTAGAAAAAAGAGGGACAGGCAAGAGGAAAAGTGGGAAGTGCCCAGTACCGTGGCAGGAGGGCTGTGACCCCAGCCCCTGCAGGTCCTCATACTCTCAGTCCAGTCTGCTCCTCCCACAAAGACCTAAGGTCTTGGGGGTTCTGGGAAAGGGGCTGAGTTCCATGCCAAATGGACACCGTGCAGGACCTGGTGGCACTGAGGACGAAACAATTCATGGTCTGACCTAAACCAGAAGAAGGCAGGTCGTACACAAATCGCAAAGGGACACAGCAAGAAATGCAAAGAAAGCAACTCCAGGCGACTGGCTCCTGGAGGACCCCAGCTGAGACCCCAATTACAACAGACGTGCACTTCATGCTCTAGGTACGTTTTCAAACTGTCCCCTCGGGCCCTGCGTGTCCTAGAGAAGCCTGGGTGCCACAGTGGGGACTAAGCCTCCACTCGTACTCTTACATACTGGGCCTACATGTACAAAGGCAGGAGAGGTTCTGTTGCTAAAAAAAGATTTAAAGTTTTTGATTAAAAAAATTTTTTTTAAAAAAGATTTAAAGTTTTTGAAAACTGTTTTTCTATGTAATCAGGTGTCAACAAAGAACTTCAACAAGGAGGTGCCAGGGTCTGACTTGTGCTCTAGGTCCACTCTGGGCGCCTTGACAAGAACACACTAGAAGAGAGGCCAGAAGATGTCAACTGAGATCCAGAGTCTATACCAGGGTCAGAAAACTATGGCCCCTGGGTTGAACACACCCACACCTGCCTTGGTAAATAAAGTCTTATTGGAACCCAACCATATCATTTGTTTACATATTATCTATGGCTGCTTTTTGCTGCAACAACAGGATTTGGTCATTGAAACAAAGACCATATGCTCTGCAAAACCTAAAATATTTACTATCTAGCCTTTTACAGAAAAAGAGTGCAGATCCCTGGTCTGTCTGTTCTGGTCTATACTATTCCTTGAACTTCTGAAACACACTGAGTTATAAACTAAGGCCTACCTAATACCCCAACAGAAGGTAATGAAGACTGCAAATACGGAAGAGATGACGGGGAGCTTCAGGGCAGGTAGGGCCTTGGGAGGCTGATTCTGCACACCAAGCCCATAGCTCCATGGTCAGAGGCAGGGCAAGGGGCTGACCCGCAGGACAAGTGTTACATGAAAGAGATACACAACAGATTTACAGAATTACAAAATATCCAAACAGGGGTTAGGTGATCTCTGGCATTTGTACAATTCAAAGCAGGGGTCTTGGAAGCGCCCCTGCCTTAGGAAGAGTTTGAAAGGAACAAAGGAAGTTAACCAGAGTTGGAAGTGACACAGCCTCAATGCTTTCCAGCCTGGGCTGCCAGAAGGACAAGGAAATGGCAAGTCGTATAAAAAGTCATTATTTAAAAAATAAAAACAAGTTTTTCCTGCCTGGCCAGTATGGCTCAGTGGCTGAGTGTAAACCCATGCACCAAGAGGTCACCGGTTCAATTCCCGGTCGGGACACATGCCCAGGATATGGGCCCAATACCCAGCGAGGGGCATGCAGGAGGAGGCCAATCGATGTTCTCTCTCATCAATGTTTCTCTCTCACTCCCTCTCCCTTCCTCTCTCTCTAAAATCAATAAAGAAAAAAGAATTAAAAAACAAAACCACAAGTTTTCCCTGGGCACCAACACTTGCAGCAACCATAGCATCCCCTGGTGATCAATGATATTCCAAACGAGCAGCTTTGGCCCACACAGGGTCTCCTTCCATCAGAAAGATTCAAATGGCCCTGGCCGGTTTGGTTCAGTGGTTAGAGCGTCAGCCTGCAGTCCTGAGAGACCCGGGTTTGGTTCCCGCTAAGGGCACGTACCTCGGTTGCAGTTTGTCCCCGGCCCTGGTCGGTCGTGCGGGTGGCAGCCACTCGATGTGTTCCTTTCACGTCGATGTTTCTCTCTCTCTCTCTGTTTCTCTCTCTCCCTCCCACTCTATCTGAGCAAAGAATGGAAAAATGTCCTCGGGTGAGGATTAAAAAAAAAAAAAGAAAGAAAGAAAGATTCAAATGTCACGACACTCTGCTTACCAAGGCAAGATGACAAACTGCTGTTGAAACCAGGAACTTGCTATGTTTAAAATGCTTCATAAAGCTTAGCTTACCTTGAGAAAAATTGTTCGCTGTAACTGAAGTCTTCTCAGTCTCACTGTCTTGCTTCTGGTCTTGTGAGGAAGAGGATTTTTCGGACATTTCACAATCGGACAACACCTGGGAGGCCAAAGGCTCGGGAGATTCGGGTAGAGCGTGTCGGCAGGCTAAGCTGTCTTCTTCAACCCTGACCATTGGGATTGAAAGAGAAGCCGTGTTCCACATAGGATCCCAAGCCAGGGCCGTGGCTAAAGACACCCAAGATTACTGGGTCCTTGGTTCGCCACACTGTGTTGGAGCCTTTGTTTCTCTGGAGCATTTTTTAGCAAGGACATTCAAAACCAAAAAGGGCTCAGTGGGCTTGAGTTTGGAGCCAAAGAAGGGGGAGCCGCCACCACCTGCCTCACAGGGGAGAGACCCAAGGGAAAGCTCAGCCAATGGCAGCTGTTTACCGAATGCCAGCGCCGTACCAGGCACTCTGGAGGCACTACCTTACTTGGTCCTGGCAGAAACCCTTGGAATGGGGAGTGTGGTCCTCACTTAGAGCTGGGAAGACTGAGGCTCCTCATACACCTGCCCGCTGCCTCTCAGCTCCCAAGTGACAGAGCTCACATCTGAACCCAGGTCTGCCTGCCCTCGAGAACCCAGGAGAACACGGGAGGCCATCCCATGAAGAGGCCTGAGGGTTTAAAAAATCTCAAAACCCTCGTGGTCCCCAAGCAGGTCACAGCATCACCATTCTAGCAATCATCTGGTTATTAACCTGTATTTCCCAAGGGTAACCTAAGCCATGAGGAAAAACACCCTGAACTCTGTAAAAAGCCCATGTGAATCTCCATTATAGATAAGCTCCTTAATTTAAGCTCTTTTCTTTCTCCCATTTTGTCCTATTACTTCTTGTCTCATTATTCATAAGCTCAGACAAGAGCAAAGGGCTGCAAAGCTGCAACGCATTCATTAACAGGTAAACACCAGATGCAACTCTGCTCAGGCAGCGTGATGGATGTGTGGGCTCGCTGCTGCCTGGCGAAAGTGCGGGTAGGCCAAGGGCACCCGTTTAATTAGCTTAGGAGTGACCCATGTGAGTGCTCGGCCTACAGCTGAAATGGGGAGAACAGAAGGACAGAAACACACCTGTCAGAAATGGAAGGGTGACGCAAGGTTGAGGAGGCCCCGGCCTCCCTCCTGCCCATTCTCCAAGAACCACCGCAGCTTTCAAAATGGCAAATCTGATCATGTCTGGTCCCAGCTTACCCTCCTTCAAAGACTCCCCGCTTCCTACAGAACAGATTTTGTACCTTTTTTTTTTTTTTTAATCCTCACCCGAGGACATTTTTCCATTTTTTGTTCAGATAGAGTGGGAGGGAGAGAGAGAGAGAGAGAAACATCGACGTGAAAGGGACACATGGAGTGGCTGCCACCGGCACGACCCAACCAGGGCCAGGGACAAACTGCAACTGAGGTACGTGCCCTTAGCAGGAACCGAACCCGGGTCTCTCTGGAACGCAGGCCAACGTTCCTACCGCTGAGCCAAACCGGCCAGGGCGGATTTTGTGCTCTTAACACAGTGTTTGAGGACCAGCCCAACAAGGCCCTGCCTACCTCTCCAGCCTTGGTCCTCATATCCCACACACTAGCCACACTGCTCGAAGGGATGACGTCTCCCCCGCCTCGAGCAGGACTTTCTTCCAAACAACGCCCAGCCCTCAATGGTCATCCTTTAGATCTCAGGGAAGACAGTCTCCAGTCTGGGAGGTCTTCCTTGCCCTCCTCACAGCCTGCCAAGGGGACGAGATCTGTTATGTTAAGATTGGAGCAGAGGCCCTGGCCGGTTGGGCTCAGCGGTTAGAGCGTCGGCCTGCGGTCCAGAGAGACCCAGGTTCAGTTCCCGCTAAGAGCATGTACCTCAGTTGAAGTCTGTCCCTGGCCCTGGTTGGGTTGTCCCTTTCACATCGATGTTCCTCTCTTTCTCTCTCTTCCTCTCTCTCCCTCCCACTCTATCTGAACAAAAAACAAAAACAAAAATGTCCTCGGGTGAAGATTGAAAAAAAGGATGGAGTGGAGGGTAAAACTGGGACTACTGCAGCGGGAGAGGAATGTTTCTTCTAAAGTTCCAGAAGCAATGACAGAAATGTCCTCCGGCGAGCTGTGATCACCGCCCTGCCTGCTTGCCAGTGGCCTTCACGATGCCAATAAACACTAAATTCTGTACCCCAGGCTGGTCTCTACTTCTTTATTTTACCCCAGGAGCCCAAAGGGCTGCAGTCCAAAGAGGAGAGAAGTACCCATAGCCCTTAGAGCATTCAGAACCTTGAACAAGTAAGCGGGGGAGGGCAAGACCTTGACAGTTCCAGTTGGCCACAGAGGCAAGCTAAGAAAGTATGCAATCCATTTATTTCATGGATATTTTCTGAATTCCAACTACATGCCAGATGCTTGGGGTTGAAGCAGGTAAAAAGTACTAAAAAGGCAATCTTTGCCCTCCAAAACAATGTGGAACGTCAATAACAGCCTAGGCGTTAAGGTACAACAGGCTCAAGTTCAGATCCCAGCTCTGCCTCTTAATGGCAAGTATGCAACTCTGACCCTCAGGCTCCTCATCCAAAAATGAGAACAATAATGCTCACCTTGTAGGGACAGAAACAGAATGTGAATGCCTATGGCAGTGGCTGAACACACCAACACCCGGTTACTGCTAACTCCTTTCCTCTTTCAGGGAATTCTGGGAGTAAAGAACCCTAAGAAGCCTGAAACACCAATCAGAAAAAATATATGTACCCCCATGTTCCTAGCAGCACTATTTACAATAGCTGAGATCTGGAAACAGCCCAAATGTCCATCAGTAGACGAATGGATAAAAAAGTTGTGGTACAAATACACAATGGAGTACTATGCAGCTGTAAGAAAGAAAGATCTCTTATCCTTTGAGATGACATGGAGGGACCTGGAAAATATTATCCTAAGCGAAACAAGCCAAACACAGAAAGACAAGTATCATATGATCTCACTTATTTGTGGAATATAATGAACATAACAGTCTGAGGAATGGGGTAGTCCCAGAGACGTGGAGGTGGGGTACAGACTGACAATCCCCAGAAGAGGGGGTGGTGGAGGAAAGATAAACCACAGAACTTATATGCATGTATGCATGAACAATGGACATGGACAACCAAGCTGGAGACAGGGCGAGGAGCGGGGGGAGGGGGAATCAGTGGGGGAAAAGGAGAAACATCTGTAACAAAAATAAATTAATTAATTTTAAAAAAAGAATTACTATTAAATTCTCAAAAATTGTGCTTTTTAGCATTTATAATCATTAACTTTAGCATGTGTGTAAGCATTAATAACTTTAAAATAAAAATGGATTTGAAAAAGTTTTAAAAAAAAGACTCAATGTAGAAAGTATTACAATACCATGTGCTAAGTTCTGTAACATAATTATGTGTCAAGTGCTACAGGGAGAGTAACTGATGCTAGGGTGTAGTGGAGAGATGGGGGTTTCAGGAGGAGCCGGGTTCATTTCCACGGGAACTGACTCTGAAGAAGGATTTTCAAACTACAAGGGGAAGAAGGCAGAGTGTGCAGCCGTGCGAAGGCATGGTCTGGAGAACAACAGTCAGAGAAGGCTGAAGCAGGGGCACATGGTAGAAAGGAAGGATGAGTCAGACTGAGAAGGGCCTCAACTGTCAGACTAGGGAGTCTGGGATTTATTCTGCAGGTACCCAGGTGCCAAGAAGAGGAAGGTGCCACCTGGGTCACAGCGTCTGACAGAGAAATGCCACAGGTAACCTCAAGCAACTGAATGAAGGCTGCAGGGCACAGTGTGGCCCCTTGGTTTTGTGTGGCCATTCTGTTTCACAGGTGTTTAGGTTTTATTTACAGGAAGCAGGAAAATGCCCACCGGAGGGAGCAGGGATACCAAAAAAGCCAGCAGACAAACCTCACCCAGTCGCCTTACCAAATGCTACACTCACCTCTCTATCAGTTCACTCTGGGTGCTCCTTTCCACTCCTACCGATTTTCCTGGAAGCAGAAAGAATAGCATTAAGAAGGAAAACATTTTTTTAAAGTGTTCCCTAACAATTTCTCGCTCATATGTTTGCAGAGACACTCCCCCACTTGTTTGACACCACTCTTTCTATCAATCCCGGGTATTTAGCAGGTTCACCAAGAACATAATCCGGACCAAGACCAGGTCTAGCAGGAAGGTGAGCACTGACGCTAGACGCAGTGACAACGGTGCAGGCCCTCATCCTTCTCTAACACCCCCACGAGAACAGGACACGTGCTCTTTGTAGGGAATGGGTGACAAGCAAGACAAAGAGCACTGCCCTTCGGGTACCCACTACCCTTGTGTCACTGGGCATCTTTCCCCTCTCTGTCCATGCATTTACGAACGGCTGATGGGATATTGTGACGACCTGTCACTTCATACTTTATAAGCATTTCTCTTACTAAATTTGCTTTAGAAACATCATTTTTAATGACCACATTAATATTCCACTGTACACATGCACATACCACAATCTCGCCAGTCCCGTTTTGACATTTAGGTTATCTCCAATTTTTCACTTTCATAATAGTAAATGAAATAAGCATCTTTGTGCATGAGCTTTATCTGCATTTAAATTATTTCTTTCAGAAAGACTCTCAGAAGGAGGGTTACTAGGGAAAGGAGTATATGAGTACAGTTGAAAAGGCCACTGTCTACAACAGGGGACGTGACAAAGTAAAACGAAGCAGAACTGGGCAAAAGACCCTCTTCTCTCTCCTGCACGTCACCATCATTTGCTGTTTGAAAGGAGGCACATGAGCCCAGATTCCAAAAAGACCAGCAATTTTACCTGAAAAAGACGTCAGAACTCTGGAAACTGCAGGCTGAGATGAGCTCTTTGAAGACACTAACGTGTAGCTAAAGGAGAAACAAACCCTTCTACAGCTGTACTTGGAAAATGAGAGTACAATAAAACTGCACCCACACATACCATTTTCAAAACTACTCCTAAAGGAAAAGTTCTCAAACACCACAGCACGCAGGAAAAGATCACTGGAGACTCGCACATTTGCTTTCTGTCTTGAGGTTCCCACAGATGGACTCGAGGGCTGGCTGGGGCGCTGACAGGGCTCCTTCTCCACCCACCACGCCAGCCTCTGGGCCTCAAGTCACTGCCAAGTACCCTGTGCTTGAAAGGCACCTTCTACTTCAGGGCTCTGTCGGGCTCTGGGAAGCAGTCAGACAGGCCTGAGCGGCCAGGGGCCAAGCCCTGAGGATGGTTCTTTAATGACCACTGATATTCAAGAACAGGCCTCACAACCATCCTACAGGCCAGTGTCAGCATCCACTTTACAATAAAGAAGTGGGAATCCAGGAGGCTTACTGCTTCCACTCTCCCTCTGCCAGTGCACACTCTCACCTCCTTCCCTGCACATTCCTGTTCAGCAAGGAACGTGGAGACGTTCCTACAGCTAGCGCAACCACACATCGGTCTCCATCCTCCTGCTAACAGCCTGCAGGATATGACATTTTGGCTCCTGGAAGGTAGGGAGGGGTTGGAAGGCCACTATCACAGTGGATGCTTCTGGGGCTCCACCTTTCTGTCCTCCACATTCCTCTTCCAGGGGGAATCTACATCTGACTGGCTCAGATTCCAAGACCTTGCCTGGGAGTCCCAGACTGCAAGACCACCACAAACAAGCAGGGACAACTGCACATCCAGAGAACAACTCAGCCAGCCTTTTCCATCTCACACCTGCACTAGGGCCGCTTACCCACATTCAGCAGATGACGAAGTTCTGGCCCTGCTGATGCTGAGGAGGGGCCGTCTGCTGTAGCCCAGTCTTCCAAAGAGCTCAGGCACCCTCCACACACCAGCCAGGCCAAGAGATCCCTGCTTCACACTCAGCATCGTTCAGGGGCACACACTGCCGGGAACTTCGTGGGGCAGGCTTTGAGCATTAATAAGCTGATCTTGAGACCATCAAAACCTCTCCTCAATTCCTAACAAAATCCATGACCAAAGAAGGAAGTGCCCTGATGCCACCAGTAGCGTGGGTTTCCTCTTCGTCAAATAAGAAAGAGACCCCTCGGGGGGCCTGTAATGACTCAACAATTGTATTCCACCCATTCCCTACCACAACAGCGTTCTTTAACACCAAATGACAAACTGTTATTGTGGGAGTCACAGGGAGATCATTACAGCTGATGCATCGACTTTCCTGGTGGAAGCTGCCTGCATACAGGTGACAGGGTATCCCATCTGCCAGGCCATTTCCAAAAGCAGAGGAAGGATGTCATGCAAACACTGCTCCCATCTCTCAGGTAAATCTTACTGCTATCCCTAAAAGCTGTGTGGCAGTGAGGGGACCGCCTCTTTCCAAATAAAAAGACATCCAGTTATTGAATTCACATTTGAACAAGCAATAGATTATTAGGCAGGACAGACATGTTACTGTTTGGCCCACCTCTGGTTTCCTCTCCGCAGTGACCCATCCTGCACACTGCCACCATTTAAAACGACTCTTTCCAAACAGTACTCCCCAGCTCAAAGCCCCTCCACTGCACAGAACTGAGTTCCAACAGCACAGCCTGGCATCTACCTTCCTCTCTGTCTCACTGGTAACTCGTATTATGTATTTCCAGTGTTCCCCTAGGACCAGACCCCGAGGAGACAGAGAAGACTGAGGAACCATCCTGCCCACGACGAGTTCACCGCTGAGTGACAAAGGGCAGCATGGGGTACTGAGGGAGCACACACAGAGGAAACAACACCACGCAGCCTGACCTTCAGGGAGAATTCAGAGCAGGTGGGAAAGCACTGCCTCACAAGGACAGGAAGGAGCTAGGGGGCGATCTGGAGGCAGATCACTGGGGTACTGGTTCACTTTGCCATCCCTGACCTGCATATCCCACTTCCGCCCTTAATACCTGCCCCAGCAACTAGGAATCCACCCACTGTGAAGGCCAGGATCCAGAACCCTTTCCTCCTGGAAGCCTTCCCTTCAGAGCTCAGAGGTGCCCCCGCCAAGCCCACACTGAGTGGAGGCAGAGTCCGAGAAGCTTCATCAGAGGGTACTCCACTGTAAGGTCCACACTACGCACAACTATCAGCACCGTCATCAAATCCTGATGGCATTCCGTGTCCTGCTCCTTCCTAAGCTGAATGCCAGGAAAAGACAAGGCCCCATTTTCCAGGAACTTATGCTCTGAGGAAATAAGTATGTCCACAAGAAATCACTGCTGTGACCTCCTGAGCTCCCGCTATTGGCCAGGCAACTCGGCAAAACAGGTGCTGTGACCTCAGAGGAAACTGACCCTGAACCGTAAAACTGGGATTTGAACTCAAGTCTGTTGGGCTCCGAAGGTTTGGTTCTTCCCACCCCAGCACATGGCCTCCATCACAAGGCCAGATGTGACTGCCACCTGCGAGCTACAAACAACCCAGAAGGAAAGAGAAGGAACAGAACTGCTCTACTTGGGGGTGAACAAGGAAAGTATCCTGGAAAACAGGCAGAATCTCCGGAAGTGGAGAGGGAGTAAAAGACTTCTAGAAAAGGGAAACTTGAATAGAGTCACAGAAGTGGGAAAATGCAAGGCCTGACCCACAGGAATGTTTGACCAGGAACACCTAATTTGATAGGAGACATACGACGACATGGTAATCAGGAGGTTAGGCTGTGGAAGCAAATGCCTAGGCTCAAATCCAGACTCTGCCACTTCCTGTGCGACCCTGAGCAAGTAAATCAACTTCTCTGTTCCTCATTCATTAAATGAAGATAAACAGTACCTCCTCATAGGCTGAGAACAATGGCTGGCATATAGTGAGCACTTGATAATGACCAGCCTTCACTGTCTCACGTTTATCATCATCATCATCATTATTTAGGGATCAGTGGGCTGGAAAAGGTAGACTGCTGGAAGGCCTTAAAAGACACGCCCAGCCGATGTGGCTCAGTGGTTGAGCATCAACTCATGCACCAAGGGGTCACCGGTTCAATTCCCAGTCAGAGCACATGCCCAGGTTGTGGGCATGCAGGAGATGGCCAATTGATGTTCTCTCTCATCAATGTTTCTATCTATCTCCCTCTCCCTTCCTCTCTCTCTAAAATCAATAAAGAAAAAAAGAATTAAAAAGGAAAAGAAATGTGCGTGTCAGGTTCATCACTACAGGCAAAGGAGAGCTAAGGGGAGGGATCCAGCAGCTGTCTGCCAGTCATGGGCTAAACCCCGGTGCAGGTGGTGAGCTCGCTGAAGAAAGGGCCTCTCGGTCTTCTCTGAACTTTTTCCAGGGCTTACTCCAATGTAACTGAAGACAGACACCGCCACCCCGACTTGTGCTACTAGTCTTGGGAGGCACCATGCACAAGGAAATGGTGGAAAACCTGGGACTGCAATACCAGTTCCTGATGTATTTTGGGTCTCAGCCGCACTACAGAAAAATTCACACACTCACAAGCCCTGCAGGGCTCCAGATCTACTGCACTAAGAAACCACACTGTCATCTGCTTCTTGGGTTCTACCAATCAAACGTTAACAAAGAAATAACAAAAATATGCATAAAGACTCCAATACAGTGTTCGTTACAATAACTCCAAACCAAGAACAACCTAAATGTCCATCTAATGGGGATGATTAAATAAACGATGGTACATTCATACAAAAGAATGCTCGGCCGTGACTAGAACTTACAATGTAGATACATATTTATTATCTATAATTGAACAATGGGAGAGACTGCAAACAGTCCTGCTTCACAAAAAAATTCAAATATGTATAAAAAAGGTCTGAAAATATAAACTCCAGTGTGTTCACATTTTGTGGTATAAATGGTGCAATTACAGGAGTATTTGCTTATCTGTTTTTCCACAATAAACATGTACTTCTTTGTACTAATAAAGACTATATTTAAATTTTTAAGAACATATGCTATGCAACTGCCTCAAATATGAAACGACTCTGTGATAAGCTCATTTCATAATTCAGGAGTCAGACCCCTTAGATAGCATCTAAGAAAGGCCCACCTCTGTTACATTTATCCTCCAAGGAAAAGAGTTGCGGTGAGGTTCCTGAGACCTTTCTGCCTTTTGGAGAAGAAAATAAAGTTCTATGTTTGTGCTGTCTGCCGAGCCTGAAACACTTCTGCTTTGCAGGAAACAAGGAGTGAGATCTCCCCGGCTTGCCAAGGGGAACAACTAGAGGATGACCAAGAAGGGTGGCTGCCCGGGCAGGGGAGCGCGGCTGGCACCGGCTGCTCTCAGCCCCTCTTCCTGGGCCCAGGCAGAGGGCTCGCGAGAAGAGCAGAGACAGATGGGAAGCGGCGCTGGCCTGGAAGATGCAGCTCCATCTTGAGGACTGGTTATTCTCCAGTAATAAAATGAAAACTAGCTGATTTGGAAAACTTTCACCGGAAGAGAGCAGATTTCATAAAGCTGGGAAGTCAAGTGCTCCTGCGCCCTGGCGGCCCTCACAGGTGCCACAGATCCGGTACTAGAAATCAGTCTGCAACCAACCTAGCTGTTGGGCTCTTTAAACAATCAGGGAAAACATTTCCTGGGCCCAGAGGCCAAGCTAGGCATGTTCTGTCTTGCGACTAAAATGAGCGTATGTGGACCTTCATGACCCATCTGTACCATGGGTACAAAGAGAGAAGAACTGAGATCAAATCCTGGTTCCACCAACTCAGTTGTGACTATGAGCAACTGTTTTCCCTCTGTTAGGGTAAAGTCCCTCAAGTCTACCAGGCTGTTCTGAGGACTAAGCCCCCAACTCACAAGTACAGACCCTCGTAAGCACTCAAGACCTAAGAGCCACGCACGAGCTTGGAGCCAAAGCGTCACGTCCTGTTTAATTTAACTGGACCCTTACAGCTCACAAAGGAAAGCCCTGATGTGAGCAGAGGAGGGACTGGCCTGACTCACATTGTGAAAAGGTCACTGACTCCTGTGTGGAATGGACAGCAGTGGGACAGGGCGCAGGGCAGACCAGGGAGAACAGGACCGCAACGATCGTGGGGGGGGGGCACGCACTGGAGCCGTGGTGGCAGTGAGGGGACGGCTGGTCCGATTTGAAGGGAGAGCTTCCCAGGGGCAGCCCATGGGGTGGGTGCACAACTGACTCACTGGTGTCATCTTAGAAGCCCAGGGGAAAAGGTTCCCATGTCCGAAACTGCTGTGGGTTTGAGCAAAGTGCAGTCTGAAAACTGACCACTGGACTCAGCGAGGGGAAGTTGCTGGGGACTGGTGGCGGCGGTGTTTCGGTGGAGAGCTTGGGATGTCTGAGAGCCCATCCCCGTGGGTCTTGGAGAGAAAGGGGGACTGCAAAGTAACACTGATGGATACAAAGAAGAGGGACAAAAATCATGACTTCACAGTAGCAATTTAAAAGGATAAAAACTTTAACTTTGGAACCACCTTAATGTTGTTCGTAATCAAAAAATAAAACTAAGCTAAATCAATAAGGACTAGGAATCCTAAAATCGAATACAAAAAGACACACACAAAAATCTCACTGTATTTCAAATGAATAACATTAACAAGACTGTAGAAAAAAATGAAACTAAATAACTAAATTTAATACCTGACTAAATACTATTAGCCTAAAAATAAAAATATCTATAAACCAATCCTGAACTCCTTTAGGTTGTTTTTCACTGGGTATGGGCAAAGCAATTCTGGAACTCTCTGTGCATTACAGAATTAAGCAAATGAGCAGATATGCTGATGTTGTGAGAGCCAGGAGAAGGGAAACACAAATACAGAAACAAGAAAGGACACAGTGGGCTTGAATAGGAATTGGAGGTACCACTGTGACTTTTTAAATATATCATACATTTTAAAACATATTGTGTGTGTATATCTGTATGTATGTGAGCATACATCCTAGTTCTGCCTGCTAAAGGACCTAGAAACAATGATATAGCAGTAGCAATAAACACAGCCAGCACCAACTCTTGGTTTTTAAATGGAATTGCTTCTTAAAATGAACCAGGGCTGCCCTGGCCAGTTTGGCTCAGCAGTTAGAGCATCGGCCCTCGGACCGAAGGGTCATGGGTTCAATTCCAGTCAAGGGCACATGCCTGGGTTGCAGGTTTCCCTCACCCTGACCAGGGCTGTTCGGGAGGCACCCAACTGACGTGTCTCTCTCAACATCAATCTCTCTCTCTCTCTCTCTCTCTCTCTCTCTCTCCCTCCCTCCCTCCCTTCCATTCTCTCTAAAAAATAAAAAACAATGAAAAAAGAAAAAAATGTTAATAAAATGAACCAGGGCTACTTAGAGAAATGGCTGATTCAGGGGCAAAGACAGTATAAAGTGAACATGGAGCCCTGGCTGATGTGGTTCAGTTGGCTGGAGTGTTGTTTCATGCACTGAAAAGTTGCTAGTTCAATTCCTGGTCAGGGCACATACCAAGGTTTCGGGTTCGATCCCCAGTAGGGGTGTGTATGAGAGGCAACTGATCACTGTTTTTCTTAGACATCAATGTTCCTCTCTCTCTTTTACTCTCTCTCCTTCTCCCTTCCCCTCTCTCTAAAATCAGTAAAAACATATCCTCTGGCAAGGATTAAAAATAAATAAATAAAATAAAACAAGCCTGGAACAGCTTTTGTGTGTGTGTGTGTGTGTGTGTGTGTGTGTGTGTCAGAAAGTATAAAAGTACTCCCAAAAGGATGGCGACACGCACGCCAAAGGGAACTGCTACCTGTTGATTCTGGAACAATATGAGCATTAATATGGATGATAAAATGAATAACAAATAATCCACTGAACCAAAGAAGAATCTGCAAGTCAACACTGCTAATAAACAAACAACAAATATATAAATAAAAGGAGAAAAGGGAAAATTCAGCCTTATAACAGATGCCACCTAATAATAAATGAAGGAATGATGGCATTAGAAAAAAGTCACCATGTTACCATCCTCACAGTAATGACTGACAAAAGCAAGACTCATCAATGGATGGATGGTAAATCTCATGGGTAAACGTCTGAAGAGGAATGAAATATTTACAGCCCTGGCCGGTTTGGCTCAGCGGTTAGAGCATCGGCCTGCGGTCCGGAGAGACCCGGGTTCGGTTCCCGCTAAGGGCATGTACTTCGGTTGCAGTTTGTCCCCGGCCCTGGTTGGTCGTGCGGGTGGCAGCCACTCGATGTGTCCCTTTCACATCGATGTTTCTCTCTCTCTGTCTCTTCCTCTCTCTCCCTCCCACTCTATCTGTACAAAAAATGGAAAAATGTCCTTGGGTGAGGATAAAAAAAAAAAAAAAAAAGAAATACTTACAGAGTTGTAAAGTATCCCCCACTAATTACTTCTACATTACACAGGGAAATATTGCAATCTACAGTGAAGAAATCTGATAGACATTACCTTAATTAGTGATTAAAGTTAATACCACCAAAAATGGGACAAACTGATACCACTGACCTCCTTAACATGACTCAATATGAGACCATGAGAACACAATCATTTATGTAGTTCTCCTGCCAAAACCATGCAACACACATAATCTAATTATGAGGAAACAACAGATAATCCCAAATTGAGAGACTGGCCCAAACTCCTCAAATACGTCAGTATCATGAAAGCCAAAGGTGAATTACTTCAGATTAAAGAATACTAACAACTAAATATAATGTGGGGGCTGGAACCTAGGTCCTGGATCAGAAATAAAACTCTCCTAAGAGACATTATTTTTTAATACTATATAATTTAATTTACATGAAGTTCAAGAATAGACAAGACTAATCTATGGAAGGTTCAGAACAGTGGGTGCCTACTGAATCACTGAAATTTGACTACAGACTATATATCAGATCATCTATTTCCTGATTTTGATCATTGTGGTCAAGTAAGAGAATGGCCTTGGTCTGAGTTATCTGGGGGATCGATTACACATGGCGTCATCAGTTAAGTCCCACAGGGCTGGGAAAACCACGTGTAAGTGCCGTGAGAGGAGTGAGGGGGCGGTGAAGCAACGCGGCAAAACCACCACCACCGACAGAGCTGCATGAAGGGTACATGGAAGCTCTTTGTTGTTGTCTCAGAAAAATGCATGTTATTTTTTGAACATTTTTAACACAGAAATATTTATTAAACTAGTACTATTATTAGAGTACTTAGCATATGGTAAATGGTTAGCAAAGGTTTTCTTTCATCCTTTCTCTGACCACTTCTGACCCTTAAATATATTTTTTAACCAATAAAAGTTTGGGGTTTTATTTGGTTTGTTTGTTGTTGCCAATATTTAAAATTCATGAGTTTTTTACCTCCCAAAAAACCAATTTCCATCTTCTCTTGAAAATATGCAGAAAGTGACCACCATGCAGTAGGTGTTGAGGGGGCAGCACCTCCCGGATGGCTTCACTTCTGCGCCTCACCAGCCTGCCCGAGGCATCTACACTGGACCCCAGGTGTGGAGCAGTGGAATGGTTACTGGACGGAAGCAGCAGCCAGTGTGGCCTTGCTGCCACCTCATCAGAGCAGAGGAAGAAGGAAAGTAGGCCCAAGGAGTCAGTTTCTCCTGGGCCCTCCAAGATGTCCTGGATCAATCACGGATGTGTCTTAGGGCTCGAAGTGCCTCGCCCCACTTACCGTTGAGAAACAGCTTCTCCAGTTTCTCGAGCAGCTCAGCACATTGATTCAGCTGTTCCTGGAAGCCCTCGGCCACATAGTAGTCCACATCACTGGCCTGCAGCAACTCCTCAAATGCCTTAATCATGGTGTTCATGTGTTGACGATAAATGACACAGATGCCATGGCTATCTTTAATCTGCTGCCGCTGAAGGGAGAGCTCCCTGGCTTGGGACTGAACTAATGAATTGCATCTGATAAAAGGGGGAAAAGAAAATGCTTGTACCATTTTAGAATTGAATTTCTGTGACCTTAACACTAATTGGAAAAATGACAGAGCACAATTTTCAAAAGCCTGCAGCTGTACAAGTATATATACTTTTAGAAAAATTGAAACTGGACAAGGTCACTCCTTCGATTTCAAAACAGCCAACAAATGCTGGAACAAAGATTCTTCTGCAATACTTTTAACCTTATGAAGCCCCCAATTAAAGTGAGATTGGCAAGGGCTCAGGAGGACGATCAATTTCCATACAGTCCCTATTCCGAATTGTAGAAACAAGTGCCCAAGGGACAGGGAACCCACCCCAAATTCTCCTTTAGAACAAAAAAGAAACTGTAGGCAGGAAAACAGACAGGACTCCCTCCTCTCAACCAAAAGGTCAGGGAATAATCAAAATCCTAACTACCATTCATGGAGGATCTATGACCTGTCAGTCACTGTAGTAGGTGTTTTTTATAGTTATCGGATCCTCTCAATCTTCCAACAAAAGTATGAACCCCCCTTTTTACAGAAGAGGAAACTGATCCTCAGAGATCACAAAGTAAAATGGTGAAGATTTCGGACTCAAACACAGCTCTACCTTCAAAGCCCCCCATGTTCTATTATGCAATTGTACCTCACTTCCTACGTGAGCCCTCAGGTAGCAGGAGGCAAAGAGAAAAACACAAGTTAAGGTAAACATGGGTCATTAAGACACTGTGGCCACAGTAACCTGGCTCCAGAGCGGCTTTTGGCGGAGACAGTGGCCCCTCAGTTCAACGTGCTCCCCCGTGTCTGAAACGATGACAGTGTGTGGGACTGGGGACCGCCTCCCCCCACCCGAGTGCACACACAGACACGGGACAGGCGGGGACCAGTGAACGGATGACAAAGAACACGAGCATTCGAGTGGGATGACGTGAGCCTGGACCGGGCAATGGCTCTATGAATCTTCTCAGGCAATTCAAGACAACCTCTTTGAGGCTCAATTTCCTCACCTACAAAAACACATTTAATAACACCTCCTCCTCAGGTGATTCTGAGGGTTTAGTAAGAAAAGTTCCCAACTGAAGGTCTGACACAACTGCCTTTTAATAAACACAAGCTTCCTTCCATCTCACTGTTTGGGAAGTCTTGATAAATTCACTCTGGCTCCTGACAATTCTGAATAATGTGTCTCAAATTAGTGACGAATGAAGGTCAACTTTACAAATGATCCCATTTTGCCATAGCTCATGAAGCAAAGCTGTATGTATCTAGGCCCATAAAACATATCTTCATGACCTAAGAATTCTTCTCTTTCAACACTGGCTTGTTTCTATTTGATGACCTTAAAGGGTAAAGATACGGACAATATTTATATTCTTCCCACCCTGCCTAGGACATCTTTCAGTTCTGCAACACAGTAAGTAAAAGCCAGTACACAGCATCCAGAAGTGAACAATGCCATTCAGCAAACATACTATAAATCACCAAGTGACTGATATAAAATGTTCACTGAGACTCTAACCAGAGGAGGGCAAAATCTGCCCTGCCAATTGCAGCGGAAACAAGACTAGTATGTGTGCAGGCACTATTCTCTGTGACCTCACACTGCACTTCTCGACCAGGCCTGGCTGCCTTCACTGTCCCCTGCCCCCGCCAAGCCTTCAGCAGTACACACCCCACCCCATGGCCCCTTTTAGCTCATGGGCTCTGACCTAGTGGCATCACAGGTTTAAACAGTAGAAGACAGAGGTGGGATGTACCTTGAAGGCGAGAGATCTCTGAACTTATTCTGCAGGTCATGGATGTCACTGAAAAGTTCCATGTTCAAATTCTGCTCCTTCTGCAGCTCACATTCCTGTTCTTCTAGCTGCTGTTCAAGGTTCTCCAGCATCCTCCCATCAACCACCTCTGGGTCCAGTGGATGAAGGATTTTCATGTGTACTCGGTGCAAACTTGAAAAGGTCATTTCTTCTTCATCAGTACCACACTCGGGCTTACTGGAGACATCCTGGGCCCCTTCTGTCCCACACAAAACTGTGATAATGGCCTCACTGCACTGGCAGTGCTTTTGAAGCTGAAATATGAAATTCCGGTAGCCCTCGAGCTCGGTTTCCAAGTCATAGATTTTCTGTTTTAAGTTTTCTGTATCATTTGAGGTGTCGATGTTCTTAGACTGATTGGTTCCAATCACGCTGACTTCAGGGGAAAGCTGACTCTTAGAACTCGGGTAAGTAGCTACTGAAGTTGGGCCCTGAAAATCTTCTGAAGGATCCTCTTTGCATGTTGGCAAGATGGCAAGGTCACTGGGCTGGTCAATTTCAGACTCTGAAAATCAAACACATTTATGTCAGTATCTCCTTTGCTGAAATCCATCTCCTGTCCTTCCTCACAGCCACTGTTAAGCTAGGACCACTGCAAGAGCCTCCTAACCAGCCCCTCTGGCTGCAAGTCTTCCCTCTTACCTCTCAATCCATCCTCTTCCTCAGAGTGACTGTTCTAAAAAGTGAATTTAACCATGGTAACCACCCTCCTGCCACCAAACACTGATCAATATCCCCACTATCTTGAGGATCAAATCCAAACTCCCTCGCACGGCGTCCGAGACACCCCATGATCTACTTCCAAGCAATCTTCTGGAACTCCACATACGGTGAGTCACCTATGGAGATTTCCTGCTTACCATAATCCTGGTTCATGCCTCCATGTGTTTTTGCATGTGCATTTTCCTCTGCCTGGAATACACTCAATCCCTCTACTCTTCTCCTACTCAGTGAACTCCTACTCATCCTTCAACACCCAGATCTAATTTCCTTACTCTGCAAATTCATCTCTAAACTATGCACAGCAGTCCCTCCCATCTGTGCTTCCACAGCACCTTATATATATTACCCGGGGACAAACGTACTACATGCTGGGTGCTAATGTAGCAATTACAATTGGCTTTTCTTAAAAATTACATAGCAATTAGTTATTTGGGTTCTCTCCCTTGCTGGCCTTTCACCTTTACATTCTCAGTGGCTAGAACATACCTAGATGGACCAGAAGTCAGTGAAAGTCTGATAAATATTGGAGACCGAGAGAAGTAAGATTAAAGAGCAGTCATTCTAAAGTCCACAACTGATGAGTGTTCTCATTTCTTTGTCTACCAGTCTCCAGTAGATGCCATGATGTCACCTGTAGTAGTTGTTTCAATGACTCTCAACCTGTCAGGAAACATCTCCTTACAGCTAGTTTAAATCCCAGGACTCGGCCAAACTTGCCTGGAAGGTGGAATGGTGCTGTGGAAATACATGGCTTTGAAGCCAAGGAGAAGTGGGGTCACACCCAGCTTTGCCACTTGCTGGCTGCATATCCTTAGGCAAGTAACGCTACCCCAGAGCCTCAGTTTCCCCAGAGATACCTGTTGTGCGGCTTCAAGTTCAGGGCCGAGTCCAGAGCTTTTGTCCTTAACCACATACCACACCATCTGCTGTCCAGGGAAAGCCCAGTTCAGTATAGGTTTGTTTGACTATTTAAGAGGGAGCAAAATGTAATAGAAAAACCCATCTCCGATACCCAACAGACTTGGTTTCCAACTCTGGCTCTGCTGTCTACTTGCATGCCATTCAGTTCCATGGCCTTCGGCACGTTACTAACCCTCTGAGCCTCAGCAGCTTCGTCCACAGAATGGAAAGAACACCAGTCACTATGAAGGGTTGTGTTTGTTTTGTTTTTAGGGTCAAATGGGACAATATCTTAAAAAAGGCTAACAGTGTCTGGCACATAGTAGTGAAGGCTCCCAACTAACAGCAACATCCTTTGCTTCCCTAAACTGCTCAAAGACGGAAGAGGACATCTATCTTGGGAGGCTTCGCGACCAGGCTGTGGACCAGGAAATGCGGCGGGTTGGATGTGATGACCTTGGCGAGGTCTCAGAAAGAAGAGCACGCAGATATTTGTCAGACTGCCTATCCCCGTTCTGGGTTCCACAACTGTTCCTCATGACCTTGAGCCTTTTCTTGTCTCTCTGCTCATGATGGAAATACCACAAAGTAAAACTTTTTATTTTAGAAAGCAGCCACTACATGACCTAAAGGTAACATTCCTAACAAGCATTCTTACTGCACAAAATCTGTTACAATCACCAGCCTCTGAGGTCCGCTGGGTGGAGACCATGTCACTCCTTTCTGTGTCCCCAGTGCCTGGCACAGGGCCTGGGGCAAGAAGGTCCTCAGTGCGTACTGTTGGCTGAATGAGAAGTAGAGAGGCAAAGGGAGAGATCTCAACAGGCTTTTTTCCAGTGGATCACCCTCCAAGACAAGAAAATGGCTTTGCTCTAACAGCCGCATGAGAGTGGAGTTTCATGGCAAGAAGCCACGTGCACTCGTGAGGGTGAAGATCAGTTCTGATGAGTTTTGTTAAATAATCATGAGGCAGAGACAAGCGTAAGACCCATACAAATGTCCTCCTGTATACGGGCTATGGCCAGCTCTGATGTTTAGCTACGCAATACGACGCACACCGCCCCCTGAAGGCGGGGAGCGTGTGCACACTCACGTTCACTCCACTTTGAACTCTGCTCCCACATCACAGCACACCTAACACTCAGACACCCGACACTCATGATTTCGACTCCAGAAGTGCCCCCCACCACAGCAATGTGGGACTTGGCAGAGGCGAGGATCTGACTCCTCAGCTCCAGGGCCAGTACACAGCGAGTCTCATGGCCCAGCATGACATGGCACTGCGGCTGTGCTCTTTGCTGCTCGGCAGCCCTCAGGAAAGTCCCAAAAGAGTCACTTCCATTTTTCATTTAAAAATCACTGCACGGAGGGTGAGAGACAGAGAGGATTATAAATTGTAATGTACAGAGTGAACCTGCCTGTTTAGCAAGGCCTCAGGACACGTGACTATGTGCCAGGACCTGACCTAGGCACCAAGCGCCTCACCTATGCTATCCACTTTGTTTTTATTGTTGTTGTCAATCCTCACCCAGGGATATTTCTCTATTAATTTTTAGACAGAGTGGAAAGCAGGGAGGAGGAGAGAGAGAAAGAAACATCAATATAAGAAAGACACATTGACTGGTTGCCTCCTGCATGACCCCGACCAGGGCCAGGGATCAAATCTGTAACCCAGATACATACCCCTGACCGGGAATCAAAGTCGCGACCCTTCAGTCCACAGGCCGTTGTTCTAACCCCTGAGCCAAACCAGCCAGAACTATCCACTTAATCTTCATAACAACCCATTTTACAGAAGGGGAAATCGAGGCTCAGAGAGATAAGAACCTGCCCCAGACTCAGGGTGAGTAGCAGCAGAGCCCTCAGAGCCGGCAGCCACCTCCAGCACTCCAAATGCGGCGTCCCTCCTGCAGCCAGGGCTGTCTCCTGCATCCGAGTGCAGGAGCAAGGAGAGACAGTCCCCAACCCTCGATGTGATAGCCACTGTCCACAAAATCCCCTTCGTTCACTTCCCAAGCATCTCCCAGGGGTTACTGAAGGACGAACAGCAGTGAAGGTGTCGCACACAGGACCCAGCTTTGCAGAGGGCAGTCACTGAGCAAGTCAATTCAAGACCAAAATATGGGGGGCCTAATCGGAGCGTCTAAGCCATTGGGGGACTCAAGATGGCCTTGCCTGACAGTAATATTTAAGTAGAGGCCTGAAATGAGGCATCAGCTAGGCAAGATTTAAGGGAGAAAACAGGCAGAGGGGCAGCAGCATGTGTAAAGAAGCACATTAAGGAAAAGGAAAGAAGTTCACTAATGATGGGGATTTGAGGGAAAGGGAAACTGCGAATCAGCCAAGAAGCCTTCAGTAACTGACTAACTATGAACAAGGAAAGATGTCCCCGGGGCCGTTTATGTGCATTACAGGAAATATTGCAGTTCTAGAACTTTCTACAATTCAGCTAAGGGGTAATTTATAACCTGGTAGCGTGGCTTTCTGCTCCAAGCCCAGAACCCTCAGAAGCATGTGACCATGTTTTCACTGCACAGAGTGGAGGCCTCAGGAAAGCATGCACCACGGGGAACAGGGCCCACGGCTCAGGATTTCCCCAGAGGCTGGTATTCTCATGTCCTGAAGACATTATCTCTTACGGAGTGAATTAGGTCCAGCTTAATAGTGATTTTCTTTTTCTATTAAAAGGGAAAAAAAGATCTATGATTAAAAGACAAAAATGTAAGCATTTGTTCATACTGGTTGAATGTGAATGTGAATGCTGTTATATGATCCTTTGTGCTCATCTGTATGTTTATAATTCATAATTTTAAGAAAAAAGAGACCCAACTTACCTAGGTCCTCACGCACATCTCTGCACCTTTCCCAATGACTTGCCCAACAAAGCCAACAGGTGTCAGCTTAGGCTCACCCATGACCCTTTCTCCCAGGTGGCCAGAGGCCACCTGTACACACCCAGCAATAGCCAGCAGCAGAGAATGTGGAGGGCTGCCTGTGAGATCCCAGGAGCAGGCACTGTGTCCTTTGGGCTGAACCACCAAAAGCCAGCCCGCTGCCTGGCAGCACAGGGTCTGGTGCGCTCAGCAGACATCCATTGCACCCGCCTCATCCATCTCCTCACCAGCTGGCTGACCTGAGCGAGTCTTTTTAAAAACCTCAGCTTCCTTGTGTGTTAAATGGGAACGACAGTGATGCCCTAAGATGGCTGCTGCAGAGCTTAGTGATAATTTTTACATAAAACACCCCAAATGGTGCCTGGTACACACACAGTAGCTGTTCAATACATGTAGGGATAGAGTTCTGACTGGTCTCGTAGCTGGTTTGCTGATCATTGTCCCTTTCCTTGTTTCTCCAGACACAGGGCGTGGTTTTAATTCCTTTTTGTTCTCCTGGGCTATCCTGGTAGGCTGCTCCCACAAGGGGCTGGGCTATAGGCATTCACAAAGAGAACAAAAAATAAATAAAAACACAGACTTGAAACATAGCCAAGCAACTGAGAAGAACACAAAGATACAACAGGGAAATAAAAACACTGGGGAGGCAAAATGCAATTTATAAGATAAAATTAATCTATCGAGCTGCCATAACAGGACATAAAAAGTATAAATATACTGCAGCTTGTCTGAAATGGTTTAAGTCCAAGCTCTCAAAAAACTCTGAGTGAGAAAATGAATTCCATAGACTCATGCCCACCTTTCCCAAGGGAGAGGCCCCAGAGTCTTCAGGGCAACTTCGGAAAGAAGTAGCACCTGGTTGAGGCACCCTGGAGTCTCAACAAGAAATTACAACATTGTTAAGTGGAAATGGCAGGCCCTGGGCAAAGTGCCAGGGCCCCTGTTTGGCTCAGTCACCTTGGCCATAAAATCTTTCCTCTTGGAAGTGCCCCCACTTCCCAACCCGTGCTGATTTGCGTAATGATCTGCTCCACCCTACGAGGCAGTGTTCTCAGAAGCAGAGACTGTCTCTCATTCCTCTCTCTCCTATGCCCAGTGCATAGGCTGGGGACACACTGGACAGGTGAAGAGATGCCTGCACGGGGGGATGGGTGGATTAAGAGAAGGGACAGAGTGCAGGAGGGAAGAGCAATCCTGCCCAAGGCCAACTTATCTTGAAGCTGCAACTATGGTAAACTCAAGAAAAAACCTAAAATTAAATGGAAAATACCTCTGGCTATAGATCACCATAAAAGCCACATGCAAAGTACCATATACTAGCTTTATGAAACAGTGAAGGGCGCGGGCTCTGAAATCAGGCAGGCTGGTTCAAACCCAGCTTGGGAAGTAACTGTGACTTATCCAAGTCACTTACCTCTAAAACGGCTGCCTCAGCGATAAAACAGGAATAGTTTCCATCCCTGCCCCAACAAGACTGTTAAGAGGATTCGACTAGATCATGGATTTAAAATGGACGGTGGAGCTAAATGAACAATAGGTGCTAGTGTTTCACGGCCTTGGGAAGTCGTAGGATTCCAGACATCTCCCATCCCTGAACCACTCTGAAAACCCCCTAAACCAGCGGTTCTCAACCTGTGGGTCGCAACCCCTTTGGGGGTCGAACGACCCTTTCACAGGGGTCACCTAAGACCATCGGAAAACACATATTTCCGATGGCGATTCATCATAGTAGCAAAATTACAGTTATGAAGTAGCAACGAAAATTTTATGCTTGGGGGTCACCACATGAGGAACTGTATTAAAGGGTCGTAGCACTAGGAAGGTTGAGAACCACTGCCCTAAACGATACCATATTCCCACCCTGGCACGAAACTCCTTCATTGGCAAAATCCCAAATAACCTGCTTCATCTCACCCCCATGTTAAGGAACCCAGCTGTCCCCCCATGCTTCTCCCACGCCTCCCCAGGAAGGCCATTCCTTTCCCACATCCCCTGCACCAAGCACCCGGATGAGCAGAAGAGCCTTCCAGATCATTCTCTCTCCCCTAAACACTCTGGCTTTGTGGCTCATGCTGTCAGACTACACCACCACCTGCCCCACCTTACTGCAGTCATCCACAGTCACCTGACTCAGTGACACTGTGGCTCCTAACAGCCCTGCTGCTCCAGCCCCTCGGAGCCAGCTCTTCTTCTACCTCCACTGCCCTCCCCCATCTCTCTGGAACCCACCAGGCAGGCCCCATCCACTCTACTGAAACAGCTCCCATCAAAGTCACCAAGGGCTGCCCCACTGCTAAATCCAAGGACAGTCCTCAGTCCTGCGCATACCTGCCTCCACGGCGATTTCCACACAGCTAATCTGTTCCTCTCTCGGCTCCTGGCCGTCGTCCTCCGCCTTCACTGGCTGCTCCTTTTCAGTCCAACCTCTACTTACTAGAGAGCCCAGTCTCAGTGCCTGGACCTACTCCCTATGTCTCCAAGTCTTACAGCTTCAAATACCAGGGCTATGTTGGTATTTTCTAAGTTTACAGCTCTCGCCCAGCCCTCTGCCCTCTACACCAGACACGTCTACCTCCAGCTGCCTACCTGACATCTCCACTGGGATGGTCAGCAGCATCTCACGGTTCAGAACCAGACACCAGGAACCTCTCCTGCAGGCTTTTCCACCTCACTGTGTCACAGCTCCACCCTTGCAGTGGTCCACGTTAAAGTGAGCCTTCAAAAGAGAGGTTGGCCTACTTTTCTTTTTTTTTATATTTTTTTAAAATATGTTTTTATTGACCTAGCCGGTTTGGCTCAGCAGTGGAGCATCAGCCTGCAGACCAAAGAGTCGTGGGTTGGGTTCCAGTCAAGAGCATGTACCTCGGTTGCAGTTCGTTTCAGACCCCGTAGGGGAGGCAACCAGTTGATGTGTCTCTCTCACGTCAATGTTTCTCTCTTTCTCTCCCACCCCCACCTGAAAATAGTGGGAAAAAGTATCCTCGGGTGAGGATTTAAAAAAATATAAATATGTTTTTATTAATTTTAAATTTTGTTATTGACTTTAGAGAGAGAGGAAGGGAGAGGGAAACAGAGATAGAAACATGGATGAGAGAGAACATCGACTGGCCACCTCCTGCATGCCCCCCCACTGGGGATCGGGCTCACAACCTGGGCATGTGCCCTGACTGGGAATCAAACCAGCAACCTCTGGGTGCATGAGACAATGCCAACCAAGCCACATCAGCCAAGGCTGGTCTACTTTTCTTAAAAGCCAACTAATAAATACTTTAGACTTTGGGAGCTACAAGTCTCTACCGCAACTATTCGCCTCTGCCAGCGCAGTGAAAAGCAGTCCCAGACAACATGCAGACGAACGAGTAAGGCTGCACTCCAGTAAAACTTGACAGATGCAGGCAGCAAGCTTGGCCCACAGGCCGTAGTTTACCAATCCCTGCTTTAAAGCTTAAGTCAGATCACATCGCTCCGCGGCTCAAAAGCCTCCAACAGTTTCCGGTCTTTCCCAGAAGAGCCCGTGAGGGCCTACTTTACCTGCTGCCCCTGACCTCTTTCCATCTCCCACGTTCTCACTGCACTCAGCTACACAACTGACCTTCTCAAACTCAAAGCAACATTCAGGACTGTGCCCATGTTCCTTCCACTAAGAAGGAACATCCCAAGAGGACTAGTCTACTCGTTTTCTCCCAGTTTCCATTTCAATGTCGCCTCAACAGGGATGCTCTCAGGAACATCCCATGCCCTGCCCCATTACACAGTCCCCATGCCCTCAGCCCTGCTCTGTTTTTCTCCACCGCACTTCTCATCTCACATACATGTATCTGCTTAATGGCTTATGGTCTTTCTCCCCCCACAAGAATGTAAGCGACACCCAGACTTCATCTGTTTTTTCCACTTCTGTCTCCCCAGTGACTACAGCAGTGCTTGGCTCACAGGAGGATTTAATAAATGCTTTTTGAATCGATAAATAAAAGATTGTTGTTATTGTTCTTATTGTTGTGTGTTGCTCTCATCTGCTTACAGAAGTTCAAAGTCAGGAGTCAACGTAAGGACATATGTGAATTCATAAATCCTCAGAAAATGATGTGCACTGTTTTGTGAGAGGCCCTGGGCTGTCTTCAGCTTCACAAAGCGGCAGCAGTCTCAAATCTCTAAGAACCATGGTCCCAAACTACAGGGAGGGCCTGCCTGAGGCGCTCCCTCCGGGCTATGGAGCCTGTCCTTGATACATTTTGACCCAGGGGCTCTCTGTTTTGAGAGCTTCCAGGACACCACAGACAGTGAATTCAAAGTGGGTAGGGAGGCAGGTCACTTCTAGAGCAAGACATAAGGTCAACAGGGCTTGGAATTAGTCCTGGACATTCCAAAGAACCCAGGAATGAGGACTTTCACTTGCATACTGGATGCCACATGCCTAAGGCTTCCATGGATAAAGCCAGAAAAAAGGCCCAGGTTCAAGTCACCACAACTGGGCACCACAGACGATCCCAAGTGATGAGTGCAGTGACCTCGCAAGACCTGTGGGCACTACAAGTCCCTGTATCCAGACTCCAGAATAAAATGAAAACAATAGATTCATTTTCCTTATTGTGTTCCCTCGATTGTGTATTTGTCAAGAGTCAAGATTAATCACTGCAATTCATGAAATTTATACTCAAACTTATTGCAATTCTAAACAACAAGGCTGACATTTCAAGCAGTTCTATCGGGTCGTTCATCTATCTCAAGGAGAATACATTTTTCTAGGTGCTTACCTTTCAGTAGCGTTTTGTCTGGCGCTGAGCTCCTCTCCATCATTGCCTCAGCCAGAATTAACTTTTGGTGAAGTTGCTTATTGCGAATTTTAAACTCCTTCAGCTCCCCCTGCAGCTCCAAGATCTGGCCCTGCAGCTGGGCCACCACCTCCTGTGCGGCCGGGAGCCGATACACACTTCCTAATGGCTGGGATGGTTTTATCAGGACAGGCAAGCGGGACTTCTTAGCTTCCTGAAAACACATACATAGACAACAATGAATACACTTCCTGTGGTCGTATAGCCAAGAGTTTTGTGCCAATCTTATAAAACAGAATTCAACCGCTGTCCAGACTTCTGGCTCCTATACTGGCATCCATGTCTGCCTCCCAGTCTACAGAGCTCATATTTTGGCAAGTGCCAACATCCTCTTGGCCCTGGCCCAGTGTCCCTCTCTGGGCATTCCCGATATTCAGCATATAGCAATCCTTTTCCAATACCATCTTCTGGGAAACATTTTCTTCCTCCTTGTCTATTTCCTCATTTGCCACCCACTCCTCAATCTAAGGCAGCCTGCCTCCCACTACTGCCAGTCCATCAGCACTACCCCTTACTCCAGTTTTCAGAGGCTACTGAGTCACTAATCCAGTAAGTATTTCCCAGGCTCCGAGCTCTGGACCTGCCTACCCTAGACATCTTCATTTCAGTGGCCCACAGGCATCCGGAGTAAACTGAAAACGCGACTCTTCAATTCCATCACTCCATGTCCCCAAAGCCATGCCACTTCAACAGTCCCTGTCTTGATGAATCACACCATCATCCACTTACGGCACAACCCAAAACCTGGGGGTCAGAGGGTTGTCCTTTTTAAACTTCCCTTTGTATTCGTCACATTTTCATCACTCACCAGGTTCCATTAACTTCAACTCCTCTTTTGACTCCTCTCATCCTCCACTGCCACCATCCACTCCAAGATGCTCTCACTAGGCCATGGCACAGCCTCCTGAGTGGTCCCCCCAACATTCATTCTTGCCCTTTCTAATCCACTCTCCAAACTGCAACAGAAAAGGGAAACCTACCATTCCTCTACTCAGCTTCACCTATTTTAACTGCTTCCCAGTTCTCGTATGATAAAGGTCAAAGGCCTGACCACAGCCCACACTGTGCATGACCTGCAGCCTGAGTTACTGTCTCTCTCCCATGTCCCCCTAATTGAGAAATACTCACCTTCCATCAGTTCTTCAAAATGCCAGTTCCTTCCACCTCAGAGCCTTGGCGTGTGCTGTCTCCTCTGCCGCGGACACTCTTTCTTGCCCACCCCCACTCACCCACTAACCCAATACATTCATTAGGACTCAGCTCACATACGCCTTGCTCAGGAGAATGGTCCTTGACTTCCAAGACCAGGTCATATCTCCCTGTTATACACTCACTGCCCCCTACGATTCTTCTGGGAGAACATTATACCATTATAATTAAATGCCTAAGCAATTCTTGTTCTTTGCCCATCTTCTGCTCTGGCCTACAAGCTCCAGGGTCTGGGGACTCTGCAATTCTTGGTCACACTCTATCCACAGCTTCCAGCACAAGAACTAGCATACAGTAGATACTCAATAACAACTTGTGGAATGAACATGCAAACAATAACTTAAGAGGCCAAATGCGGGTGCCTTTCAAGTGGGGAAATTTTAAACATATTCAAACACTGAGGAGAGGGACTGAATCTGGAATATACAAAGAACAATTAAAACTCAATAATAAAAACACAAATAACTCAATTAAAAGACAGGCAAAGGATCTGATAGACACTTCTCACAAAAGACACACATATGGCCAATAAGCACATGAAGAGATGGTCAATATCACTGGTCATCAGGAAAATACAAATCAAATCACAATGAATACTGCCACTTCCTACTCAGTGGAGCAATGATAATAAAAAACCTAATAAAACAAGTGTGAATGAGGATGTGGAGAAACTATAACCCTCATACATCGCTGGTGAAATGCAAACTAGGAGCAGGTGATTTAGAAAACAGTCTGGTAGTTCCTCAAAAGGTCAAACATAGAGTCACTATGAGCCAGCAATTCCACTCCTAGTTATATACCAGGAGAAATGAAACATGTGTACTCACCAAAACATACATGAAAGTTTACAACAACATTATTCATAAAAACCAAAAAGAGGAAACAGTCCAAATGTCTATCAACTAATGAATGGATAAATTAAATGTACCATATGCATACAATGGACTATTGTTTGGCAATAAAAATAAAGTAGAGATACAGATTACAGCATGAATGAACCTTGAAAACATTACACTAAAAAGCCAGTCACCGAAGAGCACATATTATATGACTCCATTTATATGAAAATCCCGAATAGGCAAATATATAAAGACCGAAAGGAGATCATGCTTACCTACAACTAGGGGTGGGCAAGTGGGGAGAAATGGGAAGTGACTGCTAATGGGTTCAGGGTTTCTACTGGAATCATAACATGTTCTATTTTTTTTTTAATCCTCACCTGAGGATACTTTTCTTGACCTTTGGAGAGAGTGGAAGGGAGGGGGAGGGAGAGAAAGAGAGAAAAATCGATATGAGAGAGGTATATCAACTGGTTGCCTCCCACACAACCCCAACTAGGGCCAGGGACCGAACCTGCAACCTAGTTATGTGCCCTTGTCCGGGACTGAACCCATAACCCCTTTGGCCCTCGGGCAGACGCTCTGAGCCAAACCGGCTAGGGCCATGTTCTAAAACTGATTTTGGTAATAGTTGCTCAACTCTTCAAATATATTTTTAACAACCCACTCTCAATGAATGAAATGTACGATATATGAATTATGTCTAAGTAAAACCTTTTTTTTTTAATGGTGGAGAAGGAACCTGAGAGGAAAACAAGAAATATCTGAGACCCTGGGAGTGAGGAAATGAGGAAATCGGCAAGATCTCTCAAGAAGGAAAAAGGAGGAAAAACCCCTTCTTGCACGTTCTAGGATATAAAATGCTTTCAGGCACATTCTCTCATAATCCTCAAGTAAACTCTGTATCCCCAGAGCTCACAGGATAATAGAAGTTATCATGCCTATTTTCCAGGCAAAGAACTGAGATGTCAACAACCAGTCAATGTCACACAACAAGGTTAGACAGCTGGACCTCAAACTAGCTCTTCAGATTCTACGGTTCAGTTAAGAAAAGTAAGGTACTTCCTGCCCTGAAATTCCAGGGAAGAGGCAAGAACAGGTTCAAGGACAAGAACACTTGTGGTGGTGAAAGGGGCCAGCTGGGAGGAGGTGGATGCCTTGTCAAAGAGGACTGGAAAATAACAGTCATTTGCTTGGTCCTCTGTCTCCACCAATCTTTATTCTTGGATCCAAATCTGTGTGTCAGATGGCTGCAGAAAAGATATCTGCGAGTGCACAAATGCCAAAGCCAATTCCAGGCTGGAAGACTGCTGTCAGTCAACCTAGTGCCGGTTCTGAAATAACACTGCAGAAAATGCTACCTTATAGACCCTGAACAGATTCCCACCCACCACCTTATTACAGATGTCAGAATGGAACTTCTCACCTGGCAATGGAAGGAACCAGGAAAGCACACACACTGAGCTCCTACCCTGTACAAGGCACTTGCCACACAAGTCCTCATATAGTCATCATGCCAGCCTCGAGTTCTAGGTCACACTGATCTCATTCAAGCCACTGAGGAAGGCTGGGTGACTTACCCAAGGACTCAAAGTAGCTAAATGGCCAGGCCCAATGCAATTACAGGCATATCTGTAAAGTCCATCCTCTTCCCTCTAAAACTAAACCACTGGAAGTATATCCACCTCCTTGTTTCACTGTTGAGCTGCAATGATGTTCTTTTCACCAGGATAACAGTGATCTGGCTTAAGCCTTAGGATTATTGATTCATTGACTAACCAAAGACCACAAAGAAAATCATTAAATTTTTTTCTACTTTGCATAGAATGAAGGTCACTACGGTGATAAGAGGGTTCCTCCCTTCCTGAAAAAGGTGGGTTTATAATAACCCTGCCTACCTCTAAAACAGGACTTCAGTTTACATCCCTTCTCCTCTTAACAGCCGAGTCACTCTGGACAATTTTCTGAACCTTTCACAGCCTACACTTTTGTAAAATGTAGGTAATACCTACCTAACTCATATGCTTGTTGAGAAGATTAAATGTGATGATGTCTGTATAGATACCTAGCACAATCCTGGCACACAGAGAAGACACTATAAAATAAGTACAGCCTGGCCAGTGTGGCTCAGTGGTTGAGCGTTGACCCATGTACCAAGAGGTCACCAGTTTGATTCCCAGAGCACATGCCCAGGCTGTGAGCCAAACCCCCAGCCGGGTGTATGCAGGTGGCAGCCAATCAATGTTCTCTTTCAATGTTTCTGTCTCTCTCTCCCTCTCCCTTCCTCTCTCTCTAAAAAAAATCAATAAAGAAAAAATAAATGTTTTTTGTTTTGTTGTTTTTTTTAAATCCTCAATGGAGGACATTTTTCCATTTTTATTCAGATAGAGTGGGATGGAGAGAGTGGAAGAGAGAGAAACATCGATGTGAAAGGGACACATCGGTTCCTTAGTGGGTCTCTCTGGACCGCAGGCCGATGTTCTAACTGCCGAGCCAAACCAGCCAGGGCAAAAAAAAATGTTTTAATAAAATAAAATAAGTACAGTTACCTTTCTTTTGAAGACACAAGCAAAAGGGATAATTCCAAAGTAAACAAATGTTTTTCACTATATTTAGGGAAGGAAATTAAGTTCATTCAATTATCCAAACTTCCTGAACATAGAATGATATCTCCCATACAAATGGGGGGGGGGGTCTAATTTACCTAATATATAGATACAAACTAAAGGAGCTGGGGCAGATGAGAGCATTTCTATTCTAGCCAAAATGCACAAATTTGCATCTTAAGTACCATTAATATAGTGGCAGTGTCTATATATATATATGTATATTTGTCTCTACTGATATCTTTAGAAAACCCTTTTCTAGAAATTACAGTTTTGGTGCATAATTTAAAACAATCAAAAGCAATTTTGCTAATGATCTATCTAACTCTCTATGGTATACACAAAAGCAGTAATTCAGTGGTCAGAAAATAAATTTAATTCTCCAATCTGATGCTATAAAGCAGTACATACAGTTGATTTCTCAGACACAAAACACTCATCACAAACAAGAACACCAAGAGCCATCACTGGAGCGCTCTCAGAAACATGACCTACTTCCTTCTCCCGGCCATAGGGATCCCCAACCCCTCCTCCCAGGATTTCAGCAGAGGTTCCAATCAAACATTGCCAAGAGCGTCTGGTTTTTAATAAGCTGGCATATTTGATGGTATTTGAGGGACAGCATCTTGACTGAAGCAAAATGCATACATTTCCTCAACAAAGCCAGACCCTACCACTTCAGGCCAGCAGGGGCTGGAGGGTGGCCTGACCCAGGGAAAGGGCATGGCTGTGCACTCAGGCACAGTGAGGTCTCCGCATAGCCCCTTCACTGTGCGCAAACCACGGGCATTTGGAATCTGGCTTCCTCATCTCTGATTCGTAAGGATAGCAGAATGCAGACACAGCCCACAGAATTGTACCTCTCAGACACAAAGTCTGCACAAACCCCTACCCCTAAAGTCTGGCTGTTACAATTTTATTACAACCTGCCAAAGTAAATGTCCAGCAATAGGTGAAAATTATATGAATTCAGGTGCAATCATACACAGCCATTATGAGGAAAGATGTTCCCAATGCAAAACATGAAAGAGAAAGCTACAGACAAATGTACATACAGGACTATTTTTATAAGGAAAACACGTAAGTGCCATGATAAACAGATAAATAAGCTATGGCTGGGATAGGGGAAGACAGAAGGGGAAATGACAGTAATACTTGGGGAAAGGTTAGGACAGACACACACCTCTACGTAGAGGCCAGGATAATGCAGGCAGAGGGAGACACTGGGTTTTATATAAATCCAGGTTTAGACAAACACAGGTGATTTTCTAAGTGTCCTGTTTGTATAAAATAAGTAATATATGGAAAAACTCACTCTGTCAGTCCCACGGGGAAAGGAGAGGGGAGAGGCCTCCCGCCCCGGCCTCCTGCACAAGCTCTCCGGCTGATGCTCCGTGCAGAAGGCAGCGGCTGTCAGTGTCTCTTCCCAAGCCTCCCTCCTGCCTTCATGATGGAATCTGAGCGTGTTGCCCTCCATGACCACAGTCTGCACCGAGGCATCTTTCAGCTCCACCTTAGACAGCTCATCCGCCTCTCCTGGCTGGGCTCCGCCCGACAACTGCAGTTCACCGTGGGGCTTGGGATGGATGGAGTGTCCGAGCTCACCTCCTGGCTGAGCAGCCATGTGCTTAAGTGTCTTGCAGGCGGCACCATCACGGTGTTCTCCGGGAACCCCCTGCTCTGGCAAGCGTATTCGTTCCAGAAGCAGATCACGCAGCACATTAAGAAGGTCTGGCCTGTTTTGCCAAAAGAGAAAGAAATGAGAGAACTAAGCTTCCTGCTAGGGCCTTGTCCCCTACCTGTCTCCCAAGTGTTCCTCACTGACTGGCCCAGGTTCTATTTAAACTAAACACAGCAAACACCCACCACATGCCAGGACCCACGCCAAGTATTTCATCCCATGTCACCTCAGAACCACACAAGGTAGGTACTACCAAGTCCATTTCATGAATAAAAAGAAGAGAATTGATCTGACACAAGTAACACAGCAAGTGAAGGGGCCACATGGCTATATGGGTGCAGGTTGGGCGTAAGAAAGGAGCAAACAAGGTCGTAACGTATTCATGACATCACAAGGTTCCCCTTTTCCCCCGGTCCTGTTCCTACATCCGGGGGCAAGTATGGCTTTGGATGAATCTGGCCAATCTGGTGGATCCATCAGTAACCTGCTCCATCATGGTGCATAACTGGTGCTCAGTAACTAGGCATTTAATAGATTCAATGCTGTAAACTGCTCTTAATCAAAAGAGCACTGGCTCTAAAGTCAGACAAAACGGCTTCAAATTCTGCCTGGGATGCTTTGAAAGTAGGGCGAGCCCTCCTTCACAGGGCAACCATGAGGACAGAACAAGAGTGCATGGGTAGCAGATGCTTTTCAAGCCCCTGCCACACACCCCTGGCCTCCCTCGGACTCCAGCCCTAGCCCTGCGGACAGCTCTCGTAGACACAGGCAGTCCTACGTCAAGCACACCCTGCATCTCCCTGCTGCCTTGGGACCTTTTCCAGAGCTTGCTGAGCCAGCCAGCAGGGCAGTGGGGAAGTGGGGGCCAGTTTGTGCCAGAGAAAACCCTCAAGCAGTGGGGAGGAAAGCCGTTGAGTGAATGTCCCAGGCTCCCCTCCTCTGGAGAGACAACACCAAGGCACACTCTGTGCTGTCCCTCAGAGGGTGCCCAGTAGGACTGAGCCCCAGCTGCCCGCAGCAGTAACTGGAACAATAAGGTACCCTTACTGGCTTTGCCTCCATTTCTGTCTTCCTCTCCCTGATCCCTCCTTCCTACTCCCTGGAATCAATATCTCAAATAAACCACTTGCACCCGAGTCCTTATCTTAGGCTCTGTTTTCCTGGGAACTCAAACTAAGCCCGCACGTAAACGACTATGGAGTCATTCGAGAAGAACCCCTCGTGAGGGTATGACTTGTGCCAGGCCCTGCAATGGGCACTGGGGATGCAAAACTGCCTGCAAAGACTTAGCCTGCTGTTGGAGGCAGGGGTGCACGCGAGTCACCCCTCCCAGGGTGAGTGACACAGGGCACTGCCCGTTTGGGGGGCTGCAGAACAGCAATCCCAGGGGGCCAGACCGTAGTGGCAGGAAGAACGTCAGAAAAGGATTCTCAAGTCGACAGAGGCTGGCTGGGGGAAAGGACAATGGAACATTCTAGGTATGGAAAACAGTATGAATAGAGACAAGACACAGTGGAGAGCAGGGAGGTGAGGCTGGAAGTGAGGCAAGGGAGAACCCAGCCGCGTGGAGGAAAGAAGAGCCACCGCGAGGCTCTGTGCGAGGGAGCAGCATGGCCACACGTGCTCTGCAAAGGTAGCTCAGGCTGGCTGCGGTATAAAGACTGAATGGCGAGAGGTCCTGTCCAGAGGGTGGTGTCAGCACACACAGGAGCCCCTCCCACTCTGCCCTAAACACATGTAAAGGGCAGCAAAAATACAGAACAAAAATGTTTTGAAGTGCACTACAGGATTCAAAAATCAAGGCAAAAGGTATCCAAAGGTCAGAAAACAGTAGAGACCCAAAGTCAGGAGAAGAGGGCATCTGCAGAAAGCAGTGGGACCAGAGATTCAACTGCCACGGTAGAAGAACCACGCGAGTTTCATCAGCCCCACAGGAAGATCCAGACAGCCACGCTGTGGCAAAACCACCATGAAGGGCAGAGCACGGGTGGGGACTGAGCAGGGCTTATCACAGACAAACCAAACTTGCCAACAAAATCCAGTATTACAAAAGATAGATTAACCAACAAATGCAAGTTCACACTCAAGGAAATAAAAATAATAAAGCAATGTGGAGATTTTTAAGTTAGCACTTTTAAATTAGAAAACTATAAGAGAAAAAGAAATTCGTTTAAAAAAAAAAAGAAGAGGAGGTTATAAAATTGAGAGAGAAAATGATGAAGAAGAACGTGGAGGGGAGCAAGGCAGAGGCAGAGGCTGGAAAGCGACTGCTGTCTCCCAGGAAAGGCAGACACGGGGCAGGATGAGCAGTGGCGGTCAGCAGTGAGGAGGGGACAAAACAGGCCCTCGCAGTGTTAGACCTTTTCCTTCGCTTTGCAATTTCTCCTGCCTGCCCCATTTCCAAAATCCTCGTAAGACAGACAGACTGCTACTACCAACACCTTCAACACCCCTTGAGCTTCCCTTGCTCTGACTGTTGCCACTAGAAGCGACAAGATCCCTGTTTCACCTTCCCCACTGGGCAGGGCAAGGTCTCACTCATACTTGGATTCTGATCATCTAGCTCTGGGGCAGAGTCGATTCAATTCAAATGAAACAGCTACAGCACACTAAACAGAGTAAAAAAGGTATAAAAAAAACAAAATTAAAATGTATGGTTCATTTTTCATTTCTAATATGAAATCATCTAGACTACAGAAACCATCTTAAAATTCAGTAAACCCAGACTTTAGAAATATTTCTAGTATTTTAAGCATGTTAAACTAAATTTTCCTTCCCTCTCCTTCCCTTAATATAGATTAAACTCATGACAATTGCTCTTCAGTTAGCCAAAGGAGGACCATTACTCACGACCAAACAACACACAATAAAACCCAAGAAAAAGACTTTATGAATGGGTAGTAAAAGGTGGTGCAAGAGGCCATTATAATATACTAAAGTGGTATACTGTTAAATAAAACATTTCAAGTGCTCCTTTGCTAGAAATCTGAACAGGAGATTCATTAAGCTGTCACTGTGATCAGGACCTTCTTAATGGTTCAGTCCATGGGTCTTGTCAGAGGCCCAAACCTTGTTTATGTACCTTCCTGAGCATCTTGTCACACAGAAGGTACAAGGGGAAAGAAGTTGACATTTATGAAGCACTTACGGTGTCCGATCCTTTAAATACACTAAATACATTTAGTCCTCAGAGTGAAACTGTGAGATGGGGACTGATATCAACCCCACTTTACAGATGAAGAAACAGGCTTGTAAAGATTCAAGATCCCCTGGTAAAGTGCAGAGCAAGGACCGAAGCTCAGGCCGTTCGGAATCCACAGAAGCACTGCTCTCTTCCCAGGTCTCTAAACAGACCTTCTGCCCTGGCCGGTTTGGCTCAGCGGTTAGAGCGTCGGCCCGCAGACCAGAGAGTCCCAGGTTCGGTTCCCACTAAGGGCATGTGCCTCGGTTGCAGTGTGTCCCCGGCCCCTGTTGGGGTCGTGTGGGTGGCAACCAGTCAATGTGTCTCTCTCACATCGATGTTTCTCTCTCCCTCTTCCTTCCTCTCTCCCTCCTGCTCTACCTGAGGATAAATGCAAAAAATGTCCTCTGGTGAAGATTAAATAAATAAATAAATAAATAAATAAATAAATAAATAAATAAAAACATATCTGCTGCTAGGATGTTGAGTGCTTACTTGTCTGCACACTCAAGTACCTATCGCGCGTTCCCATGTGTCATGTAGGGTGGTGGAAATTCATGGTGAAGAAAAAATATCATGGAGCTGACATTTCATTAAGGAGCAGACAGACAGACAGGCACTGATAACGAAGTAAGACCATGTCAGCAACGACAAGTACTAAGAGTTAAGGGAGGGAGAAGGGAAGAAGGGAGGGAGGACGTCCTCGGCGCTGTGTAGGAGCTGGGTTTCTGAGAGAATGTCAGGAAGAGCGGGCCCCTCTGCAGAGCTGACATCCAGCTGAGACACCACCAGCCATGGACACAAGAACAGAACATTCCAGGTGGAGAGAATGGCCACTGCAAAGGCCCCGAGAGGCAGAAAGAGACAGGGAGGGAGGGTCTTGAACAGCGTGGCAGGCAGCTGCTGCTGAAAGGGTGACACTGGCCACTGAACTTCGCAACTTGGAGACTGTCACTGACCTTGATAAGTGGAGTGAAGGGTATGAAAGTCGTAGGAATGAGATAGAAAGAATGGAAGGAAAGAAAGTAGACACAGTAAATATGAACAGTTCTTCCAAGAAATTTTACCTTTGGGGGGAATCAAGAAATGGGGTAGTAGCTCGGTGAAATTGGGGAGGGGGAGTGCAGGGGGAACTTCTCCCAGATGGTTGACATTAATGCTTGTCTTATGCTGATGGAAATAATTCAGTAACAGGAAAATACTAATGATGCAGAAAACAGGGCACCCCGAGAGGACAGGGAGCCACGTCCGGGGGAGGGTCGGTCTTGGACATGAGCAGGATATTTCTTTCTTCAGTTCCGACAACAGGAAGCCAGAGTTTGTGGGTATACAGGCCCACAAGCTGGCAGCATGGTGGGCAAACAGAAATAACTTGAGTTCAACTGTTTGTTTTTCCATCAAGTATAAGGCAAGGTCATCAGTCAGGGAGGGGAGACGAAAAACTGCAGAACAGTCTTATGCTGGGCAACACCGAGTGCTCATTTTGAAATTAGTGATGATAATCTGTCTGTCATATGATCGCACGTAACATGAGTAGCTGGCCAAGTCAAGGTCATAGGAAAGGGTTGGATGCAACAGATACCCAGGGATAAACCCATGCCCTGGGGAGGGAGTCTTCGTCCTCTGCATGTGCAAAGGCTCCGAAGCAGGCAGATCATCCAGGGACTGAGAGAAGTGTGGCCGAAGCACAGAAAGCAGGAGCCACGCGCAGAGCTGCAGGACAGGGTCGCCAGGCCACGCAGGGCCTAGCAGGCCACGTTAACGTTGCTTTTTTGTCTTCTTTTTGGTTAATCCTCACCTGAGGATATTTTCCCAGATTTTTATTTTTATTTTAATACTTAATTTATTAATATTTTTTATTACAGATGTCCCTCCTTTTCCTTCTGACACCCTCCTCCCCTTCCCCCAACCCCCACCTTCACCTTACTGTTGTGTCTATTGGTTATGCATATATGTATATAAGTTCTTTGGTGTCCACTGATTTTTTAGAGAGAATGGAAGGGAGGGAGGGAGGGAAGAAGAGGAAGAGAGAGGGAGGGAAAGAGAGGAAGATAGAAACATTGCTATGAGAGAGACACATGGATTGGTTGCCTCCCACACAAGCCCAACCAGGGCAGGGTATCAAACCTGCAACCCAGATATGTGCCCTTGACTGGGAGTCAAACCCACAGCCCTCCAGTCCGTGGGCTGATGCTCTAATCACTGAGCAAAACTGGCCAGAGAAACGATTTTGGTCCCAAGAAAAGTGGAGAGTCTCTAGGGCAGCGGTTCTCAACCTGTGGGTCGCGACCCCTTTGGAGTTTGAAGGACACTTTCACAGCATCGCCTAAGACATAACAGTAGCAAAATTACAGTTATGAAGTAGCAACACAAATAATTTTATGGTTGGGGGTCACCACAACATGAGGAACTGTATTAAAGGGTCGCGGCATTAAGAAGGTTGAGAACTACTGATCTAGGGGCTAGTTAGGAGACTACTACAATGATTCAGAGCAACCTGACAGGAGCTAGGATGTCAGGAGGCGACAGGGATAATGAGAAGTATGTGAATTCAGAGCTGTTTAGGAGGCAGATGGTCAGGACTTAGGTTTGAAAAGTGAAGGGGAGAATCGAGGAGGACCGTTGGTTTCTGGGGTGCTGTCTAGAACCCCAGATCTGGTCCCTCCACAGCATGGACTGCACCTTTAGGCACTTGCCACATCTACTCCCCTGCAGCCTGCACACACCAAGTCTCTTCAGCTGTTTACGTGCTAACCTCTAACTTCTTTGGACCCTCGCCAGCATCTCTCTGGTGGCGCCTGCCCTGCCCTGCAGCCACGCCCAGCAGAGAAGACTCAGATGTTCTAGGAATAACTACCCCACTTCTATTACCTAAGCTCAAGACTGTATCAGCTTTTTAAAAAAATAATCCCCAAGGGCTCCCCTTTTAGATGTTCAGATATCAAATTTCACACCTAATTTTTGGCTACAAAGACCCAAACACTGAGATGATAAAATCTTAAACCGTGTCCTCTAGGGAATGGGGCCAAATCAAATTGGAAGCACAGAGAAAGAGGCCTGGGATCAGACACACAGTGAATACCGCAGGAGAGGAGGGACGGGCCAGGTGGGGCCTGACTGACCCTTTCACTCCACCTCCAAAGAGTCAACTGTTCTGGTTGGTCAACTGCAAGACAACTAATTAGGCTTTGGTAACCACTGGACAAGTTGCCTCCTTATTCCAATCCAGTGATGGGCAAGTTGAATCAGAGTTCTCTGGGGGTCTGCTCCTCTGCCAGCCCCTAAGGCCCTAGGATGGACGGCTGGAAGGTGGGGGAGCTCAAAAGCTGAAGGGACGTCCCAGGCCTACATCCATGGAAATTCTGCGCCGGGATTATCAGGCACGGCTCGGCAATGACCTCAGAGGCACAAATCACGGGCTGGCGGCTGCCTTGCATATGGTATGAACCTTACCAGAGGGTAGTGGGAAAGGGTAGGAGTAATCGGTACGGCACAATTTAAGCAGTAGTAACACCAAAACCCCACTCAATGCCAACCTGGATCTATACTTTACACTCATTATTTCACTTAATCCTCAAAAGATAGCTATGGGGTAGATGAGCATCATCATCCCTGGTGTTGCAGATGAGGAAGCCAAGGTGGGGAGTTATGTCACAGGTCTAATTGACATAGCTGGACTGGAGCACAGGTCTGTCTGACTCCACAACGCTGCTTTTTCCAGTACACCGAAATAACCTACCTCCTGGTGGGAATTCTCAGGAAGAAGACTGGTGTTTCTCTGACCAATAAGAATCCTGGGAGGCTTTTTTTTAATCTTTATTGTTGAAACTATTACAGATATCCTTCTCTTTTTTTCCCATTGACACCTTCCTCCCTGCTCCTACCCCCCACCCAGCCTTTACCGCACTGTTGTCTGCTTCCATTGGTTATGCATATATGCACAGAAGTTCTTTGGTTTATCTCCCCCCCGCCCCTCCCCTTCCCTCTGAGGTTTGTCAGTCTGTTTTAAAAGACTCCTCCACAATACTCTGCAATGGCTCTACCATTTACTAGGCTAAGGAAATGTCAAGTCCCCAAATGTCAGCTCCCACACTGTAAAACCAAGACCAGCAGCATGCAAAGCTGGTATGATGGTAAAATGAGATCAAGCATTTTACTAAAAGTGCCAGCCTGGGCCCTGGCACAGAGCGTGGGTGCCAGTTGGGACTTCAGGAGGGCCCTTCGAGCCACGACTCCCTGTCATGGAACTCAGTGGTGCACTCAGATGATGGCTATCATAAGACAGGGGCGGCAGGCGTGCCGTGTAATACTAGAATGGGCCAGCGATGGCCTGGAAACCTCTGGAACCTACAGGGAATAGGGAACTGAATCGCAGATGTCACAAGCTTGCCTGCAGGGTGTTGGCCCATAAAGTGGTTTCTTTAAAAATATAACTAGGTCTCAATTTCTAAAAATCAAGAGATTTAGAATATAATTTTAGAGCTTCTACTGAAAGACTGGAAGCTCTGAGCCCACGTGTTTGCAGGACAACAATCAGTTGGGGCTGAGAAGTTCCTGCCCACTAGAAGGAACACTCATACCCCAGTTCCCCTGCTCCCACCACATCCACCGACCTTTCCCAGCTCACACCACCCAGGTACACTCTAGGTCGTCCTGAGAGAGAGAGAGAGAGAGAGAGAGAGAGAGAGAGAGAGAAACAGAGAGAGAAACAGGGAGAGAGAGAGACAGAGAGACAGAGAGAGAAACAGAGACAGAGAGAGAAACAGAGAGAGAGAGAAGCAGACAGAGAGAGAAACAGACAGAGAGAGAAAGACAGAGAGAAACAGAGAGAGAGAGAGAAAAAGACAGAGAGAGAGAGAAAGATACAGAGAAAGACACAGAGAGAGAAAGACACAGAGAGAGAAACAGAGAGAGAGAGAGAAAAAGACAGAGAGAGAGAGAAAGACAGAGAGAGAGAAACAGAGAGAGAGAAAAACAGAGAGAGAGAAACAGAGAGAGAGAGAGAAACAGAGAGAGAGAAACAGAGAGAGAGACAGAGACAGAGAGAGAGAGAGTGAGTGAGAAACAGAGAGAGAGAAACAGAGAGAGAGAAAAACAGAGAGAGAGAGAAACAGAGAGAGAGACAGAGACACAGAGAGAGAGTGAGAGAGAAACAGAGAGAGAGAGAGAAACAGAGAGAGAGAGAGAGAGAAGAGAGAGAGAAACAGAGAGAGAGAAAGGGATGCATCTTTTAACTCCGATTTAACATCTGGGACTCTGATGTTGAGGAAATCCTCCATTTCTCAAGCACTGACTGTGGTCACCTAACTCCCAGTGACAATAAACCAAACAGCCACTGGGCATGCCCCCCAGAGGACTCATGATAAACAAATGTTAGGCAGATGTCAGGGCTGGGGAAGGGTTAACCTGCCTGAGTTCACCAACACAGAACACCTCAAGCCTTTTTTAGCTATAGGACTGTCCCCAAGGCTTAGTGCACCAGTGACAGCAATAGTAGGTCCCTGACTCTCGCCGGGAGTCCTGGGCCATAGTCACCAGCTCCAAGTCTCCATCTACACTGGGAGAGAACTAACTGAAAACTGTGACTGAACACAGCCCACGAGCCAGCCACTTCTGCACACAGTGCTTCGTCTCGGTCCTCACAGCACCCTGCGGGGCCAGAGAAGCGGGAGCGCTGAGCGATGCAGGCACAGCTCTTTCTGGCTCCAAAGCCCAAGCAGCTGCCGATGAAACAGAAAGAAGTGAAAGGGGGGAAACTGGCTCCTAAAGGGTTAATTTTCAAAATACAAATATACCAAATGTCTCTCCACTTTTGTTTTTAAAAAACACCCTATAGTATTTCCTCATGCAGGAATGGCTCCCTGCAGATATAATGAGAAGATAATTTTAGTTCAAGCTCAACATCCAACAGCAGAGTCACAACGACAATGGCAGCTTCTAAGCTGCTGTCGAACCGGAAGAGGTTTCGCTGGGGCCGATTTCTCTCGCTGACATCCAGACAGCCCTGTGTGGGCTCGCAGGAATAATTCGAAAGGAAAACTTGCTTTCTCCTCTTTATAATGGGCTTGCAGGAGGCTCTGCTCAAGTCCCCTCACAGCCACTAGCATGCAGCCTAATTACTTAATTGCATGACTGGCAAGATTTCTTCCCAGTCATTTCAGGAGCGCTCTCAGGTAAATTACACAGCACCATCCTCGACATCCATTTAGCAAAATGAGAGTCTGTTCTCCCCTCAGACTACAGAGACAAAGCAATGCCTGGCCCCACGTCTACCTGGATTCCAGCAACGATGTGGCCTTCTCGTTGAAGACAGGGGCAAGCAGGTTCAGGAGCTCGCCTTCCTCTAGACTCGGGTCTCCAGGGCAGCCAGGTTTATGGGCTCCATCGTAGTATAAAATATTGGAATCCGTGTGCCTTAAATATCCATTTTTGTAGCCCCCTTTGTAATAATCCTCAGTAATCTGTAAATCAAAGTATTTGATCAAATAATGGACTCTGGAGGAGGGAAAGGGGGCATGAGGAGAGAGAGAGAGAGAGTACCAGTAAGCTAGAGAAAATGAATGAGGGAGAAAAGAGAGGGACACCACACACAGTCTCTTTATGGCAGGGAGATGCTCTGGCAAGAGCACAAAGGTGTTTACATCAGTTTCCTCCTATATAAGACGGGGACAGTAGTGCCACCTCCCAAGGTGACTATGGAACAAAATGAGATGACTGACTCATCTAAGAGTGTGGCTCAGGGTCTTACTCGCTGTGGCATGTTCCCCCACCCCACGGCCCGCTCTTTGGAAGTTCTTCCTAAGAAGGGCACAGAATCCAAGCCATTCACAGTGCTTTGGACATATGTGTACTTCTGCAATGTATGCTCCCCATTACAGAACAGAAAGCCACTTGCTCCTTACAGATACATTCTAACTAATGCAACTTTGATTTGTCTCATTAGGAAAGTGGTGAGTTCTTAATACCCAGGGAGATGTTATTTATGGATCCACCTTCCTGGGTCACTGGGGGTCCCAGAGGAGCGGTGCCGAGGATGCGTCTAGTTCAAGCCTGCGCTGGGCATGTCTTAAGGTGCTGCAATTAGCATTCTTTCCCCTCCTTTCCAAAGCTGTAAATTTTTCCTACCAATCTATAAATAACTCCCCTTGACTTCATTACTGCTGGTGATATATACACTAGCCATCACACCCCTCTCTCCATACTTGTAAAATGATTACGATTTTAAATGAAAGACAAGACCTACACAAATGAGCTGTTATTTATAGGGTCTTGTTTGCCACCAATCTAGTTATTAAATCCATCTAAATAAGCAACCTCCCAAGAAGGAAAAGTCTAGAATATAATAACAAAAATAGTCATTGCTATCATTTACTGAGCACTAAATACATACATTTCTATTTAAATATCACAACAATCCTAACAAGAAGTATTACTACCATTGATGGGGAATCTCAGGCTTAGAGGTTAAGCAAGGGTTAACCGAGGTCACAGAGATATTGACCAACACTCAAAATCAGATCTCATTCCAAAGCCCCCACTTTGAACTGTGTGGCTCTCCATAACTATCCACGTGTTAATGTTGTCTCATTCACGGGTCCACAAACCTGAACACCTTGAAGGCCACAAATGTCAAATCCACGGCCTTCTATCTCCCTCCACATCCCAGGCTTTAGGATCCTTTTCAGACCTGGACAGTGTTTGCTCCAAATGTTCAGTATCAGTTGACTAGAGGAACATTCTATGTGGACAGAGTCAAATTCTCTTCTGCCCAGACGACACTAGGCGGGGTTCCAGATCAAGAGGTGGCAGAGGGCCCCTGAGAAGGGGAGTTGGGTTCTATCAGTGCTCCTCACACCACAATCTAATGATCTGGGCGTTCACAGCAGTCTGGAGGGAAGGGCCCGTGTCACTGACTTACTCTGCGCCCTGGACAGACCATCCCTTCATAGGCCTCAGCCTCTAATGTAAACAACCAATGTGTCAGGTTAGATCTCTAAAGACCTGTCCAGATCCAACATCCAATGTCCATCATTCTCCTTTTAAAGCCCAATTTTTATTTGCAAGTATGTGTTTGTTGTTTCCTGACCGGCTCTCCCACCCAATCGGAAACTTCTGAGAAGGAAGAGTCTCTTGACTCTGCACAGGCACACAGCAGGCATTCAGTACAGGCAGGATGAGCAGAAAACCCATCAGACTCATCCCAGACCAGAACACTGGCCTGGGCACAGAGAAGGGCAGATGGAATAAGGAGTTAACTGCCACGTTCTTACCTTGTTACTCTGCTCCGAATGCTGGTCACTCAGGAAACTATTCTCATCATCCTCTCCAATTCGGATTGTGTCCTCGTCCTCCTTGCTGGCTGGAAGCTACATGGTGCATGGAATGGTGTGAAAATGCAACCCAAAAAAAGATGTAGCATGAATATGTATGAACAAGTAAGTGATGGCTTTTTTTTAAATGCAAAACAAAAACAAACCAAAAAAAGAGGCAGAAACAAATGCCAAAGCCATGAAATAAAAATTAACTAAAGTTAGAGTTGCTAGTTCTGGAAATCACACACAGCTGCCTGGGATCAGGCATAATTTAAGGACCAACTCCTCAAGAAATAACTCAAGCTGTTTCCCCTGCCCTTGCACGGCCTTCCCTGAGCTGCCGTAAATTGAATGCGCTGTCTGTTGTGCTGCTGACATTCCTGCCACTGCTAAATTCACTTTCAGATTATAGAAAAGTAACAAGATTTTGGAAAATAGCTATTGATGGAATTGAAAAAACCAAATAGCGAGAAAGCGGTAAATGAAATTTATGGTGCGCCTGATTTATGCACCACTCCGATTTAGCACAGGGCAACAACCTCTCTTTGGACTGTCACACATCTGAGATGGACAGTCCCAGCAACACTGCCATTTTGCTGACAAAAAGTCCTCGTGGCTAATAAAGGATATCAGGCTTGCCTGTTGATAACTTCATGCTTTTGAAAACGAAGGACAGTTATTTATAAAAAGTACATAAATCCCTAATGCTTTAAAGCAGTGTAAATCCCACAGGTTCTGCATTCTGCAGAACGGACAGTACAAAGTTCTCAAGAGGGCCAGATCTCAGCTGTCTGGAAGAGTAAAAATTCCAATCACAGGATACCTGGTTAACCAAGTAAAACAGGAGAGGAAAGGTAGCCACACCCAGGACAGGGAATCAGTCAAAGCTGTTTCAAAAAGTATACCAAACCCCATTTCACCAACATGTTAAAACCACAAACTAAGTGCGGAGTCACTCACTGGACATGTTGTACATATGAGATGTCTAGGGTTCTATCACCACAGTTTTAGTCTATGAATTCCTACATTTAGTCAATTACCTCAGAATTCTCCCAGACCAACTTATATTTTTCTAATCTTCCTTTTAGAGGAAATCCTTGTTTTGGAAGAAGAAAAGCAAAACACAGAAACTGATATCAGAAAAGTCATTTTGTAGAAAACTTCCCAGGACCAGAACATATTCGATCTAACCACATCCAAATCTGCAATAAGGATCAAAGAGAACCGATGATCGCAAATCAGATCTTACTGTATTATCAAGCAACAGACTAAACATGCATTAGTATACTTACTAGGGCATAAAATTTTCTAAATATAGGTAAGAACCCTCTCCTGCTATTGGCCTCTTCCTTCATTATTAAAACTTTCTCGGTGCCCTGGCCAGTTTGGCTCAGCGGTTAGAGTGTCAGCCCACAGACCAATGAGGCACGCGGGTTCAGTTCTGGCCAAGGGCACATACCTAGGTTGCAGTTCATTCCCGGCCCTGGTCGGGGTCATGCAGGAGGCAACCAGTCGATGTGACTCTCTCACATCAATGTTTCTCTCTCTCCCTTTCTCTCCCTCCCACTCTATCTGAAGATAAATGAAAAAATATCCTCGGGTGAGGATTAAAAAACAAAACAAAACTTTCTCAGTGACATAAATCAACTAGGACTATTAAATTTGTTAGTAAGAGAATACAATGGTAAGTCACTATGGAAAAAATACTGGCTATTTCTTATAACATGAATAACCCTATGACCCAGGAATCCCACTCATAGGTATTCATCAAGAAAGCTGGAAACAGATGTCCACATAAAGATTTAAATATAAATATTCATATCAATTTTTATCATAATATCCAAAAACTGGAAACAATCCAAATGTCCATCAATAGCAGAATGAATAACCAAACTGGAATATATTCATACACTGAAATACTACCGAGCAGTAAAAAAAGAATAAACTGTTGATTCACGTAACATGGGTGAATTCTCAAAAAAATGCTGAGTGAAAACATGTTATACAAAAGAAAACATCCTTTACGATTCCATTTATGTAAATCATAAATGTAGCGGGAAAACTAATCCATGGTAGAATAAAATCAGAAAAGTGGCCAGGGGTGAGCGTGGGAATTGACCAGAAGGGACACGATCCTGCTAGGGATTTGGGATACACAGGTATATACATTTGTAAAACTTAGCAGACGTAGGCATGATTTCTTCATTTCACTCTAGGCAAATTTAACCTTAAAACAAAAAATAACTACAAAACATATTAAAGTTAAAGATAAGCATGTTGAAGTATTTAGGGGGAAGTGTACTGATGTCTGTACATTAAAATTTATCAAAAAGATCAGTTGGAGCGATGATGGACAGGAGATGTTAACAGTAGAATCTGGTGGTGAGACGACCCTGACAATAGTCTGCTCAAATCACTCCCATATGTCAATTCTTTATTTTTTAGTCCTTGCTTAAGGATTTTTTTATTGATTTTTAGAGAGACCGGAAGAGGGGGAGAGAGAGAGATTGAGAGAGAGAAATACTGATCAGTTGCCTCCCAAACACACCCAGACTGGTATCGAACCTGTAACCTAGGTATGTGCCCTGACCAGAATCAAACCTGCAACCTTTCTGGTGTATGGGATAGCACTCCAACCAACTGAGCCACCTGGTCAGGCCCGTATGTCAATTCTTAACCACATTTTTCTATAATATATAAATTAATAACCAATAAGTAAATATAAGGAAATAGGGGCAGCCTCATGAAAGATTTTAAATGCACTTTAAAACAAAAGAAGACCTGTGCCTGGTCTTTTGTTGGTTTGGGTGGTTTGGAGTAACTGGCCACACGCAGGGAACCAGCAAGGTTGCAGCAGCAGAGGGAATCCACGCCGCCGCAGCAGAGGGAATCCACGCCGCCGCAGCAGAGGGAATCCACGCCGCCGCAGCAGAGGGAATCCACGCCGCCGCAGCAGAGGGAAGAGGAATCCACGCCGCCGCAGCAGAGGGAATCCACGCCGCCGCAGCAGAGGGAATCCACGCCGCCGCAGCAGAGGGAATCCACGCCGCCGCAGCAGAGGGAATCCACGCCGCCGCAGCAGAGGGAATCCACGCCGCCGCAGCGGAGGGAATCCACGCCGCCGCAGCGGAGGGAATCCACGCCGCCGCAGCAGAGGGAATCCACGCCGCCGCAGCAGAGGGAATCCACGCCGCCGCAGCAGAGGGAATCCACGCCGCCGCAGCAGAGGGAATCCACGCCGCCGCAACCATTTTGAAGGTAAACTGACAATCTGTTATCAAGGGCTTCCTACTATTCAGACCCCTTTGTCAAATTAAAAGTTGTAGCAGAGGGGTATATAGAAGTAAATGATATGCCTATTTTATACCTATATCTATTTGTACTACTGACTTAGTAACTAACTACACATCTGGAAATACAGTCTAAGGGGAAAAAATCCTACGCCCAGAAAGAGCTGAGTCCAAAGACACTCAGCAGGTAAATTTAAAATAGTGAATCACTGAAAACAACCTCCACCTTCAGCAACAGTGAAGCAGTTATTTAAATTTCAGTACTTTCATGATGGCATAAGATGCTATAACATAACAGTGATTGGGGAAAAAACAAGAAACAAATCTGTATATGTTTTGTGGGCAGCATGTTCATGTACACAAACAGAGAAGGAAAGATTCCAAAATGTTAGTTAATTAAGTGTTTTAAAGTGACAGGATTAGGGGTGATTTCTTTTCTCTATTTTCCAAGTATTAGGTGTGAGTTAATTAAACATTGAAGAAAAAATACTAAATTTTAAAACACAAACTATATTTGCTTTCGCTTTTTTTCCCTTTTCTGACTTCCAGGCCCCTCAAGAGCAGGGACGGGCCAGCCCGACTGCAAGCCTGCTGCGCAGTGAGGCTGCGGACAAGCCGGCCAGAGTGCCCCTGCCTCCTTCCCCACAGGGCAGCTACGTGCCCGGGACGGAGCCGCCCCTCCTTGCCATCCCACTCTCGCCCTAACAACCTCTGCTCCCTCGGCCCAAGGCTGTTGTGAGAACACCACCTTCCCCGTCGGGGGGAGGTGGGGAACTGTGCTACAAAGGACAAGGCTATTCATAGGGAACATCAAATTGAAGCACAATCTGACAAATGACTCAACTCTGAATCAGCTGGTATTAAGATCTCGGAGTGGGAAGAGGAAAAAGCCTCTGTTCTCCAAAGGACACAATGGAACATTTAACAGATTTTTTTCAAAGGGCAAATGAACAAACAAACTCGCCATTTATGACTCAAATAAAGCAGGTGAAGAATGAGCTGCTTATCAAAAATGCTGCCTTGGAGAAAAAAAGCCAAGAGACTTGTTTCTCCCTAAATGAATTGGAGATATTCTTGGTTTTCAAAATGATCTGGAGCCCTGGAGACTTAGATCAATAACATTCCCTCTGCAAAGAGAGCAGATGGCCAGAGCGCAGCTTAAATACCTTTGAGCATTTCCCACTTGGAAGGTGGGAGGAGACAGCTTAAAGCTGACAAATCTTTGCCTAGAAATGATGTGGCAATGAGACTTCCACTGACCTGGCACACCAGGCTGTGTTCCAGACAACTCCAACCAAGAAGATTCCAGGGAACCCAAGTACAAACAGGCCCACCTGTGTTTCATAATGAGCACAGTTCGGCCTTCTGAAAAAGGCCCACAGACACAGGGAGCAGGGCTCTCCGAGTGGGAGAGTTAGGCCAGGTTAGGGGCTAAAGGGGACAAGCTCTTCCTCATTGTCACAACTGCAGGGTCCTCCCACTGTCAGCACGGGCGAGAACAGAGAAAGTCAGAGACCAAAGTCATCAGGGTGAATAAGGTTTCCCTGGTCCTTTCCTGAATTAACAGAACAGGCCTCTCACCCTCAGCACACATGCCCAGCGAACTACTTGCCGCTTAGGGGCCATGCAGAAAGAGACCTCATGATTTAACCTCTCCGGGCCCTGTAGAACTGTTCAATGCCACCAGCGAAATGTCCCAGTCATGAACCTTGACTTGTGGGCTGACGGGACACTGATTGTTTGTTCCTGTTGTATCCACTATACATGGCAAAGTGCAGGAGTCCCGATTATATGTGTGGGAACAGCACACGCCCAGTCGAATCCAAAAGTCCAGATGCTGGGAGAGAAGATGCACCAAATTCAGAGGCTTGCTTGTTTTTCAATGTTGATGAATTCAGTAATGATGCATCTTCACTACCCAAATTATCTGGGAGACTTGGCCACTCTCCAGACCCCTGAGACCATACCAGTCTTCTAGATGTGCCAACTGCAGCACAGATCCAGGGCCTGACTTGGAGTCAAAAGCATCGCAACATACCCGATGTGTCCACGCAGGCATGGCCCAAGCTCAAGAAAGCCTATGGCCAGACCTGCTAACCCACGAGGGTCCTCAAAACCCCAAACACGGCAAAGGGGATTTCTCCCAAACTCCCTAGGACAGATGCAGTCTTGAGAAATTTGGAAGGTTGTTATTTTTTTATAATTAGCACATGACAACAAAAATGTCTTTTCTTACCTCCGCCTGTTCTGTTGACTCAAGTCTGTCATCCCCCTGGGAACCCATGCAGGAGAGATCAAAGATGGTTTTCTTCAGGTGCTGATTATCTGTATACAGCTCCTTCACTAGCTGTACGAGGTCACTGACCTGGAAAACAAGAGCAGAGGGGCTGGAGGACTGGATACCCACAAGCAGACTCGGCTTCCCAGGGCCACAGCCCTCGCACCGACCTTCCTACTGAGCAGACCTTTCGGCCTCACCGCTGCGGAGAATCGGGCGGCCTGAGTCCAGTCTTCAGGCTACCCTAGGTCCAGTGAACCTGTTTTCACTAGCATGCCCACAACCCTAATCCCGCAGCCATCACTGCAAGGCAGAGAGCCTGGGCAAGCTGCCTAAGCTAAGCCTCCATGTCCTCATCTGTGAAAGGGGTTCCTGTGAGAAATGAAGACGATAGTGGTCACAGTGCACTCAGTCCTTGGTACAGTCTAATGACAGCTAATGCTATCCCTGCCTTGTACATAAGACCCTCGGGAGGAAAATGGCCGAGACTGAAGTTTCTGAGACTATCAGACACCCTTATTTTATAGCATCGCCTTCTTTCTACACTTACTGCAATGTCAGTAATAATAATAGTCTTCCATTACATAGCAATTTACAGCTACTAAAATACTCCCACAAGCTGTAGTTGATCATTCTTTTCAAAAAATTTGAGGAGGTGGATAGGCTAGTATGATTATCCCCATTTTATAAAGAAGAGCCTGAGATACAAGAAGTTTCATTGCCCAAGGTCCCACCACTGGGGTTGCCTGAGAATCAGATGCCACGTAACAGCCAGCTTGCCTAGCCACGTGGGAAAAGGCAACGCCTCCAGAGGCACAGCCTGCGCCGGAGCTGACTCCAGGGACTCCCAGCCCAGTGCTCCTCCTCAAGATGCAGGTCTTGATAGGCCAGATACATAAGCAATTGGGCAGACACCACCTTCGTTTCCAGAAGTTTCAAATGCCAATGGCCAGTAATTTTCTAAAGACATCTTAATGTGCTAATCATTAGCCCCACAAATAAAGTAGGAAATCCCACCCAGGCTGCCCATAGCAGATGTCCAAAATACATCAAAATATGAGCACAAATTGAACCTGACCCTCAGGGTTACACTGGGAAATACAAGACATTCTGATTCTATAAACACTAAGCACCAACCAAGTGAACAACTTCCTGCCCTCAACACAGCCACAGTAGGTACTAGCAGCAGCTATTATCATCCTCATTTTATTTACCTTCAAAAATTCAATGCCTCGCCTTGGCCTATTTGGCTCAGCGGTTAGAGCGTTGGCCTGCGGTCCAGAGAGACCGGGTTCAGTTCCCGCTAAGGGTGCATACCTCGGTTGCAGTTTGTCCCCAGCCCTGGTATGCTGTGGGGGTGGCAGCCATCGATGTGTCCCTTTCACATCGATGTTTCTCTCTCTCTCTCTTCCTCTCTCTCCCTCCCACTCTATCCGAACAAAAAATGGAAAAATTTCCTCGGGTGAGGATGAAAAAAAAAAATTCAATGCCTCAATGCTGCTTGATTTACTCCTCCCAAAATATTGAAATTTGTATAGTTCTCCTTTCCATTGCTTACTTCTATACCTTACACTGGCTATTTTCTCTTTCTCTGCTGAAAAAGCCCTCTACCCAAACAAACTCCTGTTCATCCTTCAAAACCCACTTCAGGCCTCACTTCTGTTGAGACACTTTCTCTGATCCAGCGAGCACTCCTCAACCCCAACAGTTAACCTCTCCTTCTCTGCTACCTCCATACCTTGCACATCTGCCTATTACAGCAACCCCTGCACTCCACATTACAATTACTTACAAGCCTACTCACTCTAACAGAATGCGAATTATTCCAAAACAGAAACTGAATCTGTCATACATGTATGATAATTTTACAATAAAACAGTCTCCTCTGAGCTCACACTTCCTATTCTTTTTTTTTTTTCATCCTCTCCCAAGGACATTTTTCCATTTTTTGTTCAGATAGAGTGGGAGGGAGAGAAGGAGAGAGAGAAGCATCGATGCGTAAGGGACACATCGAGTGGCTGCCACATGCAGGACCCAACCAGGGCCGGGACAAACCGCAACCAAGGTACATGCCCTTAGCGGGAACTGAACCTGGGTCTCTCTGGACCGCAGGCCGACGCTCTAACCGCTGAGCCAAATCAGCCAGGGCCACACTTCCTATTCTTATCAATGGCTCTTAGAATCTTGAAATACTAAGCCACTCTAACCACACCAACAATCAACAGATTAAAAAAAAACCTTTTCAGTTTTAAAAAAGATTTATTGCTCAAACTTGAATATTTACTCTTTCAAAAAGCATCTATTAACTCCCACTACATGTGCCAGGCACTGGAAAATCAGAAATAAATAGGATGTTCACAGTCGAGCAGAGGATACAGACAACCACCCAGACTGTGCAGGCCCGCGTGAGAAGGGAATGAGTGTGACTGGTACGAGAAGAGGGGAAAGGCGGCTGACTACGTGGAGGGACTGGAGGGCTTTCCCAGAGAAGATCGCGTCTGGGTGGGTCCTCCAACCTGAGAAGGAGCATATGAGACATGAGGAGAGAACTCCAGGGAACAAATGTAGAAAGAGAAAAGGCAAACAGGGAGAGGGAAGAAAGGAGAAAAAGGGGGTTTGAGAATCTTATACCTGTGATCAGGAACCCAAGAGAGAACAAATAACCAACAAAGCACTGTAAGTAATAGGCAAATACCTTTTTCTTAAGTTCTTCTTGAGAAAAATGCTCCACTTGAAACCGATTGTGTTCTTCAAGGCAAATACTCAGGTAAGATGTTTGATCACTATAAAATGAAAATGGTTCATCTAATAAAAAGACCAAAAAAAGGGGGGAGGGAGGGTAAGAGAAAAAGAAAATCAGAAATAGGTCCTCCCAAGATCAATCCCAGTGTAATCTATCTTGGGCAGTTTGAAGGGGGAGGATCTAGGGGGCAGAAGTACAGAGTGAATCTAAGCTTAGGAGCAAAAGCAATTTTCCCTTCTTTCTCTACAGGCTGATATCTCAAAATATGGTTTCATCATGGGCTGTATAAGCTTCCACTGTAGCCAATTCTGAATTATCATTTGCATATCAAGTGTTGCGCCTGGAGACCATTCTGACTGGCACAAGAAAATGGTGATTTCAGTTTAAATGAGGGAGTGATTCTATTTAGGTGAGAATACAGGAAAATTAGATGTGACTTCAAGGGTAGAACTCAAGGGAAATAAGTGCCTGATGTATTTTTCACTGGCCCAAGCCCTCCATGGCAGCGAGCATACTGAGTGCAGAAACTGCCTGCTAGATCTCAGATGAGAGAATCTGGTCACCTACAGAAGGGTCCCTCTGCACCAGCCATTGTCAGTCGGTGTGCTGCAAGAAGCTTTCAAACATGCAACACCTATGTGGTCAGGGCACTGACCTCTTTTCCCTTAGACTGGCAAATTAAAAAATGACAACAGCCAAAACACAATAGCTGTCCAGTGTGAATGAACCAAAATTATATCTTTTTTTTTTTTGGCAGATCAGCAAAAAAAATTTTTTTTGGTGTGCCACAAATTCTAATCATTTTGTGTGCCATGAGATGATCAGCTAAAACTCGCTGCTTGGCCACAAGGGTCGCATTCAAATAGGAAGGGAAGATGCAGGGCAGGGCTGGTCGTCTATGGGGCGAGACAAATCCACAAACAGGACCTCATCTAACACACGGGGCTGAAAATTGGTACACCTAATATATTGGAAAGAGCTACACGTCAAAGGAGGACGTCCCGGCTCACATTTGGGTAAATCCACTCCCACTCCCACCCAAGTCTCAGTTTCTTCACCTGTAAAATGACGTCAATACCTACTCTATCTAACGGGATGGCTGTCAGGATCAGGGATGAGAAGTTAAGTGTCTGACACTGTGCCATGTACACAGTAGTTGCTCAAGAAGTGTCAAACCCACCATTATTACCAGTTTTTACCACCCATGCCAGGCTAGAGATACAGCAAGGAAGAAGAGTCTAACTCAGACTCTAAGGAACTCAGGCTCCAGGAAGGGAGAGGGCCAGTTATTACTGCGAGGAGCACGGCAATGCAAGAAGCACAGGACCCTCACCTTGCAGCCCTCCCTAAATGAACCCACGTGTGGTCATGAAAAGCAGCGGTCCAATATGAAGCAGCAATCTCACCCCCGCAGGTCTGCAGTCTGGGCTCTCTGCCTGGGGTGCTGCGGGAGGCAGAGCCCAGACATTTTGGGCAACAAGGGCTGTTTCCCAGAAAGGGGAGTGTGAGGTCCCAAGGTTACCTGGAGCTAGAAGTATCAAACGCCACAGAGCACAGCAGAGGCAGCAGGAAGCAGTGCTGCAGCAGACCTCTGCAGAACTCATAGTCTGCTGGGTCTCCTGCTGTGAAGACTGAAGCCAGACAGATACAGGCTGGGAGAGCCAACACTGACAGTCACCACACAAAAGTGTCCCCAGATGAACTCCTGTGGGGGCCTTGTGTCCTCCCTCAGAGTCCAGCCAAGGCCTCTAAGTGCAGAAACCAAAGGGAGATACATACAAGAGTGTGTACCTTCTCGCTTCCGAATCTCGCTGATCTGCTCCTCCAGCATCTTTTGCAAATTCCGACAGGCGAGCACATCCCGCTCCAGCTGCTTACGCAGGGCAAAGATGCTGTTTAACTCAGCCTGCAGGTTCTTGACACTTGGGAAAACAAAACACAAGAAATTTTAAAACTGACCTGTTTGCACTTTAAGATGCAAAACCTTGCCAGCCTTTCCTTTGATTTCCATGTCATTTGTGCTTGTTTCTGGTTATAAAAGTAAATATATGTTTACTATAAAAAATTTAAAATATAACCAGGCTGGTGTGGCTCAGTGGTTGAGTGTCAACCCATGAACCAAGAGGTTGCCGGTTTGATTCCTGGTCAGGACACACGCCCAGGTTGTGACCCAATCCCCAGTGGGGGGCATGCAGGAGGCAGCCAATCCATGTTCTTGCTCATGGATGTTTCTATCTCTCTCTCCCTCTCCTTTCCTCTCTCTCTAAAAGCAATAAAGAAAAAAACTTGAAAATATAAGACAAAATTATAAAGAAAATAAAAATTACCATGATCCCAGTACCAATTAACACATTGTAGACTGATTTCCTCCCAATCTTTTTCCGAGTATTTTTACAAAGTGGAACTAATAATAGATATATAATGCTAAACTGGGCATTCCTCCTTCACTTAAATACTTCCCTACATCTTTGGAAATTATTTGCAAACATCATTTTTTAATAGGTATCATTAACTCATCCCCTACCAGTGCACATCGAAATCACTTCCAAGTTTTTGCTACAGAAATAAATAAGTAAAAATAGTTGAACTCTGCAGAATGTTCCTGTTTGAAAAACGCCTGTGAGAGCACAGGTAGAAATAGGGAGGCTCTCCAGAGCATGGCTGTCACCTGGCACCAAGGCTTCAGAAGAGAGGAGACAAGAGAGAATGTCTGTGTCACTCCAAAAAGAGGTGGTTCTGGGGTGAGAGTGAGGGGCAGGAAAGAAGAGAAAAGAGAACAAAGAGTGAGTCAAATAAAGGAAGGAGGGAAGGACCAATTTGGAGACCAACAGAACTCCGCATAGTGGAATGGGTTATTTTGGGAGGAGGTGCCAAGTCCGATGTCAGGGTCACTGTGATACAGTGCTGAGCTGCAGAGAGCAACCCAGGATTCAGAGGAGGCCCCGAAAATGCACTCCTCCCAGAATCGGCATTGATCTTGGGAAAGACCGCCCAACAGAATCCCCCCAACAATAACGTTCGGTATCTGCACTAAACAGCAGCCACTAGCTAAAGGTGCCTACTGAACATTTAAACTGTGGCTAACATACTAAAGAACTAAATGCTTAACTTTGGGGAATTTAGACTTAAATAGTCACATGGCTAGTGGCTACTAATTGAGCCACGCATGTCCGCAAGCACTGTAAACTTCAACTGATGTGCACCGGGCAGGGATCTGAACCCGTTACACCAGCTCTCAGAGGAACAGGGACCCCAGCAGGCATCTGAACTCTGTGCCTAAAGCCTTGTTCCACAATCAGGTTAGTTTCTTAAGACAAATTCCCAGCAGTGCAATTACTGGGTCAAACAGTATGAACATTTTTCGAGACTACCAAAACACAGTAACAAATCAGAAAGCCTCCTTTTATACATAACCAAGACATACATCAGTCCCTGTCCAGCATCTGACCTATGGTTCCCTAAGAGTGTCCATCAGCACCTTGGAACTGTCTATGTGGCTTTTTCTAGGCAGAGGGTCATTAGCTTCCCACAGATTTTTCAAAAGGGGTCCATACCCCAAAATGGGTAGGAGCTATTGCTCTAAATATATGTGCTACAGACTCAAGACCCACTTCTCCCTCAGAAATTTCTTCCAGCTCCATCCACCGGACTGCACACATAAATCAACATATATTGGAAGGAAAATAAACCATTATGTCTAATCTTCTATGCTTGCTGCTTTGATGATGGCTCACTGTGAAGCAGTCTTCTTGCAAAGGAAGGGGCCCTACCAGCGACTTGTACCTACTTCCATTTCAAGACAATCATAATGACCAATTTGTAAGGCTGATGGAAAACCTTCCAGAGGTGTCACAGCACAGCACTCGCTTGGAAGCAGGCGGGCTGCAGACACATTTAACCAGGAAAAAAGAAAAAAGGAGATTGTTTTACCAAAGCTCCTGTGATCAGGGCTGGGAAAGCTAACTGCTTCCCTCCCTCTTCCATTCTCCAACAGGGCGAAAAGCACACAGCTGCTGCGCCCTTGTCCGTTACCTATGTTTCCCCAACTCCAGAATCTTTGCAAGGGGGGGGAGCTGGTGCAACAAAAGAAGAGCAGGAAGCAAACGCCCTGTGCATTTCTCTTTCTGGACCACGGTGGGGAAGGAGGCAGAAAGGAGCAGTCAGAGAGACCCTTGGCAAACCACCGACAATCAGCTCCATGACCTCAGGCCTTAGTCCTAATTTCTTCCTCTGTCACTGGGGTGGTTTCTTTCCTTCAAGATTGTTCTGAGGATTAAATGAGATGTCACACGGGAAAGAATGTAGCATCATGCTTAAGACATACTGGATGCTCAACACACATCATTTCCTTCATTCCACATGTCCTAAAAACTCCCCCCAAAAAGATCATATTTATAAACCAAATTTTCTGATTCTCATGAATTACAACAGTGATTCTCATCTGGAAACAAATTCTGGCACCCACAGCACAAGTAGCAGTATCTGGAGACACTGACGGTTGTCACATCTGGGTCATGGAGGGTGCTACTAGCATGTATTGGAGAAAGTCAGAGATCTGCTAAACATCCGATGATGCACAGGACAGCCCCTCCTAACGAAAAAGTACGCAGCCCCAAATCTCGGCAGTGCTGAGGGGCAGAAAGCCTGAGTCACAGGGAAGTGAAAACTGTACGTGTTCTCAAGATGAGAGACAGCTCAGGAAGGGCCTAGGCTCAGGAGCCAGGGAGGTCTGAGCTCTGGTCATTCCTACACGTAGATGCTTGGACAATACCCTGAACACCACCGAGAGCAGATTTCCACTCCTGTAATACGGAACAAAGTCACTGACGTCTCAGTGCCGCTGTGAGGAATAAATAAGTCAAAGGGACAGGACCAGGCACAGTTGCCCATGATCAGTTTCCTTCCTCCCTGACCTCCCTTTCCAATCTTAATTACAAGTATGGCACAGGTCTCCAGAGCCATCCACTTCTACTGCCCGTTCCCAGGGAGTGAGTGCTGCTGACCTTACCAAAAAGGGCACCACCTGCCTTAGCCCACAGTCCTATCCTCTGCATATGGCAAGAACTGAGGATTCAAAAACCCCCTACAACAAAGTGTATGCGTACTGGGAAACTGAGGCAGACGGAAGCTTTTCATATTGCACTCTTCATGTGTTACCATGTACTGAGTGCTTATATGTCAGGCAAGATTAGGACTTCACACACTGTCACCTCTTGTTTCAAAACCACCCTATAAGGGAGGTACGTTGGTAGGTAGGCAGGTAGGTAGGTAAGCAGAGAGGTAGGCCAGCCAACCCCAGTGGTACAGACATACACACTGAGGCTCAGGGTGAAGAGTGACTTAGCTCAGAACTCAGAGGTGCTGTGTGGCAGAGTTGGGGTTTGGACCCAGGTCTGTCTCACCCTAGAGGTATTTCAACTCTGAAGATGAACAAGAAACCTTGTAAGTATCCTTGTCAGTCACAGCACTGACCTATCTTGGTCCCGTCCCACATTTGCCTACAGTGATAAAGAGTCTATGACACGCACAGCCCTCCGGGAGGCTGAGGGCTGACAGCAGCATACCCGCCCACAGGGCCTGTCCGTGCCCAGAACAGATCTGGCTCCCACCCGGAGAAGTGCAGTTACACTCACTTTGCCCATTCCCTCTCTGAGTTTCCCAGCATCACTCAACCCCCTTCCCAAGTGAAAATGACTAGCAGCCGAGGATCCTTGAAAACACTCTTTCAGAGAGTGATGCCTACTCCCAGGATTTTATCAGCATCTTTTCATTTTCTCGAAATTCATTTTAGATTAAAAAATCTGAAATATGGCACAACTTAAAGATGGGGGTGGGTATCCATCCAGTGAACATTTCCCGAGTGCCTACTCCATACCAGCCCGTGACAGGCGCTAGGAAATGGATCCCCACTCTGAGAGAGCTCACAGTCCAGACAAGGAGGCAGGTCACCATGGGGTAACTTTCCTGGGGATTATCACGGGCCTCCTGACAAGGGTAACCCTCAAGATGAAATCTCAAGGACTCGAGGGAGATACAGAGGGTGTGGAAACCCATGTGAAGGAGAGCACCTGGCCCAGGGACAACATAATGAAGACTTTATGGCTGGAAGGGAATAAGAGACGGAGTAATGAAGCATGATTTTTTTTCTTTTATTTTCTTTTTTATTATGAAAAATCTTAGCCATATGCAAAAGAAAACAAACTATAATGTAATGAGCCCCTCTCCCATCTCACCTGCGTCAGTCCGAACAACCAGGGAGCATCTTGTTCCACCACATCCCTCTCCACTCCCTCTGCTTCTGCACTGTTTTGAAATGAACCTCAGACGTCATTCCTTTCACCTGTAACTGCCCCAGTGTGCAGAAAGATGATTTCCTAATATGGGAAGTCACTGAAGCTGCCTGTGTTTACAGATGGGCAAACAGAGGCCCAGAGTGGGCCTCTTGCCTGTGGGCACAGAGCTAGGGCTACAACAAGACCACAGGCTGTAATCAAGCCTCCTCACCACATCTCACAGGCATTGAGTGAGTTGTGGGGTTCTGTCATTCCTCACCCATGTGACTGGACAAGTTGCTCAACCTCTCTTATGGAAAACAGTAACATATATTACTTACCTCACAGAATAGCTGTGAGGGTCATTAGGTATAATACATAGAAGTACCTTCTAAAACTATAATAAAGCATTATAAAAATCTAAGTGATCATTATACTTTTATCCTACGTTTGCTGTCAAAAGTCAGATAATTTTTTTTTTTTATCCTCACCCGAGGATATTTTTCCATTTTTTGTTCAGACAGAGTGGGAGGGAGAGAGAGGAAGAGAGAGAGAGAGAGAAAGAGAGAAACATCGACGTGAAAGAGACACATCAAGTGGCTGCCACCTGCACAACCAACCAGGGCCGGGGACAAACTGCGACCGAGGTATGCGCCCTTAGCAGGAACTGAACCCGGGTCTCTCTGGACCACAGGCCGACACTAACCGCTGAGCCAAACTGGCCAGGGCAAAAGTCAGATAATTCTTGATAGAATAGGTATATCTGACTTAAACAAGGCAATCACCATCCAAGCACTTTAAGCTTACTGAGCAAACTTTGCTGCCTTAGAAAAAACACGCACTTATTCAAAATATGTGTGTGCATGTGTTCACACTCACTTGTGTGTAATGTCCAAACAGAAACCCTTACCTGTCTGAGTCCTGCAGAGATTTTACCAGGTGGGCATAGATGTCCTGCTCTTTCTTTAAGACCCGAATCAGCTCTTCATAGTCTAATTGCTGCTTTTCCTGGAAATGACAACGGGCATCGGACATTAAGAGAAAAATTTTCAAAGAACACATCCTTATGCAAACATATGTGGGTTTGGTTTCTAAATCCAAACGAAGGTGATCCCCAGCGCAAGGCTCTGGATCCGGCCATGGTCAGAGAGCACCACCTGCAGGAGGAGTGAGGAATGACTGCCCATCACTGACCTCAGAATGAAGCTGAGAGCGATGCTCCCAACACTAGAGAGCTGCCATAAAGAACCATCCCAGTTACCCTATTTGCCCATCATGAAATAGCCACCCCTCAGGGCTTCTGGTCATCATTTTCACAACACTGCAAAGAATACCTTTCCACACTTGTTCTTGCTTAAAAAACAAAAACAAAATCCGAAACCAAAACCTGACAAGCATTAGGGACAAGGGACTTACACTCAAGGAGAGGAAGTGAAGTGTGTCACGCTTTGCAGGCATCAAACAGAGTGATGCTAAGCGATCTGAGGTGGAGCCCTGAACCCAGCAGCTATGTGACAAGGAAACTAGCTTAAAAAACCTCTATGAGTTTAGTCTCCTCATTTATGAAATGGGGATTAACTCTATAAATCAGCATTCACAAATGTGGATTTTTTTTTAGAGAGAAGAAGGGGGAGAAAGAGAAACATCAATTTGTCATTTCGTTTATTTATGTATTCAATGGTTGATCCTTGTATGTGCCATGACCAGGGATCGAATCCACAACCTTGGCATGTCGAGAAGATGCTGTAACCAACTGATCTACCCAGTCAGGGCAATGTGACATTTTTTTTAAAGTTCAAATTTTGGCTCTACTACTTACCAGTTCTGGGACCTGAGGAAATTACTCACTGAAGCCTTGGTATTCCCACCTGTAAAGTGGTGGACCACACGCAGTTATGGAGCAGATAATGTTAAATGTGTTCTATAAGGAACCGGGGGATCCCGAGAGAAATGGCCAATGTCAGTACTGGGGCAAGAAAATCAAAGACAATACAAGATAGGGCGACAGTATTTTTCATGCTCGAAAAGATGGAATTGCTTAAATGATGGAGTGTGTTGTCAGAAGGACAGAGGAGCCAAGTCTGGAATAATCAGAGCATCAAAATAAATAACAATAGTAACAGATTATAACCTACTGAATAAAATATGAATTCATGAGTTCATATTGATATAAATATGAATAAATGGGAAGAAAAGCGGGCTTTTCTTTATAGTAGAATAACAACTAATAAATGTAGAAAGAATGATGGAATTAGAAAACTCACCACTTGCCGACCATCATGGGAATTAATAATTCAGCCAAGAAACATAAAAGGAAACTAAGGGGTAAAAATTTGAAGATCAGCCCTGGCCAGTTTGGCTCAGCGGTTAGAGCGTCGGCCTGCAGTCCAGAGAGACCCAGGTTCGGTTCCCGCTAAGGGTGCGTACCTTGGTTGCAGTTTATCCCCGGCCCTGGTTGGGTCGTGCAGGTGGCAGCCACTTGATGTGTCCCTTTCACATCAATGTTTCTCTCTCTTTCTCTCTTCCTCTCTCTCCCTCCCACTCTATCTGAACAAAAAATGGAAAAAATGTCCTCGGTGAGGATAAAAAAAAAAATTGAAGATCAAAGTATTTACATAGATTCAAATCCCCTCCCCCCACACACACACACACATACAAAATATTTATTAATTACAAAGGAAAAGAGAATAAATGAACAGTTGAGACACCTGTAGACACTATCTTCATAGTTATCAAAGTCAGTGTGATCAGTAACGGGACAAATCAAAATCGCGTGCCATCGGACAGGACACACGGAACACAGCACCACTCCTGAGATGTTCCCGCCACAGCTGCCTAGCCTGAATCCAATCACCAAGAGCCCACACTCAAAGACACCCTACAGTCTGAGTGGCCTGGACACTGCAAAGGCATCAAGGCCATAAAAGCCAAGGAAAGAGAGAGGAACTGTTCTAGACGGGAGACTGGAGAATCAAGACGAATGGTTCTGAACTGGACCCTCTGCTGCGAGGGGCTCCGAGGGACACCGGTGACAGGAGTGAGTCTGGGGACTACAGGGAGTGAAGCGCCTCTGCTGACTGCCGGCTGTGGTGGCGGGGCCACGACAAACAGAGGAACGCCCCTGCCCATAGGAAACACACGTCAAGTACTCAGAGGTGACAGGGCCTCACCTGGCCAACTCACTCTCAGATGGCTCAGGTAAAGTAAAAGCCTTTATTCTTTTTTTATTTTTTAATCCTCACCTGCGGGCATTTTTCCATATTTTGTTCAGTTAGAGTGGGAGGGAGAGAGAGGAAGAGAGAGAGAGAGAAACATCGACGTGAAAGGGCCACATCGAGTGGCTGCCACCCGCACAACCAACCAGGGCCGGGGACAAACTGCAACCGAGGTACATGCCCTTAGCGGGAACCGAACCCGGGTCTCTCTGGACCGCAGGCCGATGCTCTAACCGCTGAGCCAAACCGGCCAGGGCAAAGCCTTTATTCTTAAGTAGCCTACAAATTTGAAATATTTCAAAATAAGAAGACAGTGTTAAAATAAAGAGTTAACACATGCAGAATGCCTAGCACAGACTAGATGTTCTCAGTCCTGGGAGGGAGAAGGCTAACGGAGAGCCTGAGGGGCAAGCAGCCCTTGTACTTCACGTGGACTTAGCTTTCTCCGAAAGTTACGATACTACCTAGGACAGGGGTTCTTAACTGACACTAAAATTCAGGGGCTGCATGAATATGAGTATGAACAGGGAAAAAAGTTACATCTTTATTCTCACTAACCTCTAACTGAAATTTGGCATTTCTTTCCATTATGACTTGCCAGAATAATGCTATTGCTACAAGCCACAGTAGTTTTAGTATTTCCCTGTGACTCTGGCATCAAAAAAAAAAAAAAATAATAGTGTGTATATGTTGTGGATATCTCAAAATATTTATTCTTATCACTACTTCAAAACTATAGCAGTCACTATGCTCACCACAAGATCTTGTTATTTAACACACTAATAAAAAAAAAAGTCCCATTTTTAGCTTATTTTTAAACATTTCAATAACCAAATTTCAAAATAATTGGTTTTCTGTGCATATATTTTATGTATTTAAGTACTTCTCCAAGGAAGAGGCCTTGGCTGCAGCAGACTACCAGAGGGAAGCAGAGAACAAAACTGGCTACAAACCCTGACTTAAGAGATCACTGTGTGCTTCTAGCCCCAAAACAAGGCAAAGGCACCATCTGCCAATTAAATGTTTTTTTATCCTAACCCGAGGACACTTTTGCATTTTTATCTTCAGAAGGAAACATCAATGTGAGAGAGACACATCGACTGGTTGCCACCTACACTATCCCAATTGGGGTCGGGGACAAACTGCAACCAAGGTACATGCCCTTAGCGGGAACCAAACCCAGGACTCTCTGGTCCGCGGGCCGACACTCTAACCGCTCAGCCAAACCGGCCAGAGCCAATTAAAAATTTTTAATCTGAACTACCGGTTGCTCAACATGAGTTAGTCACCAAGGCTGCTAGAAATGTCAGGCCTTTCTGTAAATCCTGCCACATGTCATTGGCACAGGGAGCTCCTAAATGCCGTTCGTGCACAAGTAACAATGTCACATGGGATTCTCTCAGCTCCCACTGTACACGCCTTGTGTGGGAACAGAGGGTCCCGGAGAAGAGAATTCAACAGGATACCAAGACAAAAAGGCTACTGAGCCCTCGGCATGCCAGCCACTGTGTAAGTGCCTTCCAGGCATTTTCTCCTCTAACCCTCACAACCACCCAGTGAGCTCAATGTTACCATTCTCCCCATTTTGGTGAGGAAGGAACTGCAGCACAGAGGGCGAACAGTGTGCCCAAGGCCAGGGCAGCGAGGCAGGGTGTGGACCCAGGCAGCCAAGCTCCAAGTCCACCTGTCAATGCTCCATAATGGATACTACAAAGCACTGGGTGCTTGAAAGGGGCGACATCATCACTGTCAGCCACATAAAACCAGCCAACAGTGACAAAGAAAATAAGAAAACTTACTGCTTCTTGAGTATCTACCATAAGAAGCAGTGGGTAAGAGTGTGTGACCTTATTAACTGTGTGACCTTGAAGAAGTTAACCTCCCTGTGCTTCAATATCCTCACCTATAAATGGAGCTAATAATTCTACATATGTCATAGGGCTGGCAAGGAGGTGAAATGAGTTAATCTATACAAAGCTCTCATCATGACTCCTAGCATTGAGTGAAAATGTGATAAATAGCCATAACTATTTCTATGCCCTGGTGCTATGCTAGGTACTTTTTTTTTTAAATATATTTTTCTTTATTGATGTTAGAGAGAGAGGAAGGGAGAGAAAGAGAGAAACATGGATGAGAGAGAACATCGACTGGCCGCCTCACTCATGCCCCCCACTGGGGATTGGGCCCACAACCTGGGCATGTGCCCTGACCAGAAATCGAACCGGCGACCTCTTGGTGCATGGGTCGATGCTCAACCACTGAGCCACACTGGCCAGGCAATGCTGGATACTCTTACATGGATCATCTTTAATCACAACAACCCAGGAAGGTGTATTATTCTTTCCATTCTTAAGATGAAGAAATTGATTCTCTGAGAGCAGAGGTTAACTTGTTTGAGTCCATTCAACTAATGACTGACAGTCAGAATTTGTGCTTAGGTATGTAACTTCAAAACCAACCCAGAAAGGCTAGCAAAAAAATCCGATAAAAATAGAGTTCTGGCCCTGGCCGGTATGGTTCAGCGTTAAGAATGTCGCCACCCGTGGACCAAAGAGTCCTGGGTTCGATTCCAGCCAAGGGCCCGTACCTCAGTTGCAGTTTGTCCCTGGCCCTGGTTGGGGCTGTGCGGGTGGTAACCAATCAATGTGTCTCTCTCACATCAATGTTTCTCTCTCTCTCTCTCTCTCTCTCTCTCTCTCTCTCTCTCCCTCTCTCTCTCTCCCTCCCTCTCCCTCTCCAGCTGTATCTGATGATTAATGTAAAAATATCCTCGGATGAGGATAAAAAAAAAAAAATAGGTATCTAGTAGATGGAGTAGACTCCAGATGTGGAATGTATGTGCCCAGTGAAACAATCCTGCCCCAGAGGACCCTGGATCACTGTGGGCCAGGCCTTAAGACCGAGGACCACCCACTGCAATGTCAGGGCCCGGTGCCTGGCTCAGCACCCGTCTCTTCTTTCTGGAAGCTATTCCAAACCTTCACCAGGTTTCTCAGGTCATCGCTCCCCTTGGCCCCGCCCCCACCTGCCAGCTGACCACATCTGCACTTGCTTTCCTCCTGCCCTCCCACCTCTGTGGAACAGACACCCCTCCCTCTGAGCTTCAGCGGGAAACTCCTCACTCCTCTTCGGGGACCACAGCCATCAGTCATCCCTCTCTGTGGATCTGCTTAGGCCAAACTCTCAGCAGGAAGCCATCCCTGACTGAGAGAGATGCCCTCCTCCAGCCCCATGGCACCCTGGTTCACTTCACCCCAGAGCTGGTGTCCCAGCCACCTGCTCATGGGTCCAAGGGCTCCTGTGGGCAGCACAGTGCCTGACACAGATCAAACGTTGCCACTATACTTGCTGACCTGATGATTAAATCGCTAAGAGGCAACACAGGGACTCAAGTAAATCGTAAGAGCACAGAGTCTTGTGGATATTTTGCATAATGGAAGTCGGAGTGAGTCAACGTCTTCCTAGAAGCAAATTGCTCACCCATGTTAAATAAATGAACTCTTCGGAGCCATTTGGGTCCAATTTCATCAATCACCTATTCCCCTGCACTGAATCATGCCCCATTAAAATGAAGTCATTTGGCTCCGTCACCAGAGCTGACAAACCAGTGGGCCTCCTCAGCATAGAGGCAGAGGGGTACCCAGAGGACAGTAAGGAGAAGCACCTCTGAGCAGGCACAACCAACTCCCACCCTCCACTCTGCACCTCCAAACAAGGAACAACCCAGACCACAGGCCACTCATCCCACTGGAGACTTACAATGGCCATGCATCTACTGTGTCTGACTGCAGTCTATTCTCCACCGCCCGAGAATGGCCACGCAGCTAACCACCATCCACCTGGCCCATCTGAGAACTGACCCTAGAACACAGGGGCAAGTCCAGCCCGAATCCATACAAAACTCATACGATTCTCTCCAGGAATTCTGAAATGTAAACTGAAACACCCGCAGTCTGGGAGTCTCCGGGTGTGACTCATGCAAAGACAGAGCCCTAGGGTGTGCAGCTTTTGCTGTCCACGGGCTGCTGCAGTTTCACTCCCCCCAGGCGGGGCAGCTCGACACTCCCTTGGCATCAGTGACAGTCAGCGGTATGCTCCCAATAAACACTCCTATTCACTGCTGTTTTGCTCAAACTATTCAATGTTGGATTCTATAGATGGCAACCGAAAAACCTTTACTAACACACTTACATTATATCTAATCCTCCCAGGAAATTAGCATAGAATTCCCCCTTTTACAGATTAGGAAGATGAGTAACAAGAAGACTTAATGGCTCGCTTTTTGACAAGTAGGGCAATTTAGTGGCCTGGTAGATGGATGGTGTCTACCTTGGTAGCAATGTCACAACCCTGAAACAAAGACATTTATTTTAATACTCAGGAAATTCAGCAGAGATGTCCCAACCATGTCAATAGCCAAGCTCTGAATCTCTGGCTGCAGCAAGTTAAATATGGTCAGTGTGTTTTACTCTCTTTTCTTCAATCCCCTGATCATCCAGCATTAATTCTCAGGATCACACAATAATTAGAAGGAAAACACACTGTCCAGAGTAGATGGGTACATCATCACAGCCTCAAGTTCTTCATAGAAATAGGCAGAGGATAAAACCTAAATCAACATAAAACGGCCAAGGGTATAGCAGAAGAAATCCACGTTTTCTGCAAAGAAAGAACTGCAATCTGAAAAGTACACCTTTAGGGGTGAGGGGAAGGGGGGATGATGACATGACATGGGACTGTAGCCTCTAACAGCTGGGATTTCTTAAACTGACACCTAGAAATGTACAATTCCTAAATGATAACATATAATTCTTTATCCACAATTTGCAATCCGTCTTGCAGAATAAAATTAAAACCTTTGCTGCCCGGCCAGTGTGGCTCAGTGGTTGAGCATCAACCCATGCACCAAGAGGTCACCAGTTTGATTCCCAGTCTGGGCACATGCCCAGGCTGTGGGCCCAATCCCCAGTGGGGGGCATGCAGGAGGTAGCCAATCGATGTTCTCTCTCATCAATTTTGCTATCTCTGTCTAAAAAATCAATAAAGAAAAAAAATTAAAAAATAAAAAACCTTTGCTAAAACCCTTGGTATTTTGCTCCACAGTTTAAACATCAGGATCTAAACATAACGGAGATGCCCATGATACGACTTTATACTTGCAGTTTTGGGAAAGCACAGACATCACACAGCAAAAAAAACTAAAACCAAAGTGGTACCAATCATCAAACTCAGCCTGTGCAATAGACTTAGAAACATTTTATTCAACATTTATATACTTTTTACATGACTAAAACACAACTTAAAATAACAAAGTTTAACCAAATGTATTCAAATCAGTGAAGATCTGTCCATCTAGAACACCTGATAGGGTGCTGTCTTGTTTCACAACAGACTGTGCTTGTACAGGTTAGTCTATATCCTAACACCCAACTCAATGTTCAGGTCAAAAACAAATAACTATATGTAAGTTAGAATCACAAATTATGAGCCCTGTGAGATTTAGTTATCATACTTACCCAAAGAACTGACAGCGCCAAGAGGGGAATCCAGGCCTCCAGACTCCTGGCCTGGCTCTAGGGCTCCTCACTGGTCTATGCTGACACTCTTATTCCAGAGACACAGGAAAATGCAAATCCACAAGTGATCCAAGTTAAGAACGAGCTCCCACAGCTCAGCCAATGATGCCCTCTGGACTGGGGCTGATACTGAGCCGACACGCAGTGCCATGGCTAATACTGATGATGAAATACTGAAATACTTCTACACCAGTTGTAAAACAGCCCCTGATCCATCCACACCAACTGGCCCAGCTATCCCAGCCCCTCCCTGTAGACTCCTACAGAGCTCTCCAAGAACCAATAACTACAGGGTTGGTCCCTGGCACACAAGCAGGCCTCCAGGACCCTGCTCCGGCCCTACGGCCTGAGTCTGTCCCGAGAGCTGGGCCTGTGCTGCACCAGTTAATTATTTTGAGAATCACCCTTTGCAAAACCACAAGTCATGATCAGAGCCATTCATCAGAGAACTAATTTACGTAAGAGTTCTCTGTCCTAGATGTATGAACTTGATTAAAGTCAGGTTTAAAAAAACAAAACTTGGCCTATAGTGAACACCTTTCCTTTCCCCTATCTGGCTGCCAAGTTGCATTTTATTCGAGCTGGGGTCAGAACAATCTCTACACATCTCTCACAAACCAACAACAGAGTCATTCATTCACTCAACAAGCACTTACTGAGCCAGGCACTGGACTAGACATTGGAATTCAAACATGAATGCCAGTTCTCTACCTCTGAGGTGCCTGCCCATGGTGCACAGGGGCTCAAGTGAGGAGACAGAAAGGTGGATCCGGCAATGTCAACACAAGAACTAAGTGCTACAACGGATGGGTGAGCAAAGCGCTATGCATCAGAGAGGAAGAGGAGACATCACTACTAAGCAGTCCAGGGAAGATGCCACAGAGAAGCAGACAGCAGAGTGGCATAAGGATGTTCAGGAGTCACCAGGTAAACAAGGAAGTAAAGGGCATTCCAAGAGATGGAACAGCATGTGCGAAGGCACAAAGATGTACAAAAATGGCATTTTCAGGAATCTGCAAGAAGTTAGCTGTTGTTAGTGATGATGGGGAGAAAAAGAAAATGAGACAGGAAAGATAACTTGGGGCCAGATAAGGAAGGGCCTGCTGTGCCCTTTTTCATGTGCATTTAAACAGAAAAATGTTCTGAACACTTGAGATTACATAGTTCTTGAGAGCTGAACCCTGGGAGAGCAAATATGAGGCTCATCTTTTAATGAGCTGTGATTTCTGTTTCCTGTGCAGTGCAAACACTAATACTCAGCTGCGGGATACTAATCTGTAAGGTAGACTCACAACCCCTCCTCTTATTTGCTGTAAGCTCAATTATCAGCAAGAAGGCATCTGAGGCTCTCTAGATCAAAGGAATTACCAAATATGTGTCAGGAAAGAATATGAATTCGCATGTGAATGTCCCATTTCAGTCATGCTCACCTCAGAGAAGATGATTCTGCTGCCTGGTGACTGTTGAGAAGAGCACTTTTCTGTTATTAAGTCTTCACTCCTGAACTTGAGATCTTCCGCAGTCATTAAATAACGATTCTGCTGTATTGCTTCTGAATCTTCTTCATTGGATTTCTAAAGATACCACACAAATCATAAGGAAGTTTTCATCAAGAAAAATATATTAAGAGATTATCCCCAAATCTTTCAGGGAAGATACTTGTTTTTCTTCACAATACCTACATGTCCTCTAAGTCACTTCCATCATCCCCAAATACTGCCAATTACTAACCAAACTGTAATGCACTCCAATATGTTGTTACAACCGGAAGAGCAGCCTGCCAGCATGGTGCGGTCATTGCAAACCCTCCCGCCACTGTGACAGCCTGCTAGCAGGTGCGGGGGACAAAGCCCAGGCTCTCGCCCCATGGGTCTGGGTTCAAATTCTGAGTCCCCCTGACCAGGTGTGACCTCCGGGTCTCCTTCCTATCCTTCGGGGTTGCTGCAGTGATTAAGCAGATTTTATATCACAACCAACAAAGTTTAATCTCCCTTGAAACATTACAAGTAAGTCTGACAAAACTGGAACCACCCATGTCTGTGAGGAGATCTGACTTCCAGGAAGAAAAGGGCAAGACTGCAGGCACTGCTTTGGGGTCTGGCCACACGCGCAAAGCCCCTTCACACTGACACACACTACAGCTCCCTCACTGTCTCCTTCAGAAGGCCTGACATGCAACAGGGCTGGGAACCATTTCTCTGGTCTTGTGCCCAAGTTCAAGCATAGCATCTAGTCCTACTTAACACCTGTAAGTCCTGAACTAGGTTTTGGCACTGTCTGTCAGAAATTCAGGACAAGAACCACATCTTATTCCTTAGCTATCAGAATTCATTCATCATGTCAAACTCGTCAAAGAACTTGGGTGAAAAACAACCAAAAAGTAGCGGAGACAAATTTTTGTAAAAACCCACTAACCTGTAACAGGAAGAACTAGGAATCAAATAACCAACACTGAATTTCTAGAACTGCCATCATACTGTTGTGCTTGAGTCACGTGTTTTGTGTTTTGTTTTTTAAAGTCCAATTATACATTAACATTGCTAACAGTACTGTGAGGCTGAAATGGAAAACAGCTGTCCCTACCCCTCTCCACTTCTCTCCTCTGCATCCCACCCCCAGAAAAAAACAACCTTCAACTCCATAGCTATTTCTTGTTATTTATTTCCATGTTTCTGTATTATGTTCCTACTCTCACATTTCTTGATTTCTTATGGTTAGATTTTATCTACTGGCTCCTGTCAGTTTAAAATTTTAGCTCTTACATCTTCTGCGCCCCCCGACACTTTTCCTAGTAGTTATATCACAATTTTAGCTAAATCAATATTCCACATTTACGTTACTATGGCCACACAAATACTATTCACGGCTCAGCCTTACATCGAGTTCTGTGATTACATTTCCTTTCATTTTCAATTCTTTGCTTTTCTTGGAATTAATAACAACTGCTTTGTCTGTTTGTTTCCTTAGTTCATAAAATTAAATTATGTATTTAATGTTAATTTACCTCCAAACTCTCTAAAGAACTTAAAAATTCCTCTGGATGGAGTCAGATATGTCAGGTAAACGACATTCCATTCAGTTTCTTGGGAGAAACCCCAACTTAAGCATTCCCTCAACAGCTCGAATCCAGGCTCCCCACATCTCTGCTGTCCGCCTGGACTTCACATCCCAGGTGAACTCCCTGCTTTCTGGATCCCATGCTTCCTTTTCTGGTTACTTCCCGTTGGTAGGAAAACATCCTCCAGACGTTTCCTGCCAGGAGCACATGGGAGGCAGATGATTTCCGACACTGAGCATCTGGAAATGCCTGCAGTCTGCCCTCACGCTTGCTGACAGTGCTGTGAGCACAGACTGCTGGACTGGAAGTCACTCTTCCTGAAAAATCTGAAGGCACCGCTCTCCTGTCGTTGGGCTTCCAGTGTTTCTGCTGAGGATTCTGTCATGTCGAAAACTTGGTATGTGACCAGATTCTTCCTCGCTGGAAGCCTTTAGGACGCTCTCTCTGTCCTTGTGTTCTGAACTTGCACAGAGACATGCCTTGGGCTAGCAGTCCTCCATTCACTGTACGAGAAACAGAGTAGGCCCATCCAACGTAGAGCTATCTGTCCTTCCACTTTGGAAACTTCCTTCCCTCTGCTTTTTTGGAATTCCTCTTAGTCCACACTAGAGCTCTTCAATCGAGGCTCTAATGTCTTCTTTTCTCTCCCATTTTCCCATCTTTTTGCTTGTTTCTTTAATTCCATTTTCTGAAAAACTTACTCCTTATCTTCCAACTTTTCTAACTCTTCTATTGAACTTTTTATATCTATAATTACACTTCCAATCTCCAACAGGTCGTCGTCCTTTTTCCCCAGTATCTTCGTTATCGGAGCCCGATCTCATTTACTATCTAGCAGGTTAGTGTTGAGTCTGTTGTGCTAGTTTTCTTCCAGCCTCCACTGTTTCTATTCCCTCTACGTAGCTTTGTTCTGTCTGTTTGGTTTGGTCTTTGTCTTTCCTCTTAGATACTTTTCTCCTGTTTGATGAACTTAAGCCATCCAACAATTGTAAGTGTTAAACTGCTCAGAAGCTCTGTGACTATGGAAAGGGCATATCACTGGCAGCCTCGTGGATGTGACCAGGTGGGGACTCCGGTGTCCTGTCAGAAGACCCCGTCGGCACCTTACAGTCTTTTCCCCCCTCTGGGTATACACACTTCTGCTCCCTCCACTCTGCTTTCAGATGTACCCAGTGACCCCCAGACCAGAGCATTTAAGGTCACCAGGGAGTAAAGCTGCATTTCCTGATAGTGACAAGAACAGGTCACAAAACTGTCCTGCATTCTAGCCCAATCTCCTATTTACTAAGGCATCAGATACCTCCACTGCCTACTGAGTATTTCTGGGTTCTGTAGGGAAATCAGCTTTCTGTTTCTTAGCTTTTCATCCCAAAGCATGTAGCAGCAATGTGGAGGAAGCAGAATCCTATGCAGCTACCACCTGCCCGTCCACTTTCCATCCCGACAGCAGCCTGCGTGGTACACTCATCCCCCTCTGGGCCTATGGGTTTATACCTTTTTCCCCCGTCACTGCATGTTAACAAGGCTTTGGCAGGAAGCAGAGTTAAACACCCGTGTTGAATCCATCATGGTCCCTGTAAGCGTGAGCGGAATCCAACATGATCAACAAGGGTCTTCCAAGACAAAAAGGAGCAGTGAGGAAAGTCCAGCGGGGTGAAAGGGCACAGCACGAATGAGGAACAGCAAGCACTGGCAAAAGACATGCTCAGGGAAGCAGGCGGGCGCCAGAGCAAAACGAGTCAGGACCTGAGCCAGATCTACCGCTTACTATTCATGGGACCCAGGACAAGTCCCTTCCCTTTGCTGAGCTTCCGTGTCTCCAAACTCACCACCCTGGTGGCTGAGGTCCAATGGCATAAAGAAAGCTCTAAAGTGCTCTGATATATAGCAGTGAAGGCTATAATCATTTTTGCCAGCCTTATTTTTATATAAATGTTCCTATAAAATAATTTTAAAAAAAGAAAACCTACACCAAGTCGAAATTTAAATACAAAAGAAAAAGATTTTGGTACCTGAAGCAACAAGTCCTTGTCCTTTTGACTGGTACTTTCAGTTAGACATCTGATCACCTGCTCTTGACTGCATAATTTTTTATTACTTTCACTCAGCAGACTCTTGTAACGGTTCTCCACTGCTTTCTCTCTTTCATTCACTTCGTTGCGTAATTTTTCAACTTCATTTCTAAGGTCCTACCAGAAGAAAAAGAAAAAATTGGAATTTACTTGACAAAAATTTAAAGTTGACAACCTCTCACCTGTTTACCTTAGTGCTAGAGAGAGAGCAAGCTAGTAGATGTATTTAACAAGTGTGTACTTCCTTCTCATCTAAAGTTTTACAAAAACCGCCCTGGCCGGTTTGGCTCAGGGTTTAGAGCATCAGCCTGCGGTCCAGAGAGATCCGGATTCGGTTCCCGCTAAGGGCATGGACCTCGGTTGCAGTTTGTCCCCAGCCCTGGTTGGTCATGTGAGTGGCAGCCACTCGATGTGTCCCTTTCACATCGATGTTTCTCTCTCTCTCTCTATTCCTCTCTCTCCCTCCCACTCTACCTGAACAAAAAAATGGAAAAATGTCCTCGGGTGAGGATAAAAAATAAATAAATAAATAAAGTTTTACAAAAACCAACTTTAAGAATATCCTGAATAAGGGCCAAAATATATAGAGTACTCATACAACTCAACAAAAGAAAGACAAAGAACCCAATTAAAAAATGGGCAGAGGAACTAAATAGACACCTCTCCAAACATGACATAAAAATGACCAAGAGACATATAAAAAAATGCTCAATGTCACTAATTATCAGAGAGATGCAAATTAAAACAACAATGAGGTATCACCTCACACCTGTCAGAATGGCCACCACAAACAACAAGTGTTGGCGAGAGTGTGGAGAAAAGGGGACCCTAGTACACTGCTGTTGGGAATGCACACTGGAGCAGCCACTATGGAAAACAATATGGTGTTTCCTCAAAAAAATTAAAAATTGAACTGCTATTTGACCCAGTGATCTCTCTTCTAGGAATATATCCTAAGAAGCCTGAAATACCAAACAGAATGACTATACGCACCCCTATGCTCATAGCAGCACTATTTATAATTGCTAAGATCTGAAACAACCCAAGTGTCCATCAATAGATGAGTAGATAAAAAAGCTGTGGTATATATATACAATGGAATACTATGCAGATGTAAGAAAAAATGATCTCTTATCCTTTGAGATGACAATGGAGGGACCTAGAGGATATTATGCTAAACAAAAGAAGCCAGTCAGAGAAAGACAAGTATCTCATGATCTCACCTATATGTGAAATATAATGAACAAAATAAGGTAACAAACAAAATAGACCCAGAGACATAGAAGTAGGGATCAGACTGACAAACGTTGGAGGGTGGGAGGCAGGAAGAGATAAACCAAAGACCTTATATGCATGTATGTGTAACCAATGGACACAGACAACAATAATGTGAAGCGGGGCAGGGAGCGGGTAAGGAGGTTGTCAATGGAGGAAAAAGGAGAAACATCTACAAAAATAAATTAATCAAAAAAAGGGGAAAGAAAGTCCGGCTGGTGTGGCTCAGTGATTGAGCATCAACCTATACACCAAGAGGTTGCTGGTTTGATTCCTAGTCAGGGCACATGCCCAGCTTGTGGGCCTGATCCCCAGTGGGGGCCAAGCAGGAGGCAGCCAGTCAATGTTCTCTCTCATCGATGTTTCTCTCTCTCCCTCTCCCTTCCGCTGTCTCGATTTCTCTAAAATCGATAAAGGAAAAAAAAAATTTTTTTAAAGGGGAAAAAAAGAATAACCTGATATTTGGAAAAAGCTTTATGCACAGATGTTATCACATTATTTATAATACTGAAAAAACGGAAAGAAACTAAATATGCACCAAAAGGGAATTAATTATAAAAAGATTATGGTATGAAAAATTGCAGAGTTATGAATAAAAGTAAACCAGGATACTATGTACTATGATGCTGATTGTTTTCTAAATGTTCACACAAAATGTTAAGACTTCTCTCTCCCTCTCTCCCTCTTTCCCCCTCTCCCCACCCCCAAAACAATTTAAAAAAAATGTTAAGACTATAAGGGAACACACCAAAATAATGCCAGCATACCTACAGAGAGGGATTGTGGGTAATTTTCAATTGATTTTTAATTTGACTTTTTTGGAGTTTCTAAAAATCTCTAAAAAGTCTATATTACTTTCATAATCAGAAAAAAACTGTCTTAAATTATGACACAATAACAGGGAAATGCTCATGTTACAATGTTAAGAAAAAAAACAGAAAAGAGTATTCAGTGATTGTAACTACCTCAAAATATGTACCATTTGTAATATTGAAGCACTATTCATAATAGCAAAAGGGTGGAAACAACCCAAATGTACACCAATGGAGGAATAAACCACGGTACATGCTCACAAGGGAGAACTCTGAAGCTATCAAGAAAAAGGAATGATTACTCTCTCTATAAATATGCTGCCCTAAAGTACTCTTTAGAATATATTGCTGCAGGGGAGAATGGGGAAGGAAGCAGACCCCAGGAGAAAAAAATGTATAGCATACTGCCATTTATTTAACCATAAAATAAATCAAATGGTAGTTTATAAGGAAAAGAATAAGATAGAAGGGACAGAGATAGAGAGGAGAACTCATTTTATAGATACCACATTGAAACCATTTAAATGTTTAGATACTTATTTTTAAAATTCCCTAAAACTGAAAGCAGAACAAAAACAAAAAGTGAATCTGTGTATCGAGTTAACTGGTTAACCAACCAGAAAGTAATTATTTCAGTAACTTTAAAGCATGTAATTTGTGCATCCCTAATGGGATAATTTTCCAAGGACAAAGGGACTGCTGCAAAAAAATCTTGAACTGTTTTTAGCATCATGTTGCAAGAAATGATATTGGTATTATTATTCTGAAACTGTATATATATTTATTAAATAAGTAGTTATTACTACCATAAAATACAAGACTTTACGCCTAAGAGAAAACAAATACAAATATAAAAGAAGTTAAAACGTAATTCTAAATTTGAATTGGCAATATCAATATAAACTTATATTTTCTGTTCTTTCCTTCCTTTACTGAGAAGGCCTAGAATCATTACTTTTCCTAGCATCCAGACTGTAGTCTCTAAGTACCATTTCCCACCAAAAAGAACCAGGGTTCTTTAAAGCAGTGGTTCTCAAAGTGTAGTCCCTACAGCAGCGTTATCAACACCACCTGGAAACTGCAAATGAAAATTATTGTACCCCCACCCCCGCCCCGGGAGGGGATGATTCCAGATTCAGGCAGCAATGTACAATGTGAGCCCAGACATCTTCCTATGTCAGAAAGGAAGGAAGTTATCAAAGACTCAACGATCATGTCTGAAGAACTCAGGGCCTGGCTGGAGTAGTTCAGTTGGTTGAGCACCTAAATGTTGCCAGTTTGATTCCAGGTCAGGGCACATACTGGATTTCAGGTTCGGTCCCTGGTGGGGGCACGTATGGAAGGCAGCCTATTAATGTTTCTCTCTCTCTCTCTTTCTCTTGTTCTCTCTCCTTTCCTCTCTCTAAACATATCCTCTGATGATTAAAAAAAAAAAAAAAAAGAACTCAGGAGTCAACTTGAATAAGCTTTTCCACTGTCCAAAGATAGGACAATTAGAACATCAAGGATAATAACAATGAATAAAAAATGTTAAAAATATGAGTTCATAATATTTTTTTTAATCCTCACTGAAAAAAAAATTTTTTTTCATTTATCTTCAGATAGAGTGGGAGGGAGAGAGGAAGAGAGGGTGAGAGAGAGAGAAAGAGAGAGACATCGACGTCAAAGAGACACATCAACTGGCTGCCTCCTGCATGACCATACCAGGGCCGGGGATGAACCACAGCCGAGGTAAGTACCCTTGACCAGAATCAAACCCGTGACTCATTGGTCCACAGGCCCACGCTCTAACCCCTGAGCCAAAACGGCCAGGGCAATATAATATTAAAACTAAAACAAAAAACCTTCGATCACTGTAATAGGCAAAACAATGCCCACTCCCCCAAAGACGTTCACATCCTAATTCGCAGAATCTGTGAATATGTTAGAGGCAAAAGGTAATAAAAGTTGCAGATGGAACTAAGGTCACTAATCAGCTGATCTTAAAATAGAGAGATTAGCCAGGTGGGTCCAATATAGCTACAAAGATCCTTAAAAGGAAAGAGGAGAAGCACAAGACACCAGCAGCCACTGCTGGCTATGAAGATGAAAGTGGCCAGGGCTCTAGATATGCAGGCAGCCTCCAGAAGCTGGAGAAGGCAAGGAAATGGATTTTCCCAAAGCCTTCAGAAGGAATGCAGCCCTGCAGACACCTTGCTTTTAGCCTGGTAAGGCCCATTTCAGACTTCTGACTTTAGGAGCTATAAAGTAAATCTGTGTTAAGCCACCAAGGTCATGGTAATTTGTTACAGCAGCAATGGGAAACTAATACAGTGAGTTACCTTTGGAGCATTCTAGTGAATTCTTTATTTTGTCTTTCCTATATGAACTGTGCCCCACAGTAACTAAATAGATGATGAAAAATAAGTTTTTCTTTATAGAAGTATTTAGCTATAAATGGAAAAGAAATGAGGAGATTAAATATTCACCATTTTGCAAATGGTAACATCACAAAAATAGGAACTACCAAATACATATACCTCCTAATGGAGTACAAATGACCATCTATAATGTAAATCTTGCCAAAAAATAAATCCTGAAATTGATCATGCATCTTACATAACTACTAATTTACTAGAAAGAGAGTCAGCAGAGAAACAAGTTAAATGCCATTACAAACACACAATCAGCAAAATCCAGAACAGAAAACTATAAAGAACAAATGACCCAACTTATTCAACAAATAAATTATATGGGGGGAAAGGGGGGAGGGAGAACCTGTGAATTAAATATTAATTTAAAAACTTAGGGAAGGTTAGTGTGTGAATTCATAAATTCATACTGATTCCACAGGATTCATTCCAGCCTTCCCTAACTTTATACTCTCTCTCTCTCTCTCTCTCTCTCTCTCTCTCTCTCTCTCACACACACACACACACACAGAGTTGGACACAGAAATAAGTATAGATGTGTATACATATGTGTCAGGATATACATACATATATTTCCAAGCTCTGACCACTGACAAGGCCTAGAAATATTGACACCCCA